AACCAACTTTGCTAATCTCTAAAGGGCATCTGACCCTGCTTCCTCTCACTTTGGTTTCTGTGCTAAGAATGCTTCCTTGTTTTAACTCATTCAGCAAATATTTATGGAGTCCCAATGATGAATATTAGGCACTGTCCTAGGCACTGAGGATACAGTCATGAACATGTGCACCGTCTTCTGCCTACAGGGAGGTTACAGTCTAGAGACTGTTATCATTGAAATAACAATTAGTGCTGGTCACTTGGAAGTGCCATTTTCTGAAAGTAGAAGGGGGAGAGCAAGTAGATTTGGGAGGGGAGGTATTTGGGAGGAAGATCAAAGAGTTTTAAGTTGGGACATGTTAGGTTTGATGCACTAGGAGAGATGCAAGGAAGAATATTCAGCAGATGGCTCTTGAAGCAGGTTTGGGGCTCAGCAGAAGAGTCTGGGTTGGAATAGAGCCTTGAGAATGAGTGGCAGTTTAGAGCAGATGAAGTCATAAAGAGGTTCAGGGAAAAGACAAGATGGCCCAAGGCCTGAGGAACTCCAACATTAGAGGTCAGGCAGAGGAGAGCAAGCTGCCAAAGGAGAAGTCAGAGAGCTAAGAACAAAATCAGGAGAATGTGGAGTTCTGGAACCCAAAAGGAAAGAGTGTTCCAAATGGAATGGTAAGTTGTGTCGAATGCTGCAGAGAGAAGCAAGTTTGGACTGGCAAGTGTGGATAGGATGGAGTAATGTGGAGGCTGCTGGTGACTCTGTCCTGGGTGGTTTGCAAGGGAAGCTGTGCTTGCAGTGGGCTGAGAGTGAGTGAGAAATGAAGCAGTGCAGACAACCAGAGTAGCCAAGCCTTTGGGAATCTTGGCTTGGAGAGGATGTGGAAAGGTGGGGCAGCAATGGGAGAAGAATGTGGAGTCAAGATAACTGGGTTTTGATGGGAGCTACTGGAGCTTGTTTAAATGATAATGAGGACAGTGGGGAGAGAGGTGAAGGATACAGACAGGTAGGGGATGAGTGATGGATGGCCAGTTTCTCTGAGAAGGTAAGAAGCCCTGAGCATACATGGAGAACTTGGCTCTGATGAGTCGTCAGACACTTCCTCCTCATCAGACTGTTTTTTCTCAGGCTTCCCTATGGCCTTCTCTTCATTCTCAGGGCACACGGTAAATATTGCTTTTCCCAGGATCCCACTTAACCCTTCTCTTCTCACTCTCCATGTTATTCACTGGTGACTTCATCCATTATTGTGTCTTCACCCTCAGTTGCTCAAAGCTCTCAAATCTCTATCTCCAGGTCAGGTGTCTTTTCCCATGTGCAGACTTGGTATATGTCCAACTGCAGACTGAATATCTCCATCTGGATGCTCACAGACAGTGGCGTGCTGGAGTCAACTTGTGCCGGCTCAGACCAGCTTACAGGAGCCCACTGTATACCTCTCTCCCAATGCCTCATTCAGTGAAGTCATGCTGACAGTAGTGACTTGTAAAGGTTATGATGGGAGTATTTACACCATGAAGGTTGGCAAATGCTTCAGATCAGGGCTCCCCTTTCCCAAAAAGCTGGTTGTTAAAAGATTTATCATACACCACTGCTCACAGACATCTCATACTCTACATATTCAAAACTAAATTAATCCTCTTCCACCCCACCCCATCTAGCCCTATGCTTTCTCTGAGTCTCTTGGCCCAGTTAACAAGATCACCAGCCACCTGGGAGTTTCTCACTCCCTGTTACCCATATTCAAAGAATGGCCAACTAGTTAAGGTATACTCCAGGCTGCTATAACAAAGAGTCCCAGAAATTCAGTGGCTTATGTGACAACCCCAAAATAGGTCCTTAAGGACGGTGGGAGATCTCTGCCATCCTCAACACATACCTTCCATCTCTGTATCCACTGTGGCCGAGGTAGCTTCCACCATCATACCTAAATTTCATCCATTGGGAAGGGGGGTGCAGTGGGAAGCACAAGTTCTTTCCTGTTTAATGACATTGCAACTTCTGCTCAGAGGTTGGCCAGATGCAAAGAATGCTGGGAAATGTACTTACTAGCCTTATACTCAGCTGAAACATTATTAATAAAGAAAGAAGGGAGATGGCTGTTGATGTAAGGCTAGCATTCTGTGTCCTTGCAGGGTGCATCTTGTCAGTGCTACCCCTGTATATTGCATAAATCCATCCCTTCTACTCTATGCCAGCTGCTGTTACCTTCGTTCTTGCCTGCTTCTGTTCATTTCATAGATGTTCTCTAGGTACCTTGTAGACCCTGAAAATAAACTGCCTCATATAACTTGATGTGACTCTTCATAGCTTTTAATGTCTATCCTGGAAGATGGATGATTAAACAATTAACTCAGTAAAGTCATTTGGAGGTTCTCATATTCCAGGCCCACATTCAGGTTGGCCAAACCTGATCACTTGGTATTGACATCAAAGGCCAGGACACTCAGACCCCACAACCTGCCAGATAAACCAAATGCTTTGGCTTCCCGGGATCAATACTTTTTACATGCCACAATTCAAATCTCAGCTGTGTCACCTTCCAGCTGAGTAACCTTGAGCAAGTCACTTAACATTTCCATGCCTCTGCTTGCCTTACAAAAAGGGAATAAAAATCAGGTCATTATGAGGACTTAATTAATATTTGTAAAGTATTTATAACAGTTCCAACACATAGTAGATACTTTGTGTTTGCTAAATAAAGAGTTCAGGCATGAATGAGTTGGTCTTTGACTACTTTTCCAGGCCTACCTCCCCTGACACTGATCTCCACCACCAGCTTATATGTAACCTTCCTTCTAGACTGAGCTCCCAACTATTTCCACATGTGCCAGAAATATTCATGTCTCTAGAACTTTGCACGTGCTATTCTCTGTGTGGAAGACTTTCCCACCTTGTTTGCCAGTGAAGCCCTATTCATCATAATTCAGCTCAAACTCTACTTCCAGAAGCCTTTCTGGATTCTCAGACAGGTAGCTCCTCCCTCTTCTGGACCTCCATATCACCCTACTTTTGTGCATGTCTGAGCTCCCCACTGCACCAAAACTATTTGAGAGCAGGGATATCCCTCATACATCTCAGTATTCCTGCCTCACACAATGTCTGACACACTTTAAGTATAAAAGATGTTTGTTGAATCAATGAATGGATAAATGAACTGCAATAATAACCTTTACCTTAACCACTTCCAATAGAATTTAATGTCAGATTCTATGGCAAATGAAAACTGGCCACAGTTGGCCAGCAAATAAAGCAAGTCCAGTCCCTTAATTAGCTGACTGTAGCTTTTCCACCAACCTGACAGGAAAATTCTTAAGACCCAATGTTTACTGAATAGTCCTATGTGCCTTGCCCTTAGCCAGGCACTTGATTCTGGCACCAGATTGAGTCCTCATCACTAGTCCTTATCACTACAGATGGGGATGGGAAGCTTGAAGGGGGAGGACACAGAAATTATGAAAAAGGTCATTGCTCAACTGGCTGATAAGAGGTGTGAGTTCTAGTACTGGTTCTGCCCTAGTGGGCTGTGAGACTCAAAACAGAGCCTACCTCTAACTGGGTAAACCCCTGTAAAAATCCAGGGGTTGGATCCATGATCAGGAAGGCTCTTCTTGACTTGGGGCAGTCTCTGAATATGATATCCTAACTGGGTTTGGGGAGAGGTAGTGGGAATTGACAGGGGAACTTACAAAGGAAATGTAACAACATCATTAAATATCAACAAAAGGGGAGGTGCAGGCTATGAATAGTCACTTTCCCCTCCAGTGTCCCCTTAATCTTCACCTAAGCATTTTGAATGATGGCAGAAATACAGGTGCCAGCTCATCCAATTCATCAAGGCCTATTTATAGAGGACAGTTACCAAACTAGGGTCATGCAAGAATATTTAAGTTTCCAGCTCCTGAGTCAGCTCTGTCTCCTACAGCTCTACCCTTCCCACTGAAATGGACTCCTCCAGTCTGGGGAGCCAGGCCTGGACTCAGAACCACTCCCGGGCATGTGAAATGCCATTGTTGCCAGTGTGTAACTGATGAGCCAGTTTAAACTATCTGTCCTTTGGCTGGAGGGGCACATCTTCCAGAGTGGCATCTGGTAAGCAGAGAACCTTTAGGGGAATGTGGACACCACAAAGAAGTACCCTCTTCCTCTGCCATCTCTGGTCTTAATGCTCCTCCCACCCTTAAGCAAGTAGGTGGGAGTGCCCCCAACACACATATGTACACACACAACATTTGCACTCACACACATACATACGTACTTTCACACATTACCAACACATACACGTGCTCACACAGGAGTCTCAGCTAAGCCAAGCTGTCAGAGCTGCGGCTCAGTTGCCTTCACTATCAAAACCGCTGTGCAGCTGGTGTCAGGTCAGGGGCCCAGGAGAAAGGAGGAGCCGGCTAGTGGAAAACCTACTTGCTTGAAAAATGCCAGAACAGATGAAGAGAAAGGGATAGGGAAGGGAAGCTAAAGTTGGGTTAGCTGAGCACCCATTTATGATTGTGTGTGCACGTGTGTATGTATAAGACCCAGGCGCTAGGGGAAGGGTGAGGAAAAAAGGGGCCATCAAAAAGACAAGGATGGAAAGAAACACAGAGAAGATGGAGACAGACCCCTTTCCATACCTATCTCTTTCCGTCTTCCCTTCCCTCCCTTTCCTGGTGATTTCATTCATGGCAGAACCTTGCTCAGGAGCCTAGAATGGACGACTGTCCAGGACTATGGCGCCGCTTCCTCGATCCACTTTAAAAATGTAAGGTAATAGGGGCCTTATTAGTCACCCCGTGGAGCCCTGATCTCCGGATAGACAAGATCTCCATCTCTTTCGCACCACCGCTGGCTACTGCCTATCCCCTACGTCCAGTCTAGAGGTGCTTGCTATCCTTTCCACAATCCCCTCCCGGTGGCCTAATCGTGAGGTGTCTGCACCTTTAACTCTGCGGCCGTCGGCCGGGTTATTGTCTCGCCTCGCAGCCAATCGGCGGTGCCGTTGGGGGCGGGGGAGCCAGCCTGCGGATTGGCCGCCGCGCGCCCCGCCCCTCCCGGGATCCCGGGAGCTGTCCGGCCGCCTCAGTGCTGATCCCGCCGCCGCCCTCCGGCTGTGAGCAGCGCTGACAGGGCACTATGAGCGGCGGCGTCTACGGCGGAGGTGAGCGAGCTTCGGGCTTCGCAATCTGGCAGGTTTCGCCACCAGCCCTGCGCCCCCAACCCTCACGACCCAAGCTCTGAGCACCCTGCGGCCTGTCACCTCGGCTCTAGAGCAGGTCCAGCCCCGGGTTTGGGTCCTGCGCCACTCCTACCTTCGCGCGCACCGGGATCAACCTTTCCACCATTCAACTCACTTCCGTCCGGCCCCCGGCCCCTTGTTTCCCGGCAAGGAGAATGGCCTGAGCAAGGCCACTGGGCAAGGAGGGACTTTGGAGGCTTCACCCCCACTCCCAGGACCCCGGACTCCAGGCCGAGCTCCCACCTGCCCCGGCCGGCTTTGAAGGTGGCGAGACTGTGGCTCTGCCCTGACCTCCTCTCGGAGCTATCCAGGGTAGAGATACTCTCACACGCCTGTCTCCCCGCACAGATGAGGTGGGGGCGCTGGTCTTTGACATTGGCTCCTTCTCAGTCCGCGCTGGGTACGCTGGGGAGGACTGTCCCAAGGTGAGCCTTCCAACCCCCTCCCCAAATCCTAAGGGCTCCGGACTCCTCTTCAGACTTCCCAGTGACTCAGGGCTCTCATAACCCAGAGAGAAGCTCTGCTGAGCGGGAATGTGGGAGTAACCCAGAGGCGGGCTGAGGGTTCTGCCGTGTTCCGGGACAGGAACGAGAGTTTGATCCCTCTCTCTGCCCATCCCCCACTCCAGGCTGACTTCCCCACCACTGTGGGGCTGCTGGCCGCGGAGGAGGGGGGCGGGCTGGAGCTGGAGGGGGAGAAAGAGAAGAAAGGGAAGATCTTTCACATCGATACCAACGCCCTGCACGTGCCTCGGGATGGAGCGGAGGTCATGTCGCCCCTCAAGAATGGCATGAGTAAGGAGCCCCCACCCACCGTCTCCTGAAACAGACCTGGAGCCCACACCCCACAACCCGAGACACATCACTCCACATCCACGGAGTCTTCCTTCCAGCTACCCAAGTCCCAGGAATCCCCTCACTGCTTCCCGCAGCTGCCTGGTTCCCAGCCCAGAGGGTCCTGGGAAGGGGGGATTTCTGCTGAAGCTGACCTCACTTCTTCTCCCCTGGACTTGGCCTCCCTCCTTCCTTTCCTTCCTGCCCCCGGTCCCCTGCCTGCTCACCCTCATGTCTACACGCTGGTCTGGCCCCAGTCGAGGACTGGGAGTGCTTCCGCGCCATCCTGGATCACACCTACAGCAAACACGTCAAGTCCGAACCAAACCTGCACCCAGTGCTCATGTCTGAGGCCCCGGTAAGTGCCTCATCCAGCCCCTAATCCAGCCCTGGGGAGCAGCGTCTCCTTTTGACCATTAACCTCTTCCCTTAAGTCACTGCCACCAATTACTCCACCTCACTTTTCAGACTTCCCTTCCAACTCCACCATCTTCAACCACTTTGCTTCATCCCTGCTTTAGTCTCCATCCCTCTCTCTCTCCTCTTGCTCTAGCCATTCACCCTTCCCCCATTCAACCTTATCTACTGCCCCTTTTCCCCCCAAAGTCCTTTTCTGACCTTTTAACTTAAAATTTTTGTCAGTAATATAAATGCATGTAAACAATTTGCTTTATAAAGTATGGTAAGAAAAACTGCCATTCATATTGTCCTTCATTTCTCCTTTTCCAGCAGCAACTGCTTTTCTCCTTTAGCTAATTTTTTGGTCATTTCCTCCATATCTCTAAATGTCACACTTAAATTGTTGCTTGTAGATTTTTTTTTTAGTTTTAGGCATTATCTATGGATCTCCCACTATGGAAAATAAACATTTAGCTCTCTTTCCTCACCCAGCACACACCACACACATTCCTCATTCCCCACCTTTAAGTACAGTTGCATTTTAGTGTTTTTGTTTAAGATCAGTTTTCAGTATTTACACTCTTATTATTATATATGCTAATCAGGCCTGAGCCAGCAATAAACTATGATCACTTCTTTTTTCCTATTCAGCCTTTTGTTTTCTCTAGAACTGAACATTATTTTGCTTTTAATTTTTCTTAGTTTTCTATTTACTTAATAATGTGACTCAAAATTATTCATCAGTTATTTATATTTTTTCTTAAGACATCAATTCCTTTAAGCATTCTATCAGTTTCATCTTATTTTCTCTGCTTTGGACTGGTTATCTTCTACACAGAGGACATAGCTATCATCCTGACATCTTTCATCTTAGCGAATCCCTTTGCCTCTCTCCCATATTATAAGTCCTGTTTATTGAGTCTCATGACTTTGTGATTTACTCCCTTGTTTTCATGGAGCACATCCTCCAGTAAATGCCTTAGAAATGTCATGGGAAGTAAAGATTTTGAGACCTTGCATGTCTGATCTTGGACTGATAGCTTAGCTAGGTAAAATGTTCCAGGTTGGAAATTATTTTTTCTTTAGAATCTTGAAGGCACTTCTTCACTGTCTTCCAGTATCTACTGTTGCCATCAAGAAGACTGAAACCATATAATTCTTGATCCTTTGATGGATTGTTTTTCTTTGTGAAAGTTTATAGAATTTCACTTTATCCTCAGTGTTCAGACTTTAATTTCACAATATTACATTGGTGTATTTTCAACCATTGCTTTAGACATTAGTATGTCCCTTCAGTCTGGAAATCTATGCCTTTCAACTAAGTGAAAAATTAATTCAATAATTTTTCAATTCAGTAATTTTAATTACTTATTTGATTATTTATTTCTCTCAATTTTCTGTCTCTTTTGGAAAATCCTATTATTTGAATTTTGCACCTCCTGAATTAGTCTTTTAGTTTTCTTATCTTTACTCTTATGGTTTCCATCTCTTCATCTTTCCCTCTAATTTCCAAGATATTCCCTTAAGTTTAATTTTCAACACTTCTATTGAATTTTTCACTTCTGCTCCTGCATTTTTAACTTCCAGAGCTCTTTTTTTTTAATGTTACTTTTGAGAGCATCCTATTCTTGTTTCATGGGTGCAGTATCATCTGTTACTTCACTAAGGATGTTATTAGTTTTGTTTTTGGTAAGTTTTCATCTCCCTGTATATTCTCTGTTCTCCCAAGTTTCTTTTTTTTTGTCCTTTTTTGGGGGTCTCCATCTAAGTTTAGAGGCTTTTCTCAGATTTCTGAAAATCTTTGGTTGTCTGCTATGTTTGTCGGTTGGGGGTGTGTGACTAAGGAAGCAGTGTGGGGCAGGGGACTTGTTGCCTGTAGTCTTTGCTATAGGATGATCTGACTGGTATGTTTGTTAAACAACTTCTGATAATTGGCATCTTTAGGTCTTTGATGTAACCCACAAGGAAGACTTCCATCCTAAAGACTGGCCTGGCCACTCTCTTTCTGGGAGCCAAGTGAGGAAATAGGGCTGATGTTCTCAGAATTCAATATGCATGGCATCACTTAATCTCCATATTTTAAGTATATTGTCCTCACTCACAACTGTGTCATGTACCACCAGTTCAGAGACCTCCCATTTTACTCTGTCTAGAAAATAAACTTTCAGTTTTCTGCTGAGGCTGGGGTGGGCAATAGCCCAGTGGCATGGAATTGGGGAGAGAGTTTAGGATTTGTTACTTAAATAGCTCTAAACAATCTTTTATTTTAGCTTTTCTTTCCCTTCCACATCCAGAGTACCTGATACTACCAATTCCTGAGCCCTTTGAGAATTCTGTACTTAACACAGGTTGTTACTGTTTTTTTCCACTAATGGCTTAGGAGTCAGCATTTTTTAATCTATTAAGTAAAATATCACTCACCTATCTAATTTCCAACTTTTAAAAGTATGTTGTTGTTTCCTCATTTCTTATTACTCCCAACCTTTGAGGGTTTATTTCTTTCTCTCTCCCTCTCTTTTTGCAGTGAAACTTACATAACATAATATTAACCTTTTTAATGTTTAAAGTTCAGTGGCATTTAATACATTCACGGTCTTTTGTAATCATCACCTCTGTCTAGTTCCAAAACATGTTAATCACCCCAAAAGAAAATCCATTTTCATTAACCAGTTTTTCTCTATTCCCCCTACCTCCAGCCCTTGGCAACCATCAGTCTTTCTGTCTCCATAGATATATCTATTTTGGATCTTTCTTATAAATGTAGTCACACAATATGTGACTTTTTTGTGTCTGTATTCTTTCACTTAGCATATTTTCAAAGTTCATCCATATTGTAACATACACCAGTAATGTTTTCTTTATTATGGCTGAGTAATATTCCATTGTGTGGATATACCACAATTTGTTTTTCCATTCATCCATCCATGGATATTTGATTGTTCCCACCTGGGCTATTGTGGATTGTGCTGCTATGAACAGTTATGTACAACTATTTGTTTGAGTACCTGTTTTCAGTTCTTTTGGGTTTATAACTAGGAATGGAATTGCTGGATTATATGGTAATTCTGTTTTACTTTTTGAGGAACTGACAACTGTTGTCCACAGTAGCTGAACCATCTTATCTTTCCACCAGCAGTATACAGGGGTTTCAATTTCTACACATACTTTCCAACACTTAGTTTTGTTTGTATTTTAATTATTATCACCAACCTAGTGGGTATTAAGTGGTATCTCATGGTGCTTTTGATTTTCATTTCCCTACTGGACAACATTGAACATCTTTTCAGGTGCCTTGTTGGCTTTTGTGGGTTTATGTCTTTTTAAATTGTCCTTTTATTTTAGTTTTGCTGGGAATTTAGAAAGGAATAAAATTAGATGTTTATATTCAATACACCATTTTTACCCAGAAATCCTCTTCCCCAACTTTCTTGCCTCTGAGATTATTAGAATGGGGAAGAGGGATATACTAGGGTCTGGAAGGAGCCTGAAGCGTGACACTGGGCTAGAAGTCAAGAGACTGGTTTTACTGAATTTTCCAAAAGTTTTCTGTGTGATCTGGGGCAAGCCACTCTCCCTCTCTGAATTTTATTTGCTTTAGCTGAGTTTGAATTTTGATCTTTAAAATTCTTTGTAGTTCTCACATTCTAAAGTTCTGTGTGGGTCAAGGGGCCTGACCTCTGTCCCCAGTCCAAGTTATATGTGTGTATGTGAGTGTAAGCGGGCTTGTACCTCTCCCTTCCTGAGTCCTCCCGTCCTGCACTTTCTCCCCAGTGGAACACACGGGCCAAGCGGGAGAAGTTGACAGAGCTGATGTTCGAGCAATACAACATTCCTGCCTTCTTCTTATGCAAGACGGCTGTGCTCACTGCGTATCCTGTGTTGAGCTGCTCTGGCTGGGTGGAGGGCCAGGGTGGTGTGAACAGTGTGCTGAGTTGGAACTGGGCCTGATTCTGTGATCAGTGTTCTAGATGGGCAGAGACCCCACCCTGAACCCCATTAGTGTAGAGGGCCCCTGTGGACTAAGTGCCTTTGATCATGGGGTGGTCAGTGGCCTTTTCCCATTCCTTGGAACAGACTGAGGAGAGAGACAGAGAGAGAGAGACAGAGAGACAGAGAGAGAGAGAGAGTCAAGCTAAGTAGACAGCAGGGACTGGGCCAGGAGAGAAGAGGGAAGGGCATATGATACTGAGGCATTTCCTTCCCAAACAGCCAATAAGCATTTATGATTCTTAAGGATCAGCCTTGCATTAAATCTTGTGCTAGGCACTGGGGTGATATGGCCCCTAACTTCAGGGGGCTCATGGGACATAGAACCAATACTAATGGGAGGCTGAGAGCTCAGAAGGAAGGAAATGAGAAAGAAGTTGTAGTTCAGACAGGGAAGAAGTGACAGGGATCACAGGAACCTTTGTGCAGCAAATGGGTCATAAACCAGGAGAGATTTGCAGACTGGGAGCGGGCTGGACCATGGGAGAGCAGTATGACCACCCAGCCATGGATCTCAGCCCCCTTCACTTGTTGCTGTCTCTTTGACTTACCAATCCCACGCCAGCTTTGCAAATGGACGCTCCACAGGTTTGGTGCTGGACAGTGGGGCCACCCACACCACGGCCATTCCAGTGCATGATGGCTATGTCCTGCAGCAAGGTGAGGCCTTGGCGAGGATCGGCAGTGCCTTGGTGGACTAAGTCCTGACACACCCTCCCTTTCCAGGCATTGTCAAGTCACCCCTGGCAGGGGACTTCATCTCTATGCAGTGCCGGGAGCTCTTCCAGGAAATGGCCATTGACATCATCCCGCCTTACATGATAGCAGCCAAGGTGGGCCTCCGAAGTCTTAGACACTCACTCTATGACCGTCAACTCACTGGCCCATCAGATATCAGAGTGGGGAGCAGCAGGATCCCCAGAGTTCCTGGGTCCAGTTCCTCAATTTACAATCAAGGCATCAGAGATCTGGACAGGCTGAGGAATGTGACTGAAGTCATGTAGCCGGCTAGTAGCAGGATGTGTGAGGGTCAGTGTGATGGGTGCTGGGGTCCAAGAGACCCAGGTTCAAAGTCCCCTCTGGCCATGTAAGAGCTGTGTGACCTAGAGCCTGAGTATGAAGCTCCCTGAACCATAGCTTCCTCCCTGCAAAGTGGAAAAACAACAAACAGGGTGACCATGAGTTTCAATGAGACCCTGCCTGCAAGGGTCCATCCTGGAGCCCCACATGGGACATAGCTCAAGAATAAGGCTGTTTCCTTAGGGTTCTGGCCTGCACTGTTTCCCCCCCCCCAGCTTTCTCTGCCCGGGACTTCTCCCATCAGCTGTGCCTCTCACGCTTGGCGTGCAGGGGGACGGGTCATTCCCCGCTCTCTCTCCTCTAACCAGGAAGGGGGAGAAACACCTTTGTGGGTGACCCAGTGCCTGTCAGTTGCAGAGCCAGCGAGTGCTAGAAGGGCAGGTGTGGTCAGGGTGGGCTACGCATGTATGGAGTGTGGAAGGGTAATCAGAGGCTGTGCCCCCACAGGAGCCTGTACGGGAGGGTGCTCCCCCAAACTGGAAGAAGAAGGAGAAGCTACCCCAGGTTTCCAAGTCCTGGCATAACTACATGTGCAATGTGAGGCCCTGGAGAGGGTCCCCTGAAACACTCCTTTCCCCTACCTAGCATCTAGTCCTCTGCTATGAATAGAGGGAAGGGGAAAGAGGCCCTTCAGGAGGGTGGGTTTGGGGGTGCTGAGGAGGGAGACTGGGCCCTCACCACATCCCTGGGTTCCCAGGAGGTGATCCAGGACTTCCAGGCCTCTGTGCTACAGGTTTCAGACTCTCCCTACGATGAACAGTGAGTGGGACCCACAGCTGGGGTGGGTAAGAGGGCAGGCCTAGAATTCAGGGGGGACCTCTGGTCCTTTATGAGCACCTCCAGGCCAAGTCTTGCTCCTTCCTGGGCAGGGTGGCTGCGCAAATGCCCACAGTGCACTATGAGATGCCCAATGGCTACAACACCGACTACGGCGCTGAGCGACTCCGCATCCCTGAGGGCCTGTTTGATCCCTCCAATGTCAAGGTTGGGGTGGAGTCCCTGTATGCCAGGGTGTAGGGAGGCTGGGAAGGATCATGAGATTCTCAAGACAGGGGACAGAGGGTCCAAAGCCCAAGTCACCTTTCTCTGCAGGGCCTGTCAGGGAACACCATGTTAGGTGTGGGCCACGTGGTGACCACCAGCATTGGCATGTGCGACATCGACATTCGCCCGGTGAGGCCAGAGCCTGTGGCTGGGCAAAGGGATAGTGGGAAGACAGGCAGGGCTGTTCCCTGCAGACTCACTCCTCTCTGCTCTTAGGGCCTGTATGGCAGTGTCATTGTCACTGGAGGGAACACACTGCTCCAAGGTTTCACTGACAGACTCAATCGAGAGCTTTCCCAGAAGACCCCACCGGTAGGAGCCCACCTCCTGGCCAGGGCCTTGGGCACCAGTCCAGACTTAGCCCTTAGGAGGAAGAAGACCAAGTCCTTCCTCATTCCCCAGTGCCCAGCGTTCTGGCCAGTTCCCCCAGTGGCTTCCCAATCTTCCCTACCACCAGCCCTGTCCCTTCCCAGAACCCAGGTGTCTGCTTCCCCCAGCCCCTCTTTCCCCCCAGAGCATGCGACTGAAGCTCATCGCTAGCAATAGCACCATGGAGCGCAAGTTCAGCCCCTGGATTGGGGGCTCCATCTTGGCCTCACTGGTGAGAGGGAAGGGGCCTGGCCTGGGACTGACTGGGGGAAATGGGCAGACCAGACCCAGATAGCCCTACCGCCTTGCCTGCCTCATTCATTCATTCAACGAACATTTATCTCTGAGAAAGCACAGGCAGTGCGCCCAGCAGATGAATGCTCCATTAGGACACAAATCAGTGGGCAGAAGGACAGGAAGCTGGAGAGACTGGTTGGGATGAGACTGTGGTGACTTTGTGTGCCAGGATGAGGCACAGGCATTCACTTTCAGGCAGAGACAGGGCAACCAACAGAGAAAAGGGACAGTCTGAGATTCTGGGTGCAGGAAACCATCAAGGGACATGTTTCAACTGGGGTGTGGGGTAAAGCGGAGTGCCAGAGTTAAGACAACCCACCCAAAGGTTAGCTGGTGCCAGGCTGGTGAGGGTGGAGGTGTTTTCTTGGGAATGAGGGAGGCTTGACAAGTTTGTAAGACCTGATGGAGTGATAGGGTACCTGGTGGAGGAGGAATGGGTGTGGGGGGGGTATTGGGGTGACGGTTGGCTGGCCTGGGTCTGTGAGCCGGGTGCACAATAAATACTTGTTGAATGAATGAATCAACATTGAGGAGGGGAGTTCGACCTCTGAACTTGAAGGAGACAGGAGGGTATGGGCCTGAGAGGCAGGGAGGCCAGGAGGAGGACTTCTGAAGGGCAGAGCCTGCAAGAAGGGAATGTAGGGGGTCCCTTCAGTCTCCATGGCTGCCCTGATGACCGATGTCGTCACCCGCATCCAGGGCACTTTCCAGCAGATGTGGATCTCGAAGCAGGAATATGAGGAGGGCGGGAAGCAATGCGTTGAGCGGAAGTGTCCCTGAGGGCGCCCCCTTCCCACCCAGTGGTGGGGGAGGGGACGCGAAAGGCAGGGCGAGGGGGGTTGCCCCAGACCGGCCTTCGCACGCGCAGATCGACGCCCCCATCTCCGTCGTCCCCTTCTCCTTTCCTCCCTCTCCTCCTCTTAGATTGTGATGTTTCCGGATTGAAAGAAGTAAAAACGTTTTAAGAAAAATAAAGTTTGGCCTTTTTGAGGGTGGGGAGGGGGGCTGGGGAGAAGGGAGGGCCACACGCACATCTCTCAGGATCCCACGGTGGACGCGGGGGCCAGGTTTGCAGGTGGGGGCAAGCCCCAGGAGGTTTCAAATGGGCCGCGCGACCCAGGAGGATCCAGAAACTAGGACGCGGCTAAGGCCGCGATCAAAGCCCCAGCGAGGAGCCCAGTTGGGGCGGGATTGGGGCTCTGAGGGGGCGGGCGGAGGGCGGGGCCATATGTGGGAGGGGGTCCTGTGTGGGAGGGGCCTCCGCCCAGCCGGAGTCCGCACCTAGGCACCCGCGGACCTGCAGCTCAGGTGAGCTGGGCTGCTCTCCTGTCTTCCTTTTCCGAGCTCATGGCGGTTACAGTAATGAGGCGGGGACTGGGGCATTGGAGCGCCTCTGCTGCTTAGAACTTCCCTTCCGACTTGAGCAGGAGCTGAGGTTTCCCAAGGGAAACCTCAACACTGACCCCTGAGCCCTTCTATTCCTGAGCTATTGTCCTGGCATCCCTCTGCGGGGTTTAGGGACCTGCGACGCCTGCATGAAATTGTGGGCAAAACTTAGCGGTTTGTGCCTGTGATGTGCTCCTGGGGTCTCCATATCAAAGAGGTAGGAACCTGTGTGGTCCACGACCTTTAATCACGAAAGAGGCGCGGGTTCCCAGAGAGGACCGTGACTTGTCCAAGCTCCCCACACCTTGGCCAGGACTCTTCCCACCAATGCTTTGACCCACAGATCCCATCCTGGAGCATTCACTGTCCTGCCCCACCATGAGCTGCCAGCCATGCCACTGGCTCCCCAGCAGCCAGCAGGAACCTGAGACCCACTTTTCAAACCAAACCCTCAGGTCACACCACCGTGACACCTTCAGATTAGGAGCCCACTGAGGCAGACATTGGGACAGGAAGGACAGCTAGTGTGTTACAGGGCCTGGGAGCTGGGGGGCCTTGGAGCCAGATGAGGAGAGGGCAGAGGTTTTCATGGTGGGAAACTCTGGAAGGGGTCCCCAAGGACACTGGGTGGCATGGAAGCGTGGGGGGGCATCCATTTTCCCTCCCTCCCCACCCATCAGCCCCTTCCCCCACCTCTGACGGGAACTGGGAGGCCAAAGTCTGCCCGGAGGTCAAAAAATTGATTATTTTCAGGGAGAGGGAGGAGGGTCACTGTGGTGAGGTTGGCAGGGGCGGGCGCAGCCCCTTGTCCTCTAGCGTGGGCTGGGGTCCATATCGGGTTGGCTGGACTGCGGCCAGGACTGTGCCCCCACCCTTTTAGGGGGAGGAACGGCCTGGGCTCCAGCTGCCTGCCAGGACTGATAAGGGGCCCTCTTGGGGCTCCCACAAACGGTTTATCACTGGGGTGGGGGGACAGCCTTGTAGGGCTAAGGAGGGGCACAAGCATGGAGCGGCTTTGGAGTCTACTCCAGAGAACGGTAAGACCACTTGGGGTTCGGGGTACCTCTCCAGGTCCTTCAGCCCTCTCCCAACCCCTAAAGCCAGCCCCTCCCCTGCCCACCTCTATCTCTTCCCTGGCCTGCCTCTTGGGACCCTCTCCCTTGCCTGTGTTAGTTTGGCATCACAAAGACCCTATAATTGCCCGGTTCCTCCCCATCCCCCAGGCCTCTTTCCCCAATCTCATGCCCACTGTGCCCCCCACAGCAAAGGTTGTCCCCACGACCCTCTCAGACCATCTACAAGCGTGTAGAAGGCACCCAGCAGTGGCGCCTTGAAGAGGAATTGGAAGACGGAGAGGACGGGGCTGAGCCACCAGCCCACTTCTGTCCCATGGAGCTGAGGGGCCCCGACCTGGGCTCTCGACCTAGGCGGCAAAACCTCGGATTCTGGGCAGCAGCAGGACGAAGGGCTGCCCCCTACCTAGTCCTGACCACCCTGCTGATCTTCACTGGAGGTGAGAGTCATGCCCCCCACCTCGCCCCCCGTGAAGGTCCTGGGCGGGGGGAAATTTCTGGAGTCCAGAGGAGGGCACAAGGAGAATCTCCATCTTGCTACCTGCCAGCCTTCCTTCTGGGCTATGTGGCCTTCCGAGGGTCCTGCCAGGCATGTGGAGATGACGTATTGGTGGTCAGTGAAGACCTGAGCTATGAGCCAGTCCTGGACTCTCAGCAGGGCACGTTGTACTGGAGTGACCTCCAGGCCATGTTCCTGCAGCTCCTGAGGGAGGGGTCTCTGGAGGACACCATCAGGTAAGGGTCACCCTGCCCCACCCCTGGCCCTCACAACCCTCATCCAGCCTCCCTTCCTCCTCACCAGGACCCTAGTGGTGGGGTCTCCCTTCTGGGGCCCTCCACCTGCCTCCCTGGCCTTCCTGCTCAATGGTCCAGAGAAGGAGGGCAGGCCTTTGGAGCCAAGAGGAGGGACAGCACTTTTGGAGATGAGCCTGTACAGGGAGGCACATTTGGGAGATGGGGGTGCTAACTTTCCAAATAAGAACAGAGAGGTCCGCTATTTAGATATGGGGCAGGACAGACCCAGCAGAGTCTCGAATGCTACACCAAGGAGACTGGATTTTGACCTGTAGCAATGGGGCGCTCTGAGAGGAGCATTTTAAGAAATCAGAAAAACAATCAAGAAAGCGTATTTGTGGACAGAGACCTCCCCTCTTCCATCTACACTATGGAGATGCCAGCCAGCTGCAGACTGTGTAGGCCTGCAGTGCAGCACGAGCAGGCTGTGTTTCTTGGGTCCTGCTTGGGGTCACCTTTCCCTGGGAGAAAGGAGTCATCCAGGTAGGCCCAGAGGTCAGGCCACTAATAATCCTCATTTTGGTCAGGAATAGTTTTTCAATGCATGGCTTTTAATTTTCTTGAGCAAGACTTAGTAGTCTGGGTACAGTTGGGTAGAGTGTGGCATCATGGATGCCATCAAAGAGCAGGAAGGCAAGAGAGTAGCAGTGAGGGAAGAGAGCAAGGAAGTCATGCAGGGAAAGACAGGAAGGGAAGCCAGAGATGAGCTGACTGACTTGATAAATTGGACCATGCAGAGTGAAGGTAAGGGAGCAGTTTAGGTAAGGGACCTAGAAAGTTCTAGTCAGAGAGTGGGATTCTGGAACTTCCAAGATTTATCTTGGAGTCTCCAGAGCCTACCCAGTGCCTGGCAGTTAGTAGGCGTTCAATAAATCCTCAGTGAGCAAATATCCTGGCAATGGAGCTCTGGGTAATGACAAGACCCAGGGTGTGGCCAGGGAAGTGGGTGGCTGGATCGGCAGTGACAGTGATGAGGTCATTCCTTCATTTACCCAACAAATATTTTTGAGCCTCTAGTGCGTGGCAGGTGCACAGCTAAATAGGTGGTGCAGAGAACAAAAATCTGGACCTTGTCTTCATGGAGCTCACAGTCTATCGGAGGAAATACGTACTAAACTAATAATCCCATTCATGACTGCGTACTCACTACTGGGATCATTGTTTTGAAGGGAAAGTAAAGGATGTGAGGACTATAGCTAGGGGGACCTGATTGAGATTGGGAGTCAGGGAAGGCTTCCATGAGGAAGTGACAAGTTGAAGCCTAAGGGGTGAGTTGTTTGTCAGGCAAAGAGAAGGTGGAAAAGCATTTCTGGCCAGAGGACCGCAAATGCAAAGGGTCTGGAGATGAAGACAGTGGGCTGATGGAGGAAGTGAAATGTGGCAGTTGAGGTGGATCTGGCTCAGACCATTAAGGGCCTTACTGGTTACATGAACTGCTTTGGATTTTATTCTAAAGGCAAAAAGAGAACTGAAAACGTTCAAAAATAGAGTATCATGATCAGATGTGCAGGGGTGGGATTTTTTTTTTCAGATCAAGTGTGGGTAATGGACTTGATCATACTCCAGAGACTGTCATTCAGTGTCCTCTATGAAAGGGCTTTCCTGTTCAGTTTTGTTCCCCATTCGTGAGCACTTCTCCCAGCCCCTTCCCCAAGAAGCATCTCACCTAATGTGCTTGATATGTGCCTTTAGATACAAATATATGTGTAATATTTGTCATACATGTAGTGCTTTATGTACATATAGAGGTTTTCCAAAACATTAATACTTGAGTAAAATGCTTTATGTTTTTTATTTTAAAAATTAAGCACCATGGACAAATACAAAGAAGAAAGGGGGAAAAAAATCACTCCAAGGCCCATTATTCATCTATAGCTATCTCTACTGTGTTTTTAATTCTGATCAACTGTCTTTTGATGTACCACCATGTTTTTAAGTTGTCTAAATTGCAGTGTGTACATTTACTTTATTGTTCCTTTCTGCTGTACAGGAATCCACAGTGTGCATCCCCTACTTTATAAATGCATTGATAGGTGTAGTTTCAAACACATGAGCTCCTGGATGGGGACTGAAAGGGGGATGGGAGGGGGGACAGGAATGGTCCTGAGAAAGCCACTATGACAATGGATGGCAATAGTCTTCGTGAGAGCCAAGAGGAGGGTGGTTGAAACTAAGGTGCACCATCCACGTGGATCTAGAAGTAGTGCCGAAGCATAGTGGACTGTTGCATGGGAGGCAAATGATCAACTAGGTGCCTCAATGAAAGCAGACAAGTGACTGATTGGCTAAAAGAGGGACAGAAGATGGGACAGCAGGATGGCATGGATGTCAAAGGAAGAAAGTTATGCCAGAGGAAATATGGTCAGAAATGCCAACAGTGGAACCAGGAACATGCCTCCGCTCCAAGCCTGAGAGGTTTGACGACCCGAGCTGCCTTCGGGAAAGTATGCACTATGCCTACAGGAAGGAGACATGGCTTCTCAAGGGACAGCTGGGTTTCTGCCAAGGGAAAAGGTAGAGGGGTAGTCACTGATGATGCTGAGGAGGGAGGAGCTTGTCTGCCATGGAAAGAGCACAGGTGGAGCCTGTGGACAGCGAGGCCATGTGGGGGTCGCCCAGGGCAGAGGTAAGACAGAAGAACAAGGGAGAGCTCAGGAGACACGAGGCTTGCTAGTTAGGTGGTGACTCACGTGAGGTCTCCAAGGAGACAAGGCACCCGCTATTTCATCTGGAGCCTTGGCAGATAGTCTCTGAGTTCCCAGTAGAGGATAGGGCAGAAGGTCTTTGGAAGAAAAGTGTGTTCATGCCTGGGGCAAAGAGCAGGCTGCTGTGCCCACGTGTGGAGGGACCAGAGTAGATTGGTGCTTGCTCTGAACCTGGAAAAACATAAGGGGTAAGGGACAGGACCCCGAGCTCTTGGAAGCTAAGGTTTTAAGCAGTTGGAAGCCCTAAGGACAGGGTCGCAGCCCTGAGAGTGATGGACTGGGTGGTTGTGGTACAGTAAGTGAGAGACAGGAGCTCACCACCGCCCAGGGCCCAGGGCCACCCACGTCTCCAGCATCGTTACCCCCTCCTTCCCTCTCCTCCAGAGACCCAGAAGTCCAGGCACCTCCCCCCCGCCCACACGCCCCAATGCCACGTCTCCCCATTCAGGCTAACCAGCTTTCGGGAAAGGGTGTCCGGCTCTGCTGGAATGGCAGCCCTGGCCCAGGACATCCGCGCGGCGCTCTCGAGCCAGAAGCTGGACCACGTGTGGACAGACACGCACTACGTGGGGCTGCAGTTCCCGGACCCGTGAGTGCGCGGGGCAGGGCGCGAGGGGCGCACAGCGGCGGGGGACGCTCACCACCCCCGTCCCGCAGGGCTCGCCCCAACACACTTCGCTGGGCCGACACGGCCGGGAGGCCTGGGGAGCAGCTGCCGCTGGAGGACCCCGACGTCTACTGTCCCTACAGCGCCACGGGCAACGCCACGGTGAGCGCCTCCTGCCCCGCCCCCAGGACTGGGGCCGCGTGCGCCCGTCGTCCCCTGTGGCGGCCAAGGGAACGGCGGTCGCGCCTTAGCGTCCTCCCCCATCCTCAGGGAGAGCTGGTGTACGCCCACTACGGGAGGCGGGAAGACCTGCAGGACCTGCGGGCCCGTGGCTTGGAGCCGGCGGGGCGCCTCCTTCTGGTGCGCTTAGGGGTGATCAGCTTTGCGCAGAAGGTGAGGGTCCCTGGACAGCGGATGGTGGGTGCCGTGTGGATCAAAGCTGGTGTCATTTCAATTTTCCTTACTTCTCCTGCCCTTATAAATCGGTTTTCTCTGGGAGAAGGAGTCCTTTAGCCATCTCCCTTCCCCAGGTGGCCAGTGCCCAGGACTTTGGGGCCAGAGGAGTGCTCATATACCCCGACCCTGCAGACTTCTCCCAAGACCCACACAAGCTCAGCCTGTCCAGCCACCGGGCTGTGTATGGACATGTGAGTTGAGGAAGCCAGTGGTGGTTTCCTGGGGTCCCAGGGATACACCTGGCCCCATATGAAGCTGGCATGTAATTCCCAGGAGCCCAGGTCAGTTTCAGTGTGGGCACCCCTCTTCCCACAGGTGCACATGGGAACTGGGGACCCCTACACACCTGGCTTCCCTTCTTTCAATCAAACCCAGTTCCCTCCTGTCCAGTCCTCGGGCCTGCCTGGCATCCCAGCCCAGCCCATTAGTGCAGACATCGCCTCCCTGCTGCTGAGGTAAGCGGCATGAGGGGACAGGAGGAGGCAGGGAGAGTAGCCAGCTTATAAGATGCCTTTGTGTGAACTAGAGAAAAGTGGCTTTTCTGAGTGGGCACAGCCTCTTGTCAGAGCCTACCATCTGTCAGTGGAGCTCCAGCTGGCTATCACATCCACCTCCACTGGGCACCCTTGAGCAGGACACAACCTGTACAACTGTCCATGGAAGCCCTGGCTGCACTGCCTCCCCAGGCAGGGTGCAGAGGCAGAGAGCTGGAGCTACAGGGTGGGGAGGAGAGAAAGAGCAGAGAGGGAGGGGGCTTTGGGCTCTTCTAAAGCCTGGGCCTCTCTGCCACTTCCAACCTTTTCTGCCCCACCCACCCTTCTCCAGGAAGCTCAAAGGTCCTGTGGCCCCTCAGGAATGGCAAGGACACCTCCCAGGCTCTTCTTACCACCTGGGCCCTGGGCCAGGCCTGCACCTAGTGGTCAACAACCACAGGGTCTCCACCCCCATCAGCAACATCTTTGGCTGCATTGAGGGCCGCTCAGAGCCAGGTGGGCTTGCTTGCCCAGCAACACTCACAGCCTGTGGGAGGGGAGCGGTTCATAATCCCTGGCTAAAGATGGGGCTGGAGCAGGAGGCCCAGCAGAGCAGGAAAGGCTTAGGGGAGGGTTTGGAAGGGGTGAGCAGGGAGGGAGGCTAGCAGGTGGAGGCTTATCTGGAACTGAGATGGCAGTGAGGAGACCCTATGGTGAAATCTGTCCAGACCCAGGATGGGCAGTCCTGCAGTTGTGAGTTCCCCAGCACTGGAGCTAAGCAAGCCTGAGTGGGTGAGGTTATAGCAGGAAAGGGAGGTCAAGAAGATGAGCCTTTCAAGCCTAAGTGGATGTGGATAGTGGCAGGGATTGAGGATGCTGGTGGTCATAGGTGTGGATTAGAGATTCAAAGGAGAAAACCTATGGGGACCCAGTAAACAGCAGGATATGGCTGACAAGGGGGGTGATGGTCTCTGCTGAAGGAACAGACCAACAGGTGGGGCTGAGGGGAGGAGGGCACCCTTTTCAGGGGACAGCAAGGGTTGCAGGGCTTGGGTTGCAGAGATGTGAGGCACTGAGCAATGGGACTAGAGAGGAGGCCTGGTGGCCTTCCCAGGTGATGGGAGAAGCCTGTGAGTGCTGCCAGTATAAGAGGTGGACCCCAAACATCCCCTCCCTCAGATCACTATGTTGTCATCGGGGCCCAGAGGGATGCGTGGGGCCCAGGAGCAGCCCAGTCTGCTGTGGGAACTGGCATACTGCTGGAGCTGGTTCGGACCTTTTCCTCCATGGTGAGCAATGGTAAGGTCAGGGCCCGAGCCAGGACGGGGCAGAGAGGCAGTTAGGAGCACAGGCTGGTGGCCACTCAGACCTGGACTCCAAAGCCTGGCTCCTCCATGTCCTATTTCGTGGTCCTGGGCAAGTGACTTCACCTCCATTTCCTCATTTAAACGTGAAAGTGGTTAGTCGGTGGTCTGAGAGAAGAGTAAGCAGGGAGTCCACATGGAAGCAATCCATCACCGCTACAGTGAGTGAGGTCAGACCTGGTGAGCTGGGTTCTGCTGGGGCTTGATGGGAGGAGAGAGACCCCAGGGGACCAGGACAGAGGAAAACAAAAAGGGGGTCTTTGTTTGGTCCCCAGCTGGGTCCATCCTCCCTCTCGGTTCTGCTCCTAGGCTTCCGGCCACGCAGAAGCCTTCTCTTCATCAGCTGGGATGGAGGTGACTTTGGGAGTGTGGGCTCCATGGAGTGGCTGGAGGTAATGTGGGGTCCTGGGTCAGCAGTCAGGCAGAGGGGAGAGGTAGGGGGTTTCATACTCCACATTCCTCACCCACAGGGCTACCTCAGTGTACTGCACCTCAAAGCCGTAGTCTACGTGAGCCTGGACAATGCAGTGCTGGGTGAGTGGGGACAGTGCCACCAGCTGGGCCCCCTCTGTGCATTGTCCTCGAGACCAAGCCTTCATCCTTGCATCCCTCTCCCTCCCTCTCTGCAGGGGATGACAAATTTCATGCCAAGACCAGCCCACTTCTGATCAGCCTCATTGAGAACATCCTGAAGCAGGCAAGAGCCCAGCCAGGAGCAGGGGAAGAAGGGCAGCTGGTAGCTGCTAGAGCCTGACTGGTGTCCCCCACCCTGCCCCCAGGTGGACTCTCCTAACCGCAGTGGGCAGACTCTCTATGAGCAGGTGGTGGTCAACAATCACAGCTGGGATGCTGAGGTGTAAGTTGGGGTGAGTGGGGAGGGTGAAAAAGCTGAGAGGGGATATGGGGGTGAGCCTGAACCCACAGAGTGCTCCAACCTGCCCCCCGCCAGGATCCGACCGCTGCCCATGGACAGCAGTGCCTATTCCTTCACGGCCTTTGCCGGGGTCCCTGCCGTAGAGTTCTCTTTCACGGAGGTGAGACTGCCTGGCCCTGCCCCAGAGCAGCGGTCCCTCCGGCTGTCTGCACCATGCCCCTGCGCCACTCCCTCCCTGTCCCAGCAGGATGGCCAGGCGTACCCGTTCCTGCACACTAAGGACGACACATACGAGAACCTACACAAGGTGTTGCGGGGCCGCCTGCCCGCCGTGGCCCAGGCCGTGGCCCAGCTCGCTGGGCAGCTCCTCATCCGGCTCAGCCACGATCACCTACTGCCCCTGGACTTCGCTCGCTACGGGGACGTGGTCCTCAGGCACATCGGCTGCCTCAACGAGTTCTCTGGGGACCTCAAGGTCCAAGATGCCAACCCTGCTCCTGGGTTCTGGGGACGGAGGGGCCCCATATTTCTCCTAAGCGCTGCCCAGGCCAGGGGTCTGGCCTCTCCTCCCGCCAAACTTTGGGGTCTAGGTCCCCTCTGGCAGTCTGCCCCAGCCACCTGAGCCCCAAGGCAGCCACCAGGACCCAGCTGTACCCTCCCAACCGCCTAAGTCTTCTTCCCTCTTCCTTCATTCAGCACCCACCACTCTGTCCCCTTATACCTCCCCATTCCTGTCAGGCCAGGGTCCCCAGCCCCGTCCCCCAGCACCTGGACCCCCATTCTAGGCCGGGTCCTGGCCCCTGCCGCCGGCCCCAGCACGCGCCTCCGCCCTCAGGCCCGCGGGCTGACCCTCCAGTGGGTGTACTCGGCGCGGGGGGACTACATCCGGGCCGCCGAGAAGCTGCGGAAGGAGATATACAGTTCGGAGGACAGTGACGAAAGGCTGATGCGCATGTACAACGTGCGCATCATGCGGGTGAGGCCCCGCCCCCTCCTCCGCCCCCCTCCCTCTCTGCGCTGCCGTGGGCCTCCCTTCCCGTCTGCCAATTACGCTGTTCTCTCTCTGTGCTTGTTCTCCGTCTCTGGTTCTCTGTCTCTGTTCCCGAGGAGCTCGCGGTCCTGCACACACAGTGCTCACAGACCCGCCAGGCTAGAGCCATCACTGAAGCAGGCCCTGCAAAGTGATGAAACGGACAGGGAGGACCAGCCCCTTAGCAGAACACGTGGCAGAACTGGGACCAAGCCTCCCCTCGCCCCACCTCCAGACATGCACGCACACACATACACGCAGCCTTCCACTATCTCCCCACCCCTCTGGAGAGAAAAAGAATGTTCATGACGGTCCACAGGATTATGGCCCGGGAGGTGTAAAAAGGCTTAAGAAATTCAGAGCGGAGGAGCGCTCTCTTCCTTCTGGTAATGAGATAGGTGAAACCCAGAAAGACTGCCTGGAGGAGGTACCACGTGAAAGTTGTACAAGATCTTATTTCCCCACCAATTCCTCCTGCATAGCTTTGAATACAACCCGCACCCCATATCCAGTTCCAACCCCTTGTCTTCCTTCAATCCGAGAACTCAAACCCACAACCCTTCGATTTCAGGAAATAGAAGGGTAGGGACGGTGGCTGTGGGAAAAAGCCTGTAAGGCAAAATTTTAAGCAAGACCATCCTCAGTGAGCCTACGCATGCGCACGAGTTTGGGAAGAACATGGGTGGGTCTTACAGGTTCGTATTCTTGCATTTTCCTCTTTTTATCCCTGCCTGTTTCTCCTGGCACCACTCATTTCTTCCTTCTGTTTGCAAACCCATCCCTCTTGCTCTTTCATCCTTGCTTCTTTCTCCTGATCCCTCTCATTCTCTCTCAGTATCCCCTTCTTCCCCACCCCCCTTCCTGAACTCTTGTCTCTTCTTCCCTTTCCTTTGTCCCCTCTACTGAGATGCATGTGACCCTGCGGTGAGACAGCTTGGGCATGGTTCATTCTAACTCACAAATCTTGCTTTAACCCCTGCTGTCCAGACTACAGGAACACAAAAAGATAACTCTGTCACCAGACCTCCAAAATTGTCATATGGCCCCCAAGGGATAAAGGGCATCTGTGTGTAAGGGGCATGATGCAGACTCAGGGCTGGAGAGCAACAGATGCAGGACTTCAGAACGTGAAGCACAGGGCAGGGCCAGACCCAGGGAACTCTAGCTCTAGACCAGGGGTTGGTTAAATATGGCCAGTCAACCAGATTTGGCCTGCCATCTGCTTTTGTAAATAAGGTTTTATCTCATTGGTTTTCATATTGTCCGTGGCTGCTTTTATGCTATAGTGGCAAAGTTGAGTGGTTGTAAAAGAAACAATATGGCCTGCAAAACCTAAAATAGTGACTGCTTCTTTTGCAGAAAAAAATTTGCTAACCCCTGCTTTCAACTGTGATGTGGGTCTTAAAGGATGGACCTTGAGTTAGTACAAAGAAAAGACATTTATGGAGTAGAGACCCAGAGTAAGGGTGTCGCAGTGAAAAGGCTTGGTTTTCCTTAGGAGGAGGGTGAGGACCAGCAGAGCCAGAACAGGAGCCTTATGGAGAAACAGAGGGGTGAAGAGCGTCAGAGTCAGGTAGGGATCTCCTGTACGGAGTCCTGAATACCAGGATAAGAAATTTGTATTTTCAGGGTCTGGGCATCAAGGAAATTAGGAAGGTGTTTGAGCAGGGAGGTATTGTGGGCAAAATAGAGTTTTAGGAAGGATTTGGCCAGAGTGTAAACTTTATTCCTTCAGCAGGAATGAAGTTAGTGATTGCGTATCTCCAGGTGACGGTGACAGATGGCAGAAATGCCACCTGTGGGGGTGGGGACTGGCATACTTTGACACATTTGTCAGGAAAATGGTGTTGAAGGAAGAGGAGGAGAAGAATAGCAGCTGCCATTAATTGGGGGCTGCCAGGAGCTAGGGCTTTACTTCCTTTTCTGTCACAGAACTCCCACAAATCTGGTGAGGTTGCTGGTATTGTACACAGACCCCAAGGCTCCGAGGGGCTAAGTAACTTATCCAAGATCCCAGTAGGTGGTGGAGCTGAAATTAGAAACCAGACCATATGATCCCAAAGACTTGGACTCACCTCTGAGTCTGGGAGTCTGGCACCTGGGGAAGACCAGGTGCTCATGAGGGAATGTGGGCACCAGGGTCAGGTTTGGAAGCAGTTGCTGCCCCTCTGTGAGCCTATGTCCAGGTGCCCCCGACCCCAGTGGGGAGGTCCAGAAGGCCGGAGGGCAGGATTCCGGCAGATGATTTGTTGAACAGACTTGGCAACTGTTCTCAGAAGGTCCTGGTTGAAAGCCTGGGGCATGCATGAGCTATTTGAGTGAAAGATGGAGACCTTAAAAAGACAATGGATGTGTGAATAGACAATGCTTTTGCTGGAGTGGCACCCATGCAATGATATTTTAAAAGCCGCCTCCAAGTGATTCTAATACGCAGCCAGGGATGAAAACAGGAAGGAGGAGGGCAGAGGATGGAGGCTGAGCTTTGGGCCTGCCCACAGGTGGGAGCAGAAGGAACCAGAAAGATGGGAGAACTGGGCTAGGTGGGAGGCCATTTCAGGAAAGCTGAGCAGCATGTGAGTCAGAGGGTGAGGACAGAGAGTCAGGTGCTACATTAGGACTAGCCTGTCCCTTGACCTTTGACTCTGGGCTGTGGACACTGGCGGAGGTGGGGCGGAACAGCAGGACGACTATATTTTGAGGTTTTGGGCAGGGGAGTGAATGAGTGAGGAGGGAAGACAGGCGAGACGGAGATGCAGACTTGGAGGCTCAAGGGATGGAAAAAAGAAATCCAAAGAACAGCCTTAAGACGCAGCCTACCTGGCCACTGATGATGTCACATAATAGGCATTCTTGATTGGTTAGCCAGTGGGGAATGTGACTTAAGCTGTTCAACAACCTTTATTAAACGCGTACTAGGTTACCCCTTGGATAGGAGCTGCGGTTCAGGCCTTCGCTTCCAGGCAGAGCCATCACCCCAACCTGATCCCCCTCTTTGCGCAGGTGGAGTTCTACTTTCTGTCCCAGTACGTGTCGCCGGCCGACTCGCCGTTCCGCCACATCTTCCTGGGCCGCGGAGACCACACGCTGGGCGCCCTGCTGGACCACGTGCGGCTGCTGCGCTCGGGAAGCTCCGCTGACCCTGGGGCCCCCTCTCCCCGGGTGGCGCCCGGCCTGGGCTTCCAGGAAAGCCGCTTCCGGCGCCAGCTGGCCCTGCTCACCTGGACGCTGCAGGGGGCAGCAAATGCACTTAGCGGGGATGTCTGGAACATCGATAACAACTTCTGAGGCCGCCAGGGACTCCACAGGTCCCGCCCCCTGCCGGGAGCTCCTGCTCATCCCTCTTGAGCAATTTCTGGGTGACTGACAGGCACTTCCTCTCATTGCTGGCCGATTTCTTATTGGCCCTTCCTGTCTTTCCAAGGGGCCCAGCACAGACACCCGCGCACCCCTGGCCCTGCAGTGTAGGCGCAGGTGATCTGTGCCTTCCATAATGGGACTGTCTGTCATACTGTCAGCTAATCAGAGAGCGTCATCCGCTCCTTTAATCACACCTCCTTCCCTTTCTGGGTGGGGTATCCCACCCCTAGATACCACTTTGGAAGGTTCCCTAGGCACTGGGATCTGGCTAGCCCTCTTGGTGGGAGAGATGGCTGGAACCATAGCCTTATAGCCAACTATGGTGGGAGGGACTTGGATTTGGACCTTAATAAACCACCTGGTGGCATCCATCATTCATAAGCACCTTTATTCTTCTTCCTCAACCTCCCTTCATCCAATCATCCCTCCCTTGAGACCTAGGAGAGGGCTAGGCAGAAAGGGCCAAAGACAGTGCAAGTGGGGGTGCTGTTCCCTTTACCTGAGGAAGTACCGAAACTGCTTAAGGAAATAAGGAGAGCCCTTCTCCAAAGACCACCATGGAGTTAGGGGCTGGCTCTGCATCTTCTCCTGGGACCAGGGACAGCTACATAATTTGCAAGGCCTGGTGCAAAATGGAAATGCAGGGCCTCTTGTTAAAAAAAGAGCAACACTTTTTTCTTCCACAGTCTATCAACCTGTCATGGTGGGGTTTATTTGTTATTGAATGTCTACATCCCTCAGACAGAAATACTCTGGGGCAGATACCCTGACCCAAACCAGAGCCTCCCTTTGCCTGTACCCAGGGGTAGGAGCAGGGCAGCTGTCACTGGATGGGGGCAGGGAGCTGGCAGGTGAGAACTCATCCTGGGAAGGTAGGACACCCAGCACATACCACTGCCTCATTAGGCTGCACTTCCAAAATGTAAATCCAAAGACTTTAATTACAAATCATTAAGAATTTCAAGATGGTGACCATTGAGCATTAACCCACACACACAGGGTCCCTTTTGGAGCATGGGGCCCTGGGAGACTGCAGCAGTCACATACCCATTAGACTGGCCCAGCTGGCGACCTCTCCCCACCAGGATCCCCTTTGGCCAATCTTTGTCCACTGAGGTGAAAGCTGCAGGAGGTCAGGGAATTAGAAGTGCTTCTGGCACCACTTTACTGTTATTCATAGTCACTGGAGGCTGTGGCTCTGGCTGTCACCCCCAGGAGAGCTGCATAAATCCTAGGACTTGTCTCTGGGGCCACTTGATCCTCTCTTGCTCCCAGTATGGCATGAGAGGCCCTACCCTTGTCCACAGGATGCTGATAAGTGAAGGCCTCTTAGTTTAGCTGTGGATGTCCCAGCTCCTGGGTTCCAGGGTGATACTGCCCCTCATTAGCCCCTGAGCATGACTTAGTGGGTTCTCAGGAGCTTGGACTGGGTCGGGACCCTCTTCAGCTATTTACTACTCTGACATACTGTCCAGAACAAATTTCCCAGAATGGTTTCCCAGCCCTTGTTCACCTTGTCCATTTGCTTCCTGTAGTAAACAGAATAATGCTCTGGATAAAGACATCTAATCCCTAATCCCCAAACTTGTGAATGAATGTTACCTTATGTGACAAAAAGTTAATTGCAGATGTGATTAAGTTGAGGATCTCGAGGTGGGGAGTGTTTGGGGGCTGAACTGTGTCCCCAAATCCTTATGGTGAAGCCCTAATCCTCAGCACCTCGGAATGTGTCTGTTTTTGGAGATAGAGCATATATAGAGGTGGCTAAGTTAAAATGAGCGTGAGCCCTAATTCAATATGTCTAGTGATCTTACAAGAGGAAATTGGACACACAGAGATACCAGGGATGCGCAGGCACAAGGAGAGGAGCACATGAGGACAATGGGAAGGCGGCAGTCTGCGAGCCAAGGCGAGAGATTGCAGGAGAAACCAAATCTGTCAACAGCTTGATTTTGGACATACAGCCTCCAGAGCTGTGAGAAAACTAATTTCTGTGTTTAGGCCGCCAAGGCTGTGGCAGCCCAATCAAAGGAACCCAGGGAGAGTATCCTGGATTGGGGGAGGGGAGACATGCAATTACTAGGGTCCTTATAAAGGAGGCAGAGGGATCTGAGAGGAAGGAGACATGACAACTGAAGCAGAAGAAGGTCAGAGTAGAGACTTGAAGACTCCTGGCTTTTTTTTCCCCCCCAGTAATTTAAAACAATGATCATTTATTTTCTCCACTCCTGGCTTTAAAGATGGAAGAAGACACCACGAACCAAGGAATGTCAATTGCCTCTGAAAGCTGGTAAGGCAAGGAAACATCTACTCCAGGTGCTTTCAGAAGAAACACAGCCCTGTTAACACCTTGATTTTTTTTCCCCCAGAACACTCATTTTGCATTTTAGACCCCCAGACTGTGATAATTAATTTGTGTTGTTTTAAGCCACTAGGTTGTAATATACTGTCACAGGAGCCACAGGAAACTCACAGACACTCCAACTACTGCAAGCTCAGTATTTTATGGAAAATTTATTTGAAAGAAAGTCTGTGTCCCAAGCCCCTCCCACCCCTATACTGCCCCTTCATAGCTTTGTCTTGGAAAGCTTTCCTGATACCAGCAGGATACCTCAGTGCCCTTTTGAGTCCTGGGCACAGCCAGCTCAGTCTGAGTGATTATCACGCATACACATGTAAGTTGGTGAGGGTTTCACTGGGCCATGGCACAAGCCCTCCCTATGCTCCTAGAAACCCACTGCAGAGCCATTCTTTGCAAATTATTGGGGCTACATTCCACAGGGACCAGCTCTGGGTGTAGGAGGGTCAAGACTCCCAAGGCAGTGGGGCAGTTCCCAAAGTCTGTAAAGTAAAGCTGCAACAGCTCATAACCTTCCAGTTGCCTAACAAATTAAGTCTGTTTTAGCAACATTATCTTACAGATTTCTGTCACCAATCACCAATCAGCAAGCTGCCCCTCTGCCCTTCTTCCCCCTTCACCCTGCATCTGAAGGAAGGCTGGAAGCCTATCTTGTCCTGTGCCTTAGTTTCTCCTGCCTGGTTGAGGTTATGTCAGGCAATGCCATTTCCCCATGTCTTGGCAGGGACTTTGGTGTTTCTGACCCACAGAAGTTGACATCTTAAAGGAAGAGACAAAATAAAAGCAGATAAAGGGTTAAAAAGGCAGAAAAGGATTCTGAGGGTTGGAAGCATCTGGGCAACATTGGCAAGACACTCTGATGACTGAAGACAGTGAGACTTGGGTTTTACAGTAGGTGGGATTTGATTAGATGATATTTGTTTCTCTTTTTAGTTTAGGGACAGGATCCTATCTTAGGGCTAAAAGGGATCTTGATAGTCAATTTGCCCAATTCCCTCATTTTAGAGGTAGACACTGAAGCTCAGAGAAATTGCATGACTTGCTCAAGGTCACAGTTTTTTTGTGTGCAGCACCAGGACTAGAACCCAGGTCTTCTAAATCGTCACCGGGCCTCTTCACTGCCTCAGGCACTCTGGTCTCCTGGGAATGGGAGTAGAAGGAGCTGGAGGAAAAGAACTGGGAAGAAAGGTGCATGTTTCTTACATTTCTCAGTTTAACTTTAAAAATGTATTTTATTGAACTTGAAAATGAATACAAATCCCTGGGTATTGTGTGAGGTGGGTGGGTGGCAGGGAGGATGGGCAGAAAGAGGAAGGGTAGAGGAGTTGAGGCAAGAAGAGTGAGCATCACAGTGGCTGTCTCCCATTCGTGGCCCTGCCTAGGACGGGGGCGAAGGTTGAGCAGGGAGCTCAGGTCCGGAGGAACACCATGGTGAGGAGCCCTGGGAGAGGAGAAGAGCAAGGTCCCATGAGCAGCCCTGTGGCTCTGCTAGCCCTCTTTCCATCTCCAATCTCCCCATACCACTGTGCTTACCCAAAACGTAGGCTGCCACCAACTTTTGTCCCAGAGAAACATGCAGGATTTGGGGCAGCTGGCTGTCGAGTTCGTCCTGGAGTGGGAGCAGCAGGAAGGCCACAGAGACTATGCCCGTCAGCAAGAAGAGGAAGAAGGAGCTGGTGGCCAGTTGTGAGTGAGGGTCTGGGAAACAAGGTTCATCAGAAGCGCCAGCCTCCCTCTTGCCCAGCCTAAGGTCCTCCAGGGAGGGGGCTGAAGATGATGGAAGATGTATGCATTTTTTATTGCCATCCAGGAACATACTGCAAGTGTCCTCTCCTCCCTGGAGCCTCTGTCCCCATAATCTCTCTACTCTGGTCCCTCACCATGCTTTCTCTCTCTTCCCTGCGTGATTACTGGCTCCTGTATACCTATCTGTCAGTTGGAGATCTCCAACTCCCATACCCAGCACACAACTTGGTATAGCGTAATTGATCAATACAGGTCTCTAACTGAACCTAACTGAGCTGACACATGATAGGAGGTACGCAAGTGAGAGCTAAGGGACAACTTCTCCCTCTAAGTAGCAGCCAAAAACCAGGAAAACTGCCGTCTGCCTTTTCCCTAACCTGATATAAAATCTCAACTCCTAGGAATGTATCCCAAAAAACAAATGAATGAACCAGAAGAACTTTTCAACTCCAACTAAACTCATCTCTAGAGCAATGCTAGGTTCTCCCCCCTTCTACAGAACTCAAGAATTCCCATCCCAAACTCACTCTCTGGGAAGTGTCTGGCCGTGGGTGGCGCTGTCCAGGAAGGAGGCCCTGGGTGGGGCGTTGGGTCGGGCTGTCCCTGAAGCTCAAGGGGATGGGCTGGGGCCCTCAGAACCGAGGTGATGTCCTTGCGCCCCACCACTCGGCCCTCAGCTCCCTCCTCAGACAGCTCAATGCGAAAGCGGTCCTGGACATCATAGTGGCTGGGAATGGGGGCCACGTGGCGAATCACACTGGTCCCAAAAGAGGAGAGAGGCCCATTGAGAAGAAGTCAGTGAGAGGCAGCGATCCACGTGGATCCAAGCCCCACCTCCCAGGAGCCTTTCCTTCAGGGATGCAGACAGAGGTGGGGAAAATGGGTTGAAGAGCACTAGATCTGAGACCTCAGAGAGCGGCAGCGTAATTCAGAGAAAGGTGGCAGCGACCCCTGGCTTCCATTAGTCCCCCTCCCCGCCTTTCCCAACTCACATGTCAATGCACGACTGAGGTTTCACATATCCTTCCGCGTCAAACACTGTGTATTTGGCAGGTGCTGTGCACAGGACTAAGGAATAAAAGCACACAGAGACTAATTGTCTCAGAGACCTTACACGGGCCTTTCCCATGGAGGCGCACTATTGTCACCCTTGCCTTCTTCCCCAGGGCCGGGTATGACTCTTCCAGTCAGCCAAGGCTGGGAATCTGACCCACTCATTTGATTCCCTCAGCCCACACAGGCCCCCAGCGTCCTGCCGCCAGCCCCCGAATCCCTAGCAGAAGGCGCCCATCCCTTCACCTCGGAAGCGAAGAGCAGCTCCAGTGGGGTTATAGAGGGTCAGCAGTTGCCGAGGTCCGCTCCGCTGGTCCGCTCTGAATACTAGATCCGGCGGAAAGACGAGGACCGGGACAAGTCCCGAGGGAGGAGGGGCGCCCCGGGACCCTCGCCCAGGAGGCCCCGGACCCACCAGCTCCTGGTCCTGGGGCGCCCCACGGCGCATGCAGGCTCTGGACAGTGGGACATCCGAGGGCAGAGCTCAGGGGACAGGGCCTGTAGTCTAAAACTGGGAAGCGAGAGGGGCGAAAGGGAACGGGATGAGATCGCGAGGCAGGGCCTTGGGCTGATGCCGCCGTAGCCGCCTCTGAAGCCCGCTAGATGAGGATCCCGCAGGCTAAGCCCGGGCCCCCAAACCTTCCCGTCTCCACCTCTAGCCCCAGGTCTCTTTAGGCCCCACCCCTAAGCCCCACCTCGTTGGCCACGCCCACCCCGTAAAACCTGCCCCTCGCGGCTTTCAGCCAGGGTAGTGTCTCCAGGCCCCGCCAAAATCGCCGCAAGCCTCGCCCACTCCACCGCAGGACCCGCCCCTTCCGGTGTCCCGAGGCTCCAGCCTCCTCCCTTTCCGCTGCCCTTTCCGCCTCCTGCTCTCCGAATGCCTGTATCTGTGCCTCCCTGAGCTCGGGCCCGCGCTCCTTCGGACCTCCGGCTATGAGGCTGTCGGGTTACGAGGCTTTCCTTCCCGTCACAGCACCTGCCAATTAACTTGTGGCGAGACCCGGGCCGCCATCTTAACGAGAGACCTTTTCTGCTCTTCCGCCGTACGACCTCTGTCATTGGCTAGAGCGGCCTCGCTTTGCTGTAAGTATACGCCGATTGGTGCCCTTAAAGACGTGATTGGCTCGATCCCAGTGACGTAAAATTTACGGCAGTCTCTGGCTTGAATTACAGCCCGAGGTAAATCAGCGCAGACCCAGTCGAGTCTGTGAGCTGCGTTTTGTCCGTTTGTACCCGCTCTTGAGACCGTCTGAATCGTTTGAATCACATCCCACAAAGAAGCCTTTTTCTCCGTTTCAGTCCCAGGTTTTCCTGGAAGGCTCTTCAGCAACCAAAACCGTTTTCTGTAGTACTCGTTGGAGGTTTCTCCCAGTTGGACTCGGATCTCAGCCGATGGGTCCTCTCCTGATTCTTTTCTTCCTGCTCAGGACTCGGAAATACTCATATTTCACAGGGAATTAAGATTTACTAAACCTTGCCACTTATGTCATCTCACCGAAACTTCAACTCCTTTTACAGATGAGAAAACAAACAGCCTTGGTTCGCATGGTGAACCATCTCACCCTAGGCCACCCTATTGATTTGGCAATGGAGCCGAAACAAAGTTGATCTTAGTCCAAAGCCTTCCCTGAGCACTCTGTCAAATGTAGAATCTCCCTTTGTCCTCATTATACTCTTGGTTTCTTGATAGCATTCAGCACTACTTGACATCATGTTTATTTCATTGTTTCTGCTCCAGGACAATGTACTCTGCTCTCCACAAAAGCAAGGATTTCTTTCTGTTTTATCTTCAGCACCTAAAACAGTGCCTGATATTTGGAATGAACAAACAAGTGAGTGACCAATGAACTTTGAGCTGAGATCTGATTGCAGTTAGGAAATGAGCAATGAAATACTGTTAGGCAGAACAATAGATATAAGTGGGTGGAGGGAGAATAAGGCCAGTAAAGCCCACTAAAAGGGACTCAAAGAGTTAACCAGATAAAACTAGCCAGAAAAGACTCAGAGAATTTAGTTAGTTGAAGCTCCAAAGGCTAAAAGCAAGTTGGAATGTTCAGATATTCCCCAGATAAAGAAAAGTATCCTAGCACAGCCCATGTCTTTATTGTATCAATTAGATCATGCTGTAAGATTTACTTTAGATTGTTGAAAGGCCTAGTTTATTCTTTATCTTAACCTATATGCTGTTTTTTCCTCTTCCTGCAGCCCCTAATCAAGTGATTTTGTAACCAGGGCAGGAAGACAGACCTTGGAAGTGTAAATAAAGCTATGTGGACAAAGAATGCTGAAGTCCCAAACCAACATAGTCACCTAAATAACCCTTTTTTTTTTTTAAACTAAAAGTTGCTTTATTTGCTTCAAAAGTTTTTTTATTAAGGTAAAACCGATATACTCTCTTATGGTTTCACATGAAAAACATTGTGTAAATAACCCAGGACAAAACTCCAAAGGAATTATAAATCACCTGTCGTATGCTGACATTTACCCAAAACAAGTCCTATAAAACTCCAGACCCCAAACCCTTAAGTATGCCTCCTCCTCTCTGAGGTTGCCCACATTTGTCTTCCTTAGAGTGTGTCACCCTTTGTCCTACCTCAGATACTTAGGGAGGGGCTGCTGAGAGCTCTGGATAGAACTGCAGCTGTACAATCATGGTCCTTAGTAGCTTGCCTGAAAATCTTTTTTTTGCCTTTGGGAATTTCTCAGAACATAATCTCACTCTATCCAGTGCTCTGTGGCTCCCCCAAACCCTGGGGTGGTAGGGTCTTAGATCCCAAGCCATGCAGATCCAAGTGGACACTGACACCAGGTGACCCTGGCTTTAGGAGTTGGTAAGGTATTATGCCCTTATGCTGAGCAACTGTTCAGTGAGCTTCCCTTTTCCTTCCTCTCTGCTTTATTCAAGTAAACCTGTCTTTATCTACCTTGACTCAGGCCCTCTCCTCCTTTGGAGTGTATTTGAATAAAACTTTTACTCTGCTTCACTACTGTGTCTGCCCTTCAATTCTTAGTTGCGGCGGGGAAAAAACTGAGGAGAATAAACTCTCGCCCCCCCCTAACAATACTAATGGAGAGAATCCTGTATACTGGGAACAGCAAAGGCAAAGCCCTGAAGCAGAAGTGCACTAGAAATGGTCAAGAAACCGGTAGGACTGGAACAAAGTTTGCAAGGGAACAAGTGAGGGTGGATGCAGATCACCTAGATGATTTCATTCTGAGACTAATGGGAAACTATGGGAGAGTTTTTTAACTTTCTTTTTTAAAGACAGCTTTATTGAGACATCTTCAACATAAAAATTGTATGTATTTAAAGTGTACAACTTGACATCTTGATATGCATATACATTGTGAAAAGATCATCCCAGTCATGCTAATTAACATCCATCACCTCTACATAGTTACCATTTTGTGTGTGTGTGTTTGTTGAGAATATGGGGAAAGTTTTGAGCAGAGGTGACAAGAGCCAGCTTACATTCTTAAAAGATTCTGTATAGTAAACATCTGTTGAGTTGAATGAATGAATGAATGAAGAGAAATCCCTAGGATGGGCACCAAAATCATAGAAATGGAGATGTGACCCCTTGTCAGTCAAACATTTATTTGGATAAGAATTGGGTCCCTAGGGCAAGGGATGGGAGGCTGGCTTGAGTCTCAGGCCTGGGACCCAGCAGCCCCAACAGGCTATTTGGGGCACCTTCTCTTGCTGAGGTTGGTGAGGATCTGGTCCTGGTTGGGCCGGTAGGGAACCACAAAGCTCTCTGGAGGAAGGACAGGACCTCTGTTTTCTTCTACCTGGCCCATCAGAAGATAACTGGTTCCTGCGGGAGGGGAGGAAGGGAGGGATTGAGAGCTCATGTTATTGAGATCTTATAGATGTAACCCCTCATCAGAGCCCCTCAGGTTCTACCACCTCTATCATTTTTATGAGGCTAAGTCCCCTTCCCCATTTTCCCACATCTCTTACCTTTCTTCATGAGGGGACACTGCTTGCATGGCAAGTAGAACTTCAGAGAGGTGTCAGTGGGTGGAGAGGGCAGGTCCAGGCCTCCGGTTTTGTAAGCACCAATGAGACTGACAGTGACAGTGAGGCCTTCCTCTGGGCCCCGAACCATGGACTTCACTGTTGCGGTCACCACTGTGGGAGAGTGGGGGTGAAAGTTGAGGAGACAGGAGGCCAGGGCAGGGCTGCAACCAGAAGGAGGGGGACTTTGGGGATAGGAGGGGAGGTTAAAGGAGCTGCAAGAGCAGAGGTGGGAATGGGGCTCCTTACCCAGGCTGCTGGCACAGAAGCTGCTCTGCAGGGTGACTGTACGCCGGCACTGCTTTGGGCAGGGGACACTGGCTGCATCTAGGAGTAAGGGACAGCTGTTTGTGGAGGGTGACTTACCCAACAGTTGGGAAGGACCACTTTCCCCTAACAACCTCCTTGCTTTGACCTTGTTCAGAACTCCATCCAACTCTAGGCCCAACACCCAGGGCCAAACAGGCCCACAGCGGAGACAGCAGTGAGTGTTATAGGAATGAAGCCATGAGCCCCGGGAGGAACTCTTTGAAAAGGCCCCCTTCAGTCTGCGTCCCCTTCCTCCCCCTTCCCAGACTCACCCCGGTCCCCTGGAATTGCTTTGGCCTCAGGCGAGGCCTTCGGTTTCTCCGCAGGCAGGATTCCGGGCTTGTCTTGGGGCCCGGTTCCGGGCTTGGGAGCCGGGATCAGGAGCGGAGGACCGGCTTCGGAGCCGCCCCGCGGCAGCATCTTGTAGGAGGCCGAGAAGCCATCCGCCGTGACACTGAGGTCCGAGACGAACTGCACAAGAAGCTCGCTCCCTTCGGAGGAGATGGGACTGCAGGCGGCGGGCCATTGGGGCAGCGTCAGGTGGGCCGTGAACCCTGTCCCTACCTAGGCCGGTGGCCTTTTAACCTCTGCCCCTCGGTTGGCTGCATTAGCTTACCTACTTCGCAGGAATCTGGATCTGCCCACCGCACACCCAACGCCAAGCCTCCCCTCTGGCCTGGCTTCCTACCGGGTCCGCCCACCTGGAGCTCTTGGGTTCGGACTCCGCCTCAGCAGCCTCGCCCCTCCCCTCCCCCGGGGAGTGCCGTAGTCGTGACCCGCGGCCCACAGGTCCTGCCCCCCTCACCCTGGGGCTGTGTCACCGCAGAACTTCCCCAGCCTCTTGGAGTCGTCGTTCACGGCTCCATTAAACACGCTGACCGAATCGTAGCGGCAGTAGGTGTCAGGCTCCAGGTCAAACTTCCCGAAGGTCAGCGAGATCACCTGGTGGGGGGCGGGGCGAGGCTGCGCGGCGGGCCCCCGGGCGGCCCGAGGGCGCAGAAGCTCTGCACCGTTCACCACCTCCGCCCTGCTGCCAGTCTCCCAGACGCTCGCGGCAGCCCCCCTCCCATGCATTCACACCACTGCTCCGAGGATCACACGCACGTGGGAACCCTGCAGTGGCGTCCGTCGCAGTCGTCGACAAGGTTAAGTCCTGGCTCTTTCTCAAGGAACAGCCCAGAATCCACCTCCACCACCACCACATACAAAACCTAGTTTATATTATCAACATCTTGTACCTCGCTCACCAGAGACTCGTCACAGCCGTAATTTTACATTGTTTGCGTGCAAGCAGGTCTGGGTCTGCTTTTGCTCCCCACCAGCGCAAGCTCAGGGCTCGGGACAGAGTAGATGTCAATAAATCTTTGCTGGCTACACGCTGGAGAACGCCGCCGGGGTTTCCGAGGGCAGCTCGGGCAGGGGGTCAGTACCTGGTCCAGGGGCGCGATGATGTGCCAGGAACAGCTGATGCCCGGGGGATAATCGGACTCGGGCCAGTTGGGCGTGGTCAGGGTTCCCTGGGCCTTCTCCAGCCGCCCCCCGCAAAATTGGTGCTCTGGGGAGGGGAGAGAGGAGTGGGGGTGGGGGGCGGTGGAGACCCTCGGTCAGCTCGAGGACAGCTCTAGGCTGTCAGCCCGTGCAGGAAGCTCGGATTCCTGGGTCTCAGAATGAGGGGAAAGAGAAGGGGGTAGGTTAGCAGAGGGGACTTGGAGGAGCGGGGCTCAGGGACGTCTCGGACCGCCGGGCTTCCAGGCGGGCGGTGGAAGGGGGAGGAATTGGCTGGGTACGCTCCCTTCTTGCCCCTCCCTCTGACCCGCGGCCACACCGCTCCTCCTCCCCTGGGAGATCCCATCTCCCCGGCCCGGCAGAGAAGTCCCCTTTGCAGGCTGGAGAGTCCCCGCGCTGTGAGGGTGCCCTCAAATTGGGGCACAGCCCCCGAGGCCCCTTTGGGGAGGCCCCGGCCATGAAAAACGTTTTAGAGGAGACTTCTGCCGCTAGGAGGGGGTGATGGGACCGCAATCGGGAACCCTGGGCTGGGTGTAGGGGGCTCCGGGCCGGAGGAACCTAGTCCCCCAGGTCAGGGTGGCCCCTCGCGCCCGTCTGAGGGAGCCCGATTGCGGACGGGGGCGGGCAGTTACTCACCGTCCCAGTAACCCCAGGCCGCCCATTCCACCCGCGGGTCGGTGACCCATTTCCGCCTCGCGCCTGGGGGGGCGCCTAGAAGAGGGGTGGGTGGGTGCGGGATGGGGGAGAAAAGATGGGGAGGAGGGACTGAAGGGGCGGTTAGCAAGGGAAAAGGGTCAGGGAGGTGAGGGTCCCTAGGCTCTTGGGGTAGAAGTTAGGGCTGGGGGCGGGCCCTGCGCCGGGGGCGGGACCAGGAGAAGGGAAGGCGGAGGTGAGGGAGGTCTCACCAGTGCCTGAGGTGGCCCGCCCGCTGTACCAGAGCAGGAAGCCTCGTCCTCCCGTGCCCTCGTCCGCTGTCATCCGCAGGGTCACCTGGTTCCCGGGGGCGACTAAGGGTGCCGGCCGGAAGGTCCCGCAGAAGCGTCCGAGCCGCTGGCCCGAGGTTCCAGAACCGGCAAAGACCTCAAGAGCATCGTAACGACAGGCGGGGTGCAACTCCAGGTCGAAGACTCGGAAGGAGAGGGACACAGTCTGGCTCTCAGGGACCTGAAGGAGGGGACAGGGGACAGGACCTCCAAGTCAGGCCACACACCACCCAGGCAGTGGACACCTCCATTTCCCCCAGCATTTCCTACAGAAATGGCCTGAACGGAAAGGGACCCGATGAGGGTGCAGAGCAGAGAGCTTGTACAGGGGACAAGACCTGGGGTCTGTGGAGAGAGTAGAGGAGGCAGGAATGAGGCTGGGAGTGGAGAAACAGGAGGCTTTGAGTTAAGTGTGAGGACACTTGCCATATTTTATTGTGGGCATTGATGCCATCAATGACCAGAGGGGAGGAGCTTGCACTTCCCCTGGGAGAGGTGGTGCTGCTGGGGAGATGGGGCCCGGTAGCAGTCAAGCCTTTGGCTGCCTGGACTGAGCCTTGGAGACTTTGACAAGGGCGCGGGACCAGAGGGGCCCTCTCACCGTTATTGTCCAGATGCACTCCTTATTGGGGGGGTAAAGGTTGGGGAAACCTTCACTTGCCACGTAACCTGACTCCCCAGTCACATCCCCTCCACACAGGAACACGGGTCTGGAGGAGAGAAGAGGGGTCAGCCATGAGTGGAGAGCTCAGGAGGGGTAATGAGGAAGTGGAGACCAGGGAGGGAAGCCAGGGGTATTGAGGGAGAAAGGCCCAAGGGATCCTAGGCAGCCTTGTTCAGCCCGGATGACAAACACTCCAGCAGAGGATCAGCAAAAAGTGGGGCCAGTAACTTGGCTGTCCCTCCAATCCCCCAGAGTCCCCACCCCCCAACAGGAATTCCCGGAATCCTCCTCAGGGGTCCCCCCCCTTCCTTTCTCTCCTCCGCCTGGCAGTCAAGGACAGGAGCCGCCTAACTACTTCCAGATGTGGACACAGCCACGAGGCGGGAGGGGGGGAGGGGGCGGAGAGATGAGGGAGAAGCAGCAGTGATGGCCCTCAGATTGAACCTGGGAACGGGCTCGCTGGGCTCTCCACCTTGGCCCTGCTGCTGTTCCAACTAACTGCTTGAGTATCTGACTCCCAAGTGTCCTTCTTGCTGCCCCCTCTTCTCCCTACAATGTCTTATTTCCTCCTGGAATTCAGATGTCCAGCTACCAGGCAAGTTCAAGGTCTTGGTGCTCTCAGGTTCCATGGTGGCCAAGGGTCTGGGTGGATGGGGAGTGCAGAGGGCAGAGGACAAGGGTGGAGGGATGGGGAGCAGTGGTGACCTGCAGGGACAGTGGACTTAGCACAGGGAGGAGGGACTTGGGGGCCAGAGAAGGGGGTGCTGTGGGAAATCTTGGGGTAGTATGTTAGCAGAATCCACAAGATCCCTAGGCAAATCCCCCCAGGAATCAGGGCTTTGGAAGCTCCCTAAGCTATATTGAAGGTGCCAAGAGACCTACCTGGTGTAGTTGGGGGTCTGGCCCTGGGCAAAAGGCAGCAGGGCCCAGGCAGTGAGGAGGGTCCCCCGGAGCAAGGCTGTGGCAGCAGGCATCATGGCCAGGGGGCAGAGGAGCTGGGGTCCTCGAGGCAGAGGCAGCAGCTGAGTTCAGCAGCAACGGCAGCAGCAGCAGAGATACTCAGTGCCAGATGAGGCTGCCTCGGGTGTGGGCGTGGGGGCTGGCCAGTGGGGCGGGCGGCGGGGAGGCGGGACAAGGAGAGGAGAGCCGGACAGTGGTGAGCCCAGGGGCCTCTCTAGGTCCAGGACACATAAATATTGACCTAAGTAGAGGGTGGAGCAAGGAGGGGCAGAGGGAGCATCAGGCTCTCAGCCATGATCCAGGCATCAAGTAACGTCATCTGGAAACCTGCTCTGTCCAGTACCTGAGCATCCTGAAAACAGCCTCTGGTCCTTCCTGAGGATTCTCCAGCCCACCCATGATCCTCCCCATTCCTGCTTCCTCAGCACCCAGAGGATGTCCTTTCTTGGACTCCCAACCTCTAATCACTCACCCCCTTCCTGACCACTCCCTGCTCCAGCTTATTTTCCACTTCAAATTTCTACTGTCTTCTTTCCATCCCCAACAAGACTAAGCTAAGGAGAAAGAACTCTGTTCTCTCATTTTTCTCTCCCGAATATTTGGAGGCACAGGAGTGGGGTAGCAAGACCTAATATGTGGATAAAGGGAGTGTCTCCCTTGTCAAAAAAGAAGAAGATGGAGTAGAAAGTAAGGGAAAAGGACAGCATTTGAGGTAAACAGGAAGAAAGGGGGTTGACTTCACAGGGATGAAAAGAAATGGGTGAGAAGTTTCTGAAATTAGAGGAAGCGGCTTCCCTAGGATGGGTATAAGCATGGCAGACAGAAGGTCCAAGTGGAGGCACCCAGTAGCACATGTTGACTGAGATGTTCCAGAAGATGGGCCCAGGACTCACAGGTCTACAAGGCTGGGCTCATCCTGGGAGAGGGAGGGGAAACAAGCAGAAGGCCTCAGGTGCTGTCAGCTCTGCAGCACTGAATCTCCAGCCACTACTGTTCTGCTGCCTGTTTGTGCTCCCCTCTGGCCAGGCATCGGGCCCCCACCCCCAGCCCAGTTTTTCTCCCAGGCCCCAGGGTTCCAAACCAGGCCTCACTTCAGCCTTTTATTCTATTTGTCCATCAAATCTCTTGTCCATGATAGTCAGGTTAGCTCTTGGGTAGCCCCTGAACATTTTACAAAACACCCTGTCATGTCTAGAAGGCCCCCCTGCTGTATACCCCTCTCCTTACACCCACTCCACTCTCCTTAGCCCCTGGTCCAGGGCCAGACTCTCCCTCCAGGGTGGAGACCAGGAGAGGGGGGTCAGCTCTCAGGGGCTGGGGGGCCCAGGCCAACCCCTTCAGCAGCACTCTGCAGCATATCCAGGGCCTCCCAGAAAAAATCCTTCTGTGTGGCCATCAAGGGCATCCAGCCCACGATCTCCTTCATCTTCTCCATGCGGTCCTGCAATGTGGAGCAACTGTGGATCTGGCTGAGGTATTCTTCATAGGCCCAGGCTACCCTCCGAGGGTCCTGGGGTGCTCCGGCCTCCAGGCTGGGCTCAGAGGTCCCCACCACCCTGCTGGCTGGTAGGTCCCGATAAGCTGGGTGGTGCTCGATGTCATGGCTAGACAACATGTAGAGGCACTCTCTGGTAGAGCAGAGGGAGCAGGCACACAAAGGGACCTTGGAGGAGAGAAGGGTGTGATGAAGGGGGGCCTTTATTGTGGGGTTCCAGGGAGCCCCAGCTTTTGTGTTCCTCCCTCTCATACCAGCCCTGAGCCAGCAAGTGAACTAGGGCAGGCTGAGACATGGGGTTGTGTGAGGTCAGAGAGGGTCAGCAGGGGCTAAGGGAGAGAGCCAGAAGCCTTGGTGTATGGCCAGAAAGGGAGGTGGGTGGTGCTGGGGCCTTGGGACCCTGCAGGAGCCCCAGCTAGAGTCCGCTGGGCTAGCTGGCTCTATTGTGCCTGCCCTCCCTGGTTGCCCTCTTGCCTGATCCTGCTCTGACCTTGATGTGGAGCTTGACGAAGGAGGCACTCCCCTTAGGCCAGCCAGGGAGGCGGCCTCCAGCCCCACAACCGCAGCCCAGAAGCTCCTTGCTGAAGTCCGAACCCTGACTCAACACCAGGGAATGGTTGAGGCCACACCACAGGGCAATGGGGCGTTGTAGATAATGTACCTGAGGACACAGGCCAGGGTCCCTAAGGGAGCTAACACCAAGGGACTGGGGGCTCAGGGCAAAGAAGGGCTATAGGAAGGCTCAGGGCAAAGAAGGGCTATAAGAAGGCTCAAGGCAGAATCTTGGCAAACTAGGAGAAGTGGGGCCCAGAGTCCCCTCCCCTCCCCAAGGGGGTCCACCCTCCTGAATGTAGCTGGGCAGAGGTCTCTCACCCCTTGATCCTCTGGCAATTGCAGTCTGACCACATGGGCTCTGGCACTTCTGTTGGTTGCTCATCTTTGCTCCCCAGAAAACAGCTCCTTGCCTAAGGCAGGCCTGCTACTGACTAGTCACACTCACTATGTGGGCCAGTGCCAGTCCATTCCCTCATCCTGCCTTCCAGTCTCAGGACCAGGACTGTTCTTCCTCTCCCCAAAGGTGAAAGACTGCCCCTCCCCGTGCAAGTCCTGGTTAGCCCCCAGGAAGGACTTTCCTGCCACTTTCTTCTCCCTTCCCTCTGCAGCACTATCAACTTGTCATATTGCTGTTTTCTAAAATGACCACTCTATTTTGAAGAAACATTTCAGTATGATTCCTGCTGATGTTTCTCTTTTAGGCGGCAGAACTGGTTATGTGACCAGTATGAGGCTGCCCACATTCTTGTTCTCACCACAACCAATCTTTCCTGAACCATCCTGTGATGTCCCTTCTCTTCCTACTGTGCTACTGACATGTTCTCTCCAAATGCACTTGACCTTTCAGCTGCCTCTCCCGCATGCTTCCTTCTGAGATTGTGAGGGCTTTCATTTTGGAGACAGAGATAAGCAATTTATGATCATTAGAAAAATCATAAAATATTGGGAGGCAAAAATTAATTTAAAAATCAATGGAAATCCCACCACCTATTAACACCTTGCTGGATATTCTTCTTCACTGCTGCCTATACAAATATGTATATACAAATTGTAGATTTTCAAACTAAAATGGAATCTTACTATGTAAACCACTTAATCATTTTTTTTCACCTAAAAATTTGGCATGACCATCTTTCTATGTAAGTATGGTCTTACATTATCACTCTGTTACCATGAATGAAACCCTCCTGTTTGAAACTTTCTGTGCCCTGTGGCTCCTGGGATTTGACATTCGAGGGTGTGCCTCCTGTCTCAGACAATTTTTTCATTCCCTCGCCTTATTTCCAGTTTTCTCCTTTATCTCTACTTTTGTCATTTCAACCTTGTTTCAACCTGGGATCTAATTTGGACTCTTCCTGTTTCCTCAAACCTGCATCCCTTTCCAACTTAAACTTTTGTTGGTTGGTGATACCACCTTTCTTTAAAGGATGTATTGCCAGAGCCACCTTTGACCTACACCCCTTTCCTCACACATCCAATCTGTTTTCAGAACCTGTTTATTTTCTTTCAAAACATCTCATGTAGCCATTCCTTTCCATTCTTGCTGCCACTGTACAGCATCCAGGCCCTTGTCTCAAGTGCTGCCATCACTCAACAGCCTCCCAGTGGGTTTCTCATTCTTGGTGGCCTCTTGTGCACCATGGACAGATGACCTGTTTGCAGTCACCCCTGGAGGTACCTTCTCAGAATCCCTGAGGACTCTTTCCCAGATTTCTACCTTTCCAGGTTCACACCCACCTATACCAATTTCCAAAGCTCCCTCTGCTTTAGGTCAGTCTTTTCACTGTTCCAGGTATATGCAAGCTTTGTCCTTATCTCATTACACAGACTGCCCTTCCCTATACCCATCTGAATCCTGTCTAATCTCCTAGGCTCTGCATACTTATCACCTGTTCTAGTTACTGCAGCCCACCAGGTCTCCCCACTTCACTAAATCCCTACTGCACTGCAAAGAATAGACCTCACAGTGCCAAGCTGGGTAAGCCATGCAGCGGTTACACAGACGTTACATTTGGTTGCCTTAAATTTGCCAGGGAGTAGGGAGTGGAATCTAAGGAAAGCAGAAAAGTGGAGATCCAGGGGATATGGAACTGGAGGAAGGGGTTAGGATAAGCATTGCTGGGAAACAATCTCACTTCTGTGGGTTCCCCTCGGTCCATTTTGTCCCCTGTTCCCAGCTGCCCATATCTGTTATTTCCTTGCATAAAGATTCGGCCAAATTCATCTACCAGGCCAAGGTGATTGTAGCCAAGAGCACAGAAAAGGATCTAGGAGGTAAGATAAAACAGAGAGGTAGACATTCAGTTCCCTCCAGAGCACGTCTGGGCTCCAAATCTCCCAACTGCAAACCTGCCATTCCCAGCTGATTTCTTTGGCCTTGCCCTCTACATCACCCCTCCCTCTGAGTCCCCTGTCCTTCCCTGATCATTTGGTTTCTGCCCATATTTTTGGCCTTTCAGTCCCTAGCCTCCCGCTCTGGTCTGCCCCTTTCTTCCAGGATCCTACCTTGGCAGGCAGCGAGAGAGCAACCGGCATTTGCTGATCCAGGGGGTCAAAGGCTTGAAGGGTCCCAAAGAGATCACGATACACCCCCGGGGTATGCACCTCAAAATACACTCCCCCCTGGTCTGGGGGGTTGGGAGCCCTCAGCTCAGCAGCTTTGGGCTCCCATTACCTAGGGATAAGGCCCCGCCTGGAATGAAAGCTGCAAGATCTGGGGAATCACACACCCACTAGCAATTCACCAGACAGGATGTCTGGGAACCTAAACTGAAACTCATCTTTTCCCTGGGATGGTCAAAGGGGTCCACCACAGAGCTGGAGTAATGATAAAGGGGTGTCCACATCTAGGAGGTACATCTAGGGCTGGGGTCTGCTGCAGAAGGGAGATGGTTCTCACCCGTGATGTACAGGGTACTGCTCTGGTTGGAAGCCATGCAGGCCACCCGCAGGTGAGGCATGCAGCAGGACATTTTCCTCAGGGCCAGCTGGACTGTGTAGGAGTGTGGCTGGTCCAGCTGGGTTTCATTCACTACCAAAGAGTAGATCTTTCCTTCCTCTGGGAGTGGGGAGAAGCAGACAGTTATGTGGGGGAGGGACCCTCTAATGGCCGCATTAACTTCCCAATAGACTCTCTAAGCCTATGGGATGAAACATTTCCTGCCCCAGAGTGGGGCTGGAAGAAAAAGGGTAGAGATGAAATAGGGGAAGAGTGGCTGCAAGTTCATTCCCCAGACCCCAGACCCTTGCCCCCCGGAAGAAATCAGGAAAGTCCTTCAGCATGAGAGAGGAGCAGAAAAACCAGAAGTTAGACTTGGCAGAATTCAATTTGAGTGTTAGGAAGAATGATGTCTGGGGGATTCAGGGCCCTGCTTAGCATTAAGAAGAGCAGAAGTTCTCAGGCTTGGGAATGTGGTTAAATATAGGGGACACTGAGAAAGCGGGGCAGGGGGACAGTTGGGGGTATAAAGTGAGGTGCCTGGCATGGAGGATGGAGAGGCTAGAATTTTAAAAACCAGGCTTTCTCTAGAACAGTGGTTTCCAACTATTTTATGGCTGGGCCCTTTATTCATATGAAATGTGTGGAATCCTAGGCTAGGAGACAGACAAGAGCAGAGCTATTTGATCAGAGAGCAGAATGAGGTGTCATGCAGAGCCCCATGTGCAAGGCTTCCCCGAGCTTCCCCTGCAGCAAGAGCCTGTGGGAAACAGTTTGCAAACCACTGCTCAAGGCCACACCTGTGAGCAGCAGTAGAGCACGCTGGGTCTCCTGGCCAACGAGCACAATCTGTTTGAACCTCATGGAGTGGTGGAAGGTCATCTTGAAGACCCGCTGTCCACTGGACTGCAGATAGACCTCGACACAGTCACAGGCCTGGCTGCTGCTGGTGCCTACCGCTCCAGGCTGCTCCCGCATGGCCAACACATAGAGGTATTTGCGGTAAACCGTGTCACATCTTGGGTCCGAGGCAAACTGTAGGGAAAGATGAAGGTGTCTGAATCTAGGTCTAGAGTGGGATGAGGCTGGGCCAACTGGATCCTGGAGTGGGACATGAGATACTTAGGTCCAGTGTGGGGAAATAAGGCCTTGTTTTCCAGTTCCTGGTATGGGAGGGCTGCCATCCTTAGGACACCACCTAACCCTTAGGACACCCCAGACCCTTAGGACTGGGGTGGGCCCTGGGTCTCCAGAGAAGGGGTGGGCTTTCGGCTGCTATGGCTCTGCTACTTACATCCTTGACTCCACGGCACAACACAACATAGCGGCAGGCCTGCTTCCACTGGATTTGGCCAAGGGTAGAGGAGACCAAGGCATTTTTGAGGAAGAAGAGAGTTCCTGCATAGTCAAGAATGAAGACGTGGTCCTTGGTGGGCAAAACGCGGCGGTAGCCATGAGCTAGCAGGGGGGCTACACTCTTGCTGAGACAGCGGCGGCGACCCCTAAATGCCTGGAAATACAGGCCCTTCGTGTCTGGATAAAGGAAGGAGATGGAAAGTTCAAGGAGCCAGGCTGACACAAGGGTGGTGAATCAGAGCTTGTGAAAACTGCATTTCTCAGATACCCTGGTATTTAGCTTCTCTCTATCCCCAGGACTAGGGAGCAGATGCCTTCCAAAGGACATATGGAAAGCTTAGAAGACATGCTTAATTATGCCCCAAGTCTGGACTTCAGTTCTCTACCCCACCTCAGCCCAGGGCCAGACACTTGCTTCTAAGTGAGCAGTTCTTTGGTTCAACCTTGCATCAGACACTTCAAGGGAATATAAGAATATAGAAAACAAGCAGAAAGAAGAGTGAAAAGGAATGACTGAGAAAAGCCAGTAACCCCTGTCATCTAGCTCTGGATCTGCTATCTGTATCTCCACCTCCAGTGTGGAAGATGAAGTAATTGGATAGGGGCTTGCTGGCACAGGATGGGGGTTAGAGCAAGGTTCACAACCTGGGATTTTGTCCTTCAGGGGACACTGTCACAGCTGGGGGAGGGGCTACTGGCATCTCATGGGCAGAGGCTGGGGATGCTGCTAACACCCTACTGCACACAGGACAGCCTCCCAATTCAAATAACTATTTGGCCTAAAATGTCAACAGTGACAAAGTTGAGAAACCCTGGTTTAAAGGAAGGAAAACTGCAGGTGTGGGAGGTGGAGGATGTCTCAAGGATGAGATTTGGAAGAGAGTTTGGTAGGGATGCTGGTAATGGGAGCTCTGGGTGAGATGTCTATGGAGCCTTGACGTGCTTGATGGCATATGTTTGCATTGTTAACAAGTGCCTTCCAGACAGGGGCTCTGGGAGTTTGGCTGGGAATGCTGAGGCAACTTTATGGAGCAAGAAGGAGGCCAGAATAAGATAGCACCAGAGACAAAGAGAACTGGAGGTTCTGGGGAAGATGTACAGTTAAGAATGGCAGCTCTCTTCCAGGGCCGGACCCCAGAACTCTGCTCCCGTAGACGAGGATTGAGCCTGTGACAGATGCGTCTCCACACGCTCTCAGCATCACACACTTTGCGGAAGTAGTGGCAGGTCTGCCCTAGAGCGACTACATCTCTGACTGGGAGGAATGAGATGATATGCTCCACCTGGGGGGCAGGAGGGAGGAAGTAGGGGTCACTGACAGGTGTGCCCAGTGATCCGGCCCCCTTTATTATTACCTCCCCTGCTGCAAGGACTCACCAGCTCTGGGGGGAACAACTGAACAGAAATAGGGTTCCCTCTCCCCTTCTTCTCTTCACCCCCAGGCTCTGGGCCACATGAAGGGCAGCTCCGCTTCATCTACCCAGGGAGAAAGGGGAGCACAGGTGTTCCATGAGAGCCATGCCTCTTTCCCTTCTTACAGCCTTTCATTACTGTCTTGAGGGCTCATAACTCTGACTTCCACCTCTGTGCTGTCAAATCCTTCTAAGTCCATGTGTCACCCCTCCCTGGGTCTGCCGTGTTGCTTGGTCCAACTTCTTCAAATCATCTCTCCCCCAAACACTTGCTGCCATCTTCCTGCCCTTCTCTTTCCTGGTTCCCCCTCCCCCTGAGCTCCTCCTATCTGCACAGCCTAGGGAATCTTTGCAGCTTCCATCTCTGGCTTCTCCTTACCATCCTGACTGCCCCCTCCCTGCTCATGTCCTCATCTCTCTGGCCTCCTTGGTGCCCAGTACTCAGCTCCCTGGCCCCTGGCCCTGCTGCTTTTCCCACACCATGTCCCCTGCCTGGGCTTGGGGGACCTCTAGGGCCCCTCTGCCTCCTAGCCCCTCCCCCATGGAGTCTGGGACAGACAAACCTCTCTGTGACCTCACTGCCCAGCCACTGTGACCTATTTTCCTCCTCAACCTTGCCTGAGATTTTCTCTCACACAGCTACTGGGTTCTAGCTCAGTTCTAGTCACTCAATGGCTCATGGGATGGATATGCATTTTACAGGAGAAATTAATTGTGAACACTGGTAGATGAGGACTTTACTTTCAGGTTTTCCTGCTTGAGGTCCTTTTAGCACTAACTCTGTATGTACAAACACTAGTGAATCCTTCATATCTCAGCAGGCTAGGGCCTCTGGGGGATTAGTAGCTCAAGAGTATAAACTCAGAAAAAGAAAAGTATAAATTCAGTTTCATAGGTGAGGCGGGGAAAGTGACCCTGCTAATCATTTATCTCATGAAAGCATACACACACTGGATGAAAATGGGAACAATTCAGCACAAACTCTTTATAAAGTCTCATAAAACACATCCCAAAGCAGATTTCCTGGAACAGTAACAACAATGCATGTATGGACAATCTAATACAGTGGAAGAAAGGGATAGATAGATACTCTGAAGGCTTTGGATGTTTTCCAGAGTCTAAGGTACTACTTTAGCTTTATGGGGGGAGGGAGGCTGACATATGTGAGACACAGGAGTTGAGGTTGTGTATGTCCAGGCAGGGGCACAGGATCTATAGACACACCTATGCAGTAGCTGGGAAATCCAGTCCCGGACAACCAGCCCTCAGCTCTGCAGTATCACACTTTCATGCTTTTACTGTGCCAGCTATGAGACTGTCAAACATCCAATCAAACCCCTTATTCATGGTGACAAGTAAACAGCTAGTCTGGGACTCCTAGGATGGAATTGTAATAATTCAATAAATGTTTAGGAGTACCAACATCTGAGATGTGCCTTATGAGAAACAGCCTTCAGTTATTTGTGGTTAGGCAACTATCAAGGTATTAAATAGACTGATAATATTTTGCCATCTAAAAGGATGTTAAGATCTCAGCAGGCAAGAATCGTTATCTTCCTCTTGTATGGGGGTCCCCTTTATCCACTCCATTGCACCCTGGGAGAAAAAGAGGGTGCAAACAAGAGTCCACTGTAAAAGCGGGTGAGGTGGGCCACCTGGCTTCCAGTGCAAACTGTCAGTAACTTGCTGTTCGCTCTGGCCAAAGCACCAACTTCCCTTCGCCTCAGTCTCCTCATCTGTACAACGGAGGTCTTCCAGATGGACATCTAGACTAAACCCCAGGTCCTCTCATCACATTTCCTGCCTAGGTGCGCTTCCCTGGTCAGGCTGGCAGGCCGGGCGGCAGCTCTCCCCGGTCTCCTAAAACCCTCCCTCCAAGAGCAGAGCGCAGCATCTCGTCTCTGGGAAGCCCCCCTGACCGCCGGGACTCCGCAGACGGTCGCAAGGCCTCAGCCCCCGCAGCCGGAGTGGCTTTCACGGTCCCTTCGGCGCAACGACTTCCGGCACACTGGCCTCAAGTGTCGCCTTACACCTTTCGGCGTCCCTCACTCCCTCAGTGCTGGCTTCCTCCCTAACTCGTCCAGTTCGCACTCGCCATTCTAACCCCCGTATTGCTCCCAGTCGGCTCCACGTTCTTTATTTCAGTCTCAAAAGTTCTAGCTCACCCGCCTCCTCCTCAGCGAAGGGACCGCCTCGTCACCTCCACTATTGGTAGGGGGAACTGTCCCTCAGAGACGAGGCCGGGCCAGATTCCTTCTGGAGATTTAATTGGTCTTCTTGACAGTCACTCGCCTGTATCTGGCTTGCGATTGGTCTTCATTGGACGAGAGCCCGCCACAGGCTTGCGCGCTCTCCGCCGCTATCACTTCTAGTCAACTGCTGGAGCCCCGCCTCCTTCTTTGACCTGATTGGCTCCATCTCCAGCCCTAAGCATTGCGATTGGATGCGGCTGCGCGGGGCGGGTCGGCCGTTGGCTAGCTCTCCAACGTAGTGCCCCTCCCTTTCCCTGTCTCTCCGCTGGGTCGGAGTCTCCACCCCCGCGGAGGGTTCTGATTAGCCACTTCCGACGCTTCTAGGGACCCCGATTGGTCTGCAAGGTCCCTGCGCTCGCTTCCTCCTCCTTAAAGCGACTACGGCGGCTCCAAGGAGGGGGAGGGGCAAGGAGGGACGGCCGGCCTCGTCAGTCAGAAAGCAGGAGCCGCCAGGAGCGGATGGCGGCGGCGGTAGCGGCCCCCCTCGCCGCCGGAGTTGAGGAGGCAGCGGCCACGATCTCTGTTCCTGGGTCTCCAGGTTTGCCCGGGAGCCGTAGTGCAGAGCGGGCCCTAGAGGAGGCCGTGGCCACCGGGACCCTGAACTTGTCTAACCGGCGCTTGAAGCACTTCCCCCGGGGCGCGGCCCGCAGCTACGACCTGTCAGACATCACCCAGGCTGGTGAGTGCACCCGGCCCTGAGCCCGGCCGGGGCCTAATTTGCATGTCCCCGCCCCCAGCTTGTTTCTCCCAGGCCGGGGAGTGTGGCCCGCCCCTTCACCTGGCGGTCGGGGTTCTCGACTCTCCACTTTTACATAAGCGTGCTGCCACCCACTCCTCACTTTGAGAACTGCTAAACTGAGAACACATTTCTCTTTTAAACGGAAAGCCCAGCGTCCCAGGCCGAGCGTGGTCAGTTTCACCTCCCTGCGCTTTATTTGCATATCTGCCTACCTGTAGAATGGTCCCGCCCCTCACCTGGTTGGCTATTTGCATGACCTCTTCAACCTCAGTTCTGACCCGTCCAAAAAGCAGTCGTCCTGAGGACTCCTTTTTCTTCCTCCACTTTGTCTCCAACCGTTTACCACGTTCCACCGCGATCCGAGCAGCCCCAGGCTCCCCCCGTTCCCATGGATTTACCCTTAACGACGTGATGTTTTTGCTTACTTTGTAGTCCCGCCCCCTGAGGTCGCTGGCCCTGTCTACTGTTCACCCAGCCATCCTACAGGAAAGAAACAAACCTCCCGAACTCTTTCTCCCCAGCTCTTCCGCTTTTTATCCCTGACCCCCTTATCTGAGACTCCTCCTCCCTCCTGCGTGTGTAAGGTCACTATGAGCCTGTGATCTCACGAAGACCCTAGAATTACCCTTTCAGTTTTTGCTTTTCTTAGGGGGAGGGACTTGAGGCAGTTGCTGAAAGAAAGGACATTTTATCTCCTAGCTAGGAGTGCTGGGAAGCTAGAGACTGTCTCCCACAGTCCTTCCACTCCCCCACCCACAAGGTCCCGCTAATCATGCCTCCACCCTGGTGTCTCTTGATGGTAGGGTGTGCAGGACTCTACTATAACAGGTGAGTCAGGCCTCAGCTGCTCTGGAAGCAACAACCTATGACCTTGGGCTGGCAGCTGGGGGGTGGAGATTGGCAGAGGGGAGGAGGACTGCATTCCCGAAGCTCCACCCCAGCCTAGCCCAGGGTGGGATATGGGGCCTGGGGTTGTTCGTCTGAGGGTACTGGAACTGGTGTCTTCCTTAGCAGGTGCCTTTTCACCTGTTAACTCTCAAGTGGGCACAGATACTCTTTACCCCACTCTTCTGGGGAGAACCAGTTGAAACCTCTCCACTTTCCTTGGGTTGCTGGGTAAACTAACTTGCCCACGATGCAGTCACTGGGTCCAGGGAATGGGTGAGCCCGGGAGCCATTCCTATCCCTCTCAGTCTCCCCCAGCTGCCCTTCCCCCATTCTCCAGATTGACCTTAGCAGCTGTGTGACACTCACAGTCTGTTCCCTTTTTCCTCCCCCTTGCTTGTCTTCTAACAAAGACCAAATGTTATTCTTTACTTCCTTAAGGCTCTGTCTCTGAGTGGACTCCTGGGGAAAACTAAGAACTCCCTGGCCCCTCCCAGCTCTTACCCCCTTTCCTCCTCCCCCAGCATTCCGGCTCAGGGTGCAGTCAGTACTGCAAATGAATTTGTGTGGTGAGGCGGGAAAATCCCAGCTTCTGTAGAATCCCTCTCTGCCCTGCCCTCCACACAGGAATCCTCAGTCCTTTCAGGGCCCAGGTTCTAGGCCAGGTGGGATCTTTATTCAAAACTCTCCTGTGTCCTCCCCTCTGCAAGGAGGGTGCTTATAACTTGAGGCAGAAAGGGGAAGTCACAGAAACACAGTGTTGCCCATACCCTGCTCTCCATGCCTCCTTGCTCTCCAGTCCAGACTAAGAGCTTCAGTGCTCTGCTGCCTGAATCGTGATAAACTCTTTCTGCTTTCCCAGCTTTTTCTGAACCTTCATCTTCCTTGCATGTTTCTGATGGCACAGGTCCCTGATATCCGTTAGGCTCTGGTCCGTGGGCTGCCCCCCCGCCCCCCGAAAAGTAGGATGGATCCCGAGAGGGGGAGGGGCTGCTTTCGCAAAGGAGAAGTGTCGGCTTGTTCTCACAGACCACATCCTGTTCCTCCTGTGCCCTGCCTCCTCCAGCCTGGGCTCCCTTCCACTCCTAGTTTTTGGCCCCACCAGTTGCTTACCCCTGATAACTTGTCCTCCACCCCCTTCATCCACAGGCATGTACACTCATGTGTGGCCTTGTGGAAAGCAGGCAGGTGGAGGGAGGGTGAGAGGAGAGCCACATCTGATCCTCCCATTCCCTCTGGAACTGGCTTCTCCCTTCTCCCAGGACGGGTCTTCTATCTGTGTGCATCCTCGCTGCTGCAGAGAGGGAGAGAGAATGATTGCTGGGCATCAGGCTGTCATCCACCGTGGGTGGTCCCACCAGATCTAGGAATGACAGATTGTTTCTACTTCATTTCCTGTCACAAGACTCGTTTTCTTGGGGGTATACCCCAGCTTCCCATCACCCCGGCTTTTGCTCACCTCTTTCTGTGGGTGGGGGTGGTATCTAAGATGCTTCCCCTAGTTCTGTTGCCTGGGACTTCCCCCCAGCAGGCCCTGGGCCCCTGCCACTACAGGCTAAGCAGAGGAAACAGAAACCGGGGCTGGTAGAGGTCTAATCGGTTTCCCCACATTGGTGGGAACCCCAATGCCTGACTCCTTGCCTTAGAATAGCAAGCCACTGCTTGAGATAAGGGGGTGGTAATAGAGTCTACCCTCCTTTCCGCCCTCTCCACTCCTCACTCATGCCCACAGCACAGACAAAAGACATGATCGTCTGAAGTCTGGGTCAGTAAGAGAGGGCGTAGAGGAGGGCTGTGGGCCTGGAAGAGGGTGGGAAGGAGGCCAGCCCTGAAGAAGGTGTACTGAGATGGGAGGGATTTGGGGATTTCTAGTTTCCACCTCCAGTTTGGTTGGCTTGCCTTCCCCTCCTCGTCCTAGGAAGTCTGTTACTTCAGAGATCCTGTGACTTGGCTTACTGATCCCAGGGGCTGGTGAAAAACCTTTGTGCAGTGTCATGAGCCTTACTTAACTCTAGAGTCGGGCTGTAATGACCCTTGGTTTCTCCCTTGTGTTGAAGCAGGGTGAGGTTGGGTGATTGGGCCCCTGAGGAGGGATGAGCTTTCTCCGTGGTCTCCCCAGAGGTTGACCATACTCTTACCTTGAGCCTCCCAGCCTTGTCACCTTGTTTTCTTTGGAGCACCAACCTCTCCTACCACCTCTGCCCTGCACCTCTCTTGGCATCACAAAACAACAGGAACAAAAAGCAAGGGTTACAGAATCCAGCCATCCTTCCAGGATGGCCCTTCATTTGCATGTTTGAAGATGATGTTCATGGCTTATCCCCCATGTCTGGGCTTCTGTGTCCCAGTGACCCTAGCGCGTTCGCCTTCTGTTTGCATTCTGGTCATGTTTGGAATGTGCTTCACTTTGCAGAAGGCTTTGGTTCTGTCCCCAGGGAGCCCAGGTTTACAGGCCTGATTCTTTAGGTCTACTGGGAGGTAGAAGGCTGGGCAGCTGGCTCTGGGGAAGTTACAGGGTTCTCCTGTCCAGGGCTGGGCCTTTCCAAAACTCTCTCCTGACACTTACTTTCCCAGACCTGTCCCGGAACCGGTTCCCCGAGGTGCCAGAGGCAGCATGCCAGCTGGTGTCCCTGGAGGGCCTGAGCCTCTACCACAATTGCCTGAGATGCCTGAACCCAGCCTTGGGGAATCTCACAGCTCTTACCTACCTGAACCTCAGGTAAGGAGGCGTGGCAAGGGCAGCGTGCAAGGTTGTCCTTCTCAGCCCCACGTGCCCTGAGTGACCCTGAAAGGAGGGCAACACTGGGATGCTAGGCCCGGGGAGCAAGCCCATTGCCTTTGTCCCTTCCACAGTCGAAACCAGCTGTCGTTCCTGCCACCCTACATCTGCCAGCTGCCCTTGCGGGTGCTCATTGTCAGCAATAACAAACTGGGAGCCCTGCCTCCTGACATCAGCGCCTTGGGAAGCCTGCGGCAGCTTGTGAGGATGGGGAACAGGGCAAACCGGGGGTGGTTGGGGCTGTGCAGCATTGGGGCTCTAGGGACCTCTTTAGGGGAAAGGCCATGACTAAAGGAGACAGCCAGAGGCAGGTGGTGGTTCTGCCCCTCCTGGTCTTGTGGCTCCTTCCCTACTTCTTTCCTGATTCCAGGATGTGAGCAGCAATGAGCTGCAGTCTCTCCCCGCAGAGCTGTGCAGCCTTCCTTCCCTACGGGATCTCAATGTTCGGAGGAACCAGCTCAACACCTTGCCTGATGGTGAGAAAAATGAACAGCTCGGGGTGTATGCAGGTGCATGTGTGTGCATCTACCTTGGAGAAGTCATAGGCGAGGAATCTTCACAGAAAAACAATACCTTAGGTGCCCAGGGTTTTGCACTGTATAAAAAGTTTATTTGCTCTTGACTAGCAGTCCTCTGAGGCTGGCAAGGCATGGATTATTAGCTTTATTTTACAAACACACAAAAAGGCATAGGAAGGAGAGTAGGTGAGCGTGTTGGCACCCTGTAGAATCTCATGTTTCAAAGGTTACCCAGTGTCCCCACTCGCCTCAGCAGGAACTTGCAAACACCTGAGGCTGATGATACCCTGTGCCTAGTCCCCAAAGATTCTAGTCAGAGGAGTCCTGTGCTGAAGCCCAGGCATCCCCATTTTAGTGAGCTAATTGTGATGCACCCCATTATTTGATAGCATCTGCTCCAAAGCAGGCACACCTCCCTTTATCGAGCCAGCAGTTCTGTGTGTGTGTTTTAGGTGAAGAACAGGTAGATATGAGTGATGTCACTAAGATTTGGGGCCAACTCTTAAAACATAATGGCTTCATGAGGAGAGACAAGCTGAGGAAAGTGCTAGAACAGGACTTCTAAAGCGCTGCGGGGGTCAGGGGGCATGCGGCTGTGCAGAGGCAGAGCAGGAGTGGCCTTTGAAGGAGAGTTCTCCTTCCTTATGCATCCCAGGCCAAGGGAAGCCTGCATCAAAGCATGGGTGTAGTTAGGGAGGCAAGGCTGGACAGGAAGGGCCTGTGCCATGCTGGCCTTGGTTTCAAAGAACAACAGAGAGGAGACTGGTGGTTACCAATTTTCTTTGGGCCCCTACTCCTCCAGCCTTCTTCCTTTCCAAATCAGTAGGGGTACAGATAAGCATTTGATCAGGGCCACAAAAGAGACCCCAGCCCAATGCCTTGGGGGATACAGGAAGCAGCAGTGAATCCCACCCTAATGTTTGGGAAGATTTCCTGGAGGGAGACCACACGAGCTGAACCTTGAAAGATGCGTGGGACAGAAAAATGGCATTCTTCCAGCTGAGCAAAGAGCATGTGGAAAGGCCCAGCAGCTGAGGTGCTAGAGGGTTGTTGGATGTGGTATGAGAGTGGGTAGTGAGGTGGGAAATGTGGGCTGAACCAGATCATGAACACTTTGACTGTGCTGGGTCAGGGAATGGTGATTTTTATTCTGTGTCTCCACTAATCCAGATGTGCCTTTGGAGAAGTTAGAAAAAGGCACTCTTTCTCAACTAGTGGTTACCAAAGGGGAGGGGTGTGGGAGGGTGGGTGGGGAGGGAGGGAGAAGGAGATTCAGGGGTATTATGCTTAGTACACATAGTGTGGGGATCACAGGGAAAACAGTGTAGCACAGAGAAGGCAAACTGCATCTTACTACACTGATGGACAGTGACTGCTTTGGGGTATGGGTGGGGACTTGAGAATATGGGTAAATGTAGTAACCGCATTGCTTTTTCATGTGAAACTTTCATAAGAGTATATATCAATAATACCTTAATAAAAATTTTTTTTAAAAAAGAAAAAGGCACCCTTTCCCTTGGGCAGCACGGCTTCACCCAGGGGGAGGGCGTAGCTAGTGAAATGAGGGTGGAATCGCAATGCCTCATCACCCTCTGCAGTCCCAGCCACAAGTATGGAAGGTTTTTGAGCAATGTGATGTCACAGTTTTGTTTGGATCTGTGATAGCCACTTGAGAATGAGGGTGGGCTGAAGTGTGGAGTGGGTAGGACACAGGAAAAGGAGGGAAGCAGGTGGGCTGGGCAGGGCCTAAAGTTGATAGACTTACTGAAGGTGGGCCAGATTTGTGCAGAGAGGTCGTCTCTGGGCGTCCCCTAGCCAGCCAGAGCAGAGGTCGTGTGGGACCCCAGGTTGCTGAGCTGGTCAGAGCAGAGGGCAGAGGAAGTGAGCATGAGGCTGCCATCCTTGGGCAGGCTCCTGACTCTTCCCTCACCCACCCCCAGAGCTGGGGGACCTTCCTCTTGTCCGCCTGGATTTCTCCTGTAACCGTGTCTCCCGCATCCCGGTCTCCTTCTGCCGCCTCAGGCACCTGCAGGTCATTCTGCTGGACAGCAACCCCCTGCAAAGCCCACCTGCCCAGGTGAGGGGTGGGCTTGGGTGGACCATGGACACAGGGCTGAGAATGGGCAAGAGTTTTTGGGGTGGGTCCTTTAGTAGCCAAGTTGGATCTGGGGAGCCCCTTCCCCTTTCCCTAACTCCCCTCCATGTGCCTCTTACACCTAGGTCTGCTTGAAGGGGAAGCTTCACATCTTCAAGTACTTATCAACAGAGGCTGGGCAGCATGTGGGGTCTGCACTGGGGGAACTAGCCCCTTCCCGCCCCCCAAGTTTCAGTCCCTGGTAAGTCCCAAGTGGGAAGGAAGGGAGCCCCTGGGCACTTAATGCCCCTTCCTGGCATCAGGGACGCCATGGTTTGCGGTGGGAGGGTGAGGGGGTTGCTGCCCGGTACAGGACTGACCAGCTCTCTCTGGCTGCCACCAGCCCCGCTGAGGACTTATTTCCGGGACGTCAGTATGATGGCGGGCTGGACTCAGGCTTCCACAGTGTTGACAGTGGCAGCAAGAGGTGGTCTGGAAATGAGGTAAGGGTCTCCTTTCCAAGGAATATTGCAGGTCTCAGCCCAGGGAAGAACCTCTGAGCTGGGACCGTTTAACTGGAACCTCCAAACCTCCGAGTGACCAACGGCCCTAGCTGTCCTCTTCCTCCCCTCCTCCAAGGATCTTGGGGAAGGGGTAGCTTAGTGGCAGACCACAAGCCCTGAACCCTGTGGCCCCTGGCACTTTGGAGAGGCTCTCCCATCTCTGCACTCCTGCATTTACAGTCAACGGATGAATTTTCGGAGCTCTCATTCCGGATCTCAGAGCTGGCCCGGGAGCCTCGGGGCCCCAGGGAGCGGAGGGACGATGGCTCCAGTGAGTAGTGGGGTCGGGCCAGGGGGCTGGGGGAGTGGACAGGCACCTGAGGTCTCCAGCTGCTTGCTGATGTGCCCTGACCACTCCAGCTGATGGAGACCCTGAGCAGATTGACTTCATTGACAACCACGTTCCTGGGGAGGATGAAGAGCGAGGTGCTGCTGAGGTGAGCCTCCAGCCTTTGTCTGGATGTCCATCCACCATGAGAGTAGACTGGTGGGAGAGTCAGTGCAGACTTGGGGGACACATGCCTTCAGCCCCCCTGCTGCTCTTTCTTCAGGAGCAGCGACCACCAGGATTAAGCCCTGCGGCAGGGGACGGGGAGAGGGCACCCAGCAGCAGGTACTGCAGAGCCACCGAGCCTTCCCGCCCCCTTCACTCCCTCAACCTTGGGCCTCTCTTCTCCCCTGACCTGCCTGCCTCTTTCTCAGGCAGGAGGAGCCCGCAGGGGCGGAGCGGCGGCGCCCGGACTCCCTGCAGCTGTGGCAGGAGCGGGAGCGGAGGCAGCAGCAGTGTGGAGTGTGGGGGGCCCCCAGGAAGGACAGGTGTGGACATAGGTTGGGCTTCTGCGGGGTGGTGGGCCCCAAAAGGAGTGGAAACAAACTCTCCTGAGCTACCTGCCCTCCAGCCTGGCCCTGCTGACCCCACATCTCCTTCACTCCAGTTTTCTGAAGCTGGGGCCCCGGGCTGCAGGTGGAGGGGCTGCGGCCGGATCCATTCAGGCCACCTACAAGTATGTGTCCTCCCTCCTCCACCTGCCTAGGCCCCTTCTGTGCACCCCCCAAGCCTCCCTCTAATGCCCTTCCTGTCTCTCCTCAGCGGTATGCCCAAGTCCAGTGCCACCCCGCTGGGGGCTTCTGGGGGGCAGGGAGCTCCCGTCCCTGCCTCCACTGCCCAGGAGCCCCTTCTGATAGCTGGACCAGGTGGGATAAGCTTTGGGAAGCAGATGGGGTCCTGTGTAGGTGAGAGGGTGGTTGGGACTGGTGGCATGAGGGAAGAGGGGGACTCAGGGATGTCTTTCTCACCTGCCCCTGGCACCCAGCGGCAGCTCCTGCTCCCCGGCCACTGGGCTCCATTCAGAGACCGAACAGCTTCCTCTTCCGCTCTTCCTCTCAGAGTGGCTCAGGTGGGTCCCATCTCCCCATCCCTGTCCCCAGCGCTCACCCAGTGCTCACCCAGTGCTGAACTCTGGGCTATGGTCTTCCCTTCTGGCCTGGGAGTTTCTAGTCTATTGTCCCTTTGTGATGAAAATCCCGCAAGTACAGAGGCCCGGGATGTGGGAGCCAGACACTACAACCCGGCTACAGTTGACAGTGGGCAGTGGAGACAGCCTACATACCCTCCTTTTTCCCCAGGCCCTTCCTCACCAGACTCTGCCTTGAGGCCTCGGCGAGCCCCCCAGGTTCTGGATGAGAAGGAGCTGATGGCTCATCTGCGCCAGGTAAGAAGGGGGCTCTGTGTGGGCGCGGCCTGGGCTCAGCATGGGGCCTCCAGGTCCTTGGCCTTCCTTGGCACCCTCTTTGCCCACCTTGGTGCTTCTGCTAAGGACAGGAGGAGCAGGCGGAGTGCCCTGCTGACCCTGACCCCTCTCCTCTGCCTCCCAGGTCCTAGAGTCCCGGCTGCAGCGGCCCCTTCCTGAGGACCTGCCAGAGGCTCTGGCCAATGGGGTCATCCTCTGTCAGCTGGCCAACCAGCTGCGGCCCCGCTCCGTGCCCTTCATTCATGTGCCCTCCCCTGCTGTGGTCAGTGGGGGCCCAGAGTGGGAGGAGGGGATGTGACAGGGACTACAGCCTCTCCCTTACTTGTTTCTCTTCTTCCTTCCCTACCCACCCCTAGCCAAAACTCAGTGCTCTCAAATCTCAGAAGAATGTGGAGAGTTTCTTAGAAGCTTGTCGAAAAATGGGGGTGCCTGAGGTATGGGAAGTTGTGTTCTCAGGAGCCCAGGTCTGGTATCTGCCCTAAAGAGTGGTGGCGTCTTGGGTGCAGCTGAGCTCTCTGCATGGATGGCGGGGCCTGTCAAACGGGTCTGCTCCCAGAAGGAAGCCTGTCCAGAAGCCACTGTCCTGCACAGCTCCCTCCCTGCATGCCTCCCCTCCCTGCGCTCAGCATGTTGGTGTGGCTCTGGCCTTGGCACATGAGGGATGGGGTGGGAAGGATTGTACTGCTGCCGCTGATGTCTGTCCTTTGTCCCTGTCCATCTGTCCTACTCTCCCTTCCCAGGCTGACCTGTGCTCGCCCTCGGATCTCCTCCAGGGCACCGCCCAGGGGCTGTGGACCACCATGGAGGCCGTGAAGTGGGTTGGGGGCAGGGCACCCCCGCCCCTCTGGCTCCCCTCTGGTCTGGGCGGCTTCATCCTCTTCTACGTGGCCCTCATGCTGCTGCTCTATGTCATCTACACTCGGCTCCTGGGTTCCTAGGACCTGAAGTCACCTCTTCCCCACTTTCTCCCCCCACCCTGTTTCTATTTATAAGACTCCCCTGCTGCCCCTTCCCCACCGGTGGTGCCTTCAGCCCCTACCAAAGACACTAGAGAACCCCCCCTCCCCACTCACAAACACTGACCTCTGAGGCCCCACTCTGGTGTCCCTGCCCCTGGGCCCCAGCCTCTGGCTGCCCTCCCATAGTCCCACCTGGGCTGCCTCCTGTGCTGAGGGTGGCTTCAGTTCCTCTCCTGGCCCTGCCTGCCCTCTGCTCCCTCAGAGGGATGGACCTTAGCCTTCTCCTTGCATCCTCCCCCCACCCTGCTGTTGGTGGGGGGGCTAAATTATATTTTGTAGAGAGAACTCTATATTTGTAGGAGATGCAGGGGCCCAGGCTGGGTCCCTGTCTCCATGTATAAATTGTACAGACTGTGCCGCCTATGTGTTGTGTTGACGTCTGCTCTTGCTGTGGCCAGGACTAACCCTGGCTGTGCCTTTTGGGCTCTATGTGTCAGCCTGCGTACTCCAGCATTTCCCTCTGGAAGTGACAGGTTTCTACTCCCCCTGAGTCTTGGCGCCCTATGTTCTCTCTCTTCTGTTACCTGCTGGCAGCTTCCTTCATCTCATTTGTCCCCCAGCCTTGTCCAGGGTGCCCCTGACCTTCCCCTCCTACATCTTGAAGGGCCAGTCCATTTGCCCACACTCCTTTAGGGTGTCTCCACCCTGCTCTCTGCCAAGGGCAGGGAAGTTGAGAGAAGGTGACAAGGGGAACTTAACCTGGGCCCCTTCCCCCAGGAGTCCCTGTGCCAGCCCCACCACATCCTGGAAGAGGAGGGGGCCCCGGGAAGGGGTCTTCCCTACATCGCTGCTGTCGTCCACGCACTGCTGGAAAGGCCTTAGAGGTTGAGGTCGGGGTACAGGGCCCCGACCCAGCTGGGACCCTGGGAGCAGAAGACAGATCCACCTGGGCTCTGCTCTTTAGCAAGGACTCTGGTGAGGGCATCCTTGGGCCTGGCCCTGTTCTTTGGGCAGCCCCCAGCCCCAGGGGTTAGAAGCAGCCCTGGCTCAGCAAGGTGCCTGGCTTCCCCTGGGTACCGCCAAGGGTCTGGGATGGAAGACGGCACCGGATTTTGTGTCAAGTGCAATAAAGAGAAACCTGAAGTCTAGGTTGCCCTTCAGGTGTGTTGGCTTGTGTGTGTGTGTGCGCGCGCGCACGCGTCTATGAGCAAACGCAGTGCGGCGGGATGCAGGGATCGCCGTCAGGGCCCTGCGGTAGCGTCTGCACGCTGGTGAGGTCTGGCGGGCACGCGGACGCCGCCACCCCCGCTGCCAGGGGGCGCCCGCGAGATCCCGGCGGGAGCGCGCTCCACGTGGGCCGGAAACGCGCTGGGCGCCGGCGTCGCGGCGAAGCTCTGTGAGGTGGGCTATCGACTAGGGCTCGCAGGGAAGGGAAGGGCTGTACCGAGTGGCTGGGCCGCGTGGGGCCCGCGTGGGGCTGGGGAGGGGCGAGGCGGGCTGAGCGAGAGGCCCTGGCGACGCGGGGCCCAGAGGTGCTGCCCTGCGCTGCCCTCCCCTCCCCTCAGACGCAGTATGTTGCCCTGGTCCCCTTGGCGGTGCGGCGCCGGGGAGGAGCAGGCGCCCGAGGAACAAGACTCCTCGATCAGCAGTGACTCCTGTAAGGCCTGGCCCTCTGGAGAGGGAGCCGTGGGGGAGCCAGGAACGCCCCCACAGGCCAGGTGAGGGGCTCGGAGGGAGAGACCTGGGGGTAATTCGCGGGGTGGCGTCCATAGTGTGAGAAAATCGCAGTTGTCCATATGGAAGAATGGGTATGCGCCATCTCCCTGCACCAGGCACCCTCAGCTCTGCCTTGGAGATACTCAGACATGGAAGGGGGTGTCTGACCCACGGGGTGAGGCTGTGACTCAGTACCTCTCCGTCCCAGCCCGCAGTCCCTGTCCCCGAGGCCTTCCCGGACTTGGAGAGAGCAGCTGTCGCCCCAGCCTCGCTCAGGCCTGGCTGCCCAGCAGGCCCCGGGAACTTCAGGTAGGTACCAGGCCTTGCTGCCTTTACCTCCAACCCTTAACAGCTTGCTGAGCCTGTTTTAATCTCCAAGTTTCTCCCCCAGTTCCCCTTCCCCCGCCGAGGCCCTGGGAGGTGGCCCCCCCAAGGATGACCACCTTGTTAGCTCCATGGGACCCCAACTATGAGGCTAAAGTAGGACCTCGGCTGGAGTGGGTGAGTTGGGGTACCTATAGCTTTGTCTCTGGTGGGGCAGGGATGACTTGGGAGTGACCGATGCTCCCATGATCTTTTCTGCCCTTCACAGGGGCCCAGCTGGGGGTCTGGCACCTCCTTCTCAAGCCGGACCTTGTGTCATCCCTCATTCTGGCCATTGTATGGGGCAGCTGCTGGCAGGGGCCTGAGGCCCCAGGCCTCAGCAACAGGACATCAGAATGGAGAGCAGGCGAATAGGGGTGCAGGTACATCCCTTGGTTCCCCGGCTCTGGAGTGATGCTCTGCAGGGAACCAGGGCAGAGCTCTATGGTGTGGGACCTTCAGCCTGCAGCTCTAAGAGCAGCTTCTCCTTCCCAGGGTTCCCAGTGATGTGCAGTGAAGTCTTTCTTTCAGACCCGTTGCTGCCCTGTGGGCAGCATGTTCCCCTGTACCTGTCTGAAGACCCTGAGCAGGTGAGCATTCCTCTTGCCCTGGCCTCATCCCAGCCTTCATGCATGGGCCTGGGAGGAGACACTGCTCCCTCCTTTTTCTTCAGGTGGTGGGCTCTCTGAAGCTGCTGCTCCCACCTCCTATCATGTCTCCTCAGGTTCATCGAACCCCTTACCCTGGATGCTCCACTGCCTGGCTCAGTGGGCCTGAGCTGATCGCTCTCACTGGCCTCCTGCAGATGAGCCGGGGGGAGCCAAGACTCAGCTCCCTGGGGGCTCCTGCAACTCCTGCTGGTGCCCCAGACCCTGTCTCTGACCAGCCAAGCCCCAGTGGTGGCCAGAGCTGCCCTTACTGCGCTTATCCATCTCTCCCACAGACCCCAGACACCCATTATCCATAGCCCCTCTGGGGGCAGATTGTGTCCTTTACTTTCCCAAACAGGTTCTACTGACAATAAAACAGTGTTGGTTTGCAGACAGGCTCCTTGTGCGTAGCAGAGTGGGGTGTGGAGGCAGGACTGGGATCTCTTCCTCTACCACAGCTTTGGCTGCCCTCCCCTCAAATTTTTGTTTCTCATTGGCCACCCTTTACAGTGGGGTGGGGTGATCCACGGGCCTAAGACCTTCCCAGGCTGACCAGACACCTTTAATGGCGGTGTGTGTGGGTGCATGCGCAGAGCAGTCCCCCCAGGCAATATATAGGAAGCAAGGACCCATAGCTTTGCCAGGCACCAAAAGAGGGAGGATGGTGTGAGCATGCAGTTGACACTGGAAGAGGCAAACTAGGCAGTAAGGGGGTGCCATGTCACTTCTGGGGGGGCAGGAGAGGTAAGATACCTAGTGCTTTCATCCCCCTTTGCTGGAGCCCCAGAATGTTCATTCTCGGGGTTGGGAGTTCATTCTTTGGCTGGGAGGAGACACAGGGCAGGCTCTACAGGTATGCGGAGAGGAGGCAGGTACACGTGGAGTCATCCGAGGCAGGGTCGGGGACCAAGGCTGACCTGGGACTCTGGAGTGATGCTGCAGGAACTCTGTGAGGACAAAGAGGACCAGGGCTTTGGCTGAGAAAGCCCTGAAGTTAGTAGTTTTGTACAGGTGGGGATGTGGGTGGGTTCTAGAATTTTCACCCCTCAAAGAATCCAACTTCTTAGGGAACCTGCTCCTGAAGATTTCCCAGGCACAAGCTGGAAGGGGCAAAGTGGTCAGAGGGCCTAAGGGCAGCTCAGAACATCTGCAGGTCCCATGTGTGGGGGTGGGAGGGGCATCTGGGCCTTAGAGCCACTTTACCCCCCACCCACCGTGGGTAGGGATGGGGGGTTTAGGGAGACAGGGAAGGCATTCCTAACTTCACCGAGTTATCTTCATCCTCCCCATCCATCCATCCGTCACCTAGACGGGGCAGGACCGCCCGGGCCTCTCACTGGCGCCTCCCTGAGGTTCTGGAACTCGATGCGCGCATAGCTGTGCGAGTGCCTGCTGGTCCTGAGGTCGTCTGCTTCCCTTTGAGGGACCAGGTTCAAGTTGGCATAGTTGAGGTGCCCCTGGGGGTCCTTGGTATGGCAGTGCCCATTCCTACGTAGTCCGGGCGCACGTACTCGATGCACACATAATCCCCAGCTAACTCTTATGGTGGCTGCAAACCTGGAGGAGTCCCTGCCAGTCCCCAGCTGTCCCCAAATCCGCGGTGGGGGCCTTGATGCCCGAGTCTAGGCTCCCTGGCCCTGGGTTTGTGGGACCCTGACAGGGAGCTCGAGGAAAAGGACTCTGCTGGAAAGTGGCTCATGGGCACGTATTCGGTGGCCCCCCAGTCCTGGAGCGACTGGTGGGGAGCCACGCTGATGGCAGCCAGAAGGCCCGTGGGCTCCATCACCATGTAACTGCCTGCCTTGCCGCCCCCCCATGGGCTCATAGTCACACCCGGAGCCCGTTGCACTCCAACCCCTCGCGGTACGAGGCTACTGCCCCAAGAGTCAGGTTCTCAAGGGTCGCCTGGTCCCTCCTCTCACCCAAGCAACCCCGACGGCTCTTGCAGCTTGATTGGGCCATAGAAGCCAGGGTTTCATAAGGTTGGGGGACAGTGGGCCTGGGGGCGCTCGTCAAGGGATCCCTTGGCAGCAGCTCAGCCCTGTCACCAGCACCACTGTCCCAGAGTCACTTCATGGCTGCCAGTACGGTCTTGTGAATGCTTTGGGTCACTACGGCGTCGGGCGCTTGTAGCCACAGCTCCCTGGGACCTGTGGGCGCCGAGCGGCCAGGCTCCAGAAAGAAGAAAGAGTCCGCCTGGCCGCAGCGGTGTACGCTGAGCTCGGACAGGTGCAAGGCTGGCGGCGGCGGCAATGCCTGGGTGCTCCCGGAGCCTCTGTCCCTGGGCTTGCGCAGCAGGCTCACTACCCCCAAACCCAGGCACAAGTGGTAGCCACTGCTGCCCAGGCCTCGCGTCTGCCCCAGCCCCTTGGGCCGCAGCGTCACGGGCCAGACGTCCTGAAAAGGAGCGAAGATCCAGACCCCCGGGTCCTTGTGGGACCCGAAACCTGGAGAGACAATGGACTGGGCACAGGGGGCTCCTGGGAGGGGAGCTTGGAATCACTGTTCTCCGAAAACTGAAAACGTGTGAATGCTTCATGTTTGACCTTGATTTCAGACAGGCTGGCTGTGGGTTGTGAGGGGGCAGCCCCCGGATAAACCAAATCCGCGATCATCCGCCCCCCGCCCCGTCTTCGCCTGCAGGGGACTCAGGCTCACCGGCGGCGGCGCGCACCTCGAGAAGGGCGCCGTACCACGCCTGGGGCTCCCTCTCACTGGCCGCCGCCACGCCCAGGCTGCCGTCGTGCGGGTAGAGGATGATCAGGTGGCGCTGGAGCGCGTCCACGCGTTTGTGGATGGTGCACGCACCCGCCAGGCTCACGCTGAGCTTGGGCCGCACTTGGTCGGCGCAGAACTTCTCGCTTCGTAACACTCCAGATGCGGCGGGTCCGCGCGGAGCACGAAGAAGCGGCGACGCTAGGACTTCTGCTTCCGCAAGTGGCCGCAGGGCCGCACGTCGGCCGGGCAGGCCCAGGCCCAGAGGCAAGTCGGCCGACTCGAACTCCGGGGTCGCAATGGGGCCACAGTCTCCGGGCTTCGTCCCCGACCAAAGGCTAAAGTGGCCAGAGGACGAACTGAGACGACTGGGAAAAGGCAGCAGAGGTGGGGTGGAGGTGGAGCCCCTCAGGGAAGGGTTAGCGTCCTGATAGGCTGCCACTTGTCTTGATGCCCAGCCTGTCTTCTGACTCCCGACTTGTAAGTTTGGGGCCAGGAGTCTGAAGTGGGCCCTTGCTGCGTGCAGCCTGTGTGCCAATGGCTACCCTGGCCGAACTCTCCCCTGTCCCACTCTGCTGACCGCCCGCAGTGGGAGTGCAGCAGTTTATTTGAGGCGGCTTCCGCCCCAGCCCACCCACCCCCTCGGACTGGGCTTTTGCAAGGGCGGGGAGTATGCGGGCGTCTCTACTGATCTGAGCTGATTGCTCAGAAAGTGACTATGGGAGGCCCCTGTGAATGAAACTGTGTCCAGGGTGGGCCCAGCTAGCGGTGGCATTTGCTGTCCTAACAATTAGGGTTAAGGCAGGCCACGCATACTGCAGCACCCCCTTTTGGATCTTGCCATTCACCAGGGCTTTAGATGTCCAGCACCTGTCACCCCCTTGCCACCTAGGAATGGTTCTATACCCTTCATGCCGAAGGAATCGTAGGAGCCAGGGCCACTGAGTATTAGGCTGTGCTGGTTTCAGATAGCTGGAAGTTGTTTCTCTGAGTTTGGGGTGATGGGACATGTCTTTGGATGAATTAACATTGGTCCCTGTGCAGACTATACCCACCAGAATCCCAGCTAAATTGCCACTGAAGGAGATTCTGTGGAAGAGGTAATCTCTCAGGGGCACTTTCCTCTCACTGCCCTCAGCACCTCCTCACCATCGTCCAAAAACACCACTGGCCAGCTGAAGGTACTGATCCCAGAAACGAAGACTCTGGGGGAGGTACCCTTTGTCCCTTGCATTTGGAGAGGCTGAAGATGGGGTTGGGATTCAGACATTTTTACACCCTTCTGAACCTTCCAAGGACCACCCACCTACGTTTGGGGTGATGGCACTGGTCAGTGAACACTGCGAGGCAAACTAGCAGTTGACACACGGTGGGGACCTAAGAGGACCTTGTGCTATCACTCTCATGGCAAGGAGGATGCCTAAAGGGGGAGCTGAGAGCAACTGTGGCACCTATTAAAGATGGGTTTGGGGAGGGGTGCCATTAGGAGAGGGAGATATGAGTACTGAGCAAGGGAACCTGGTTCTTTTTCTCACAGACTAGTCCAAAGGGTGGGACAGTCTGAGCAGGGAGGGCAGGGCTTCCCACCCAGGTCTCTCCGTTTCCCAGGTCTGGGAGCTGGAATTCTGGAGATGAGGATGGTGAGTGTGCCTTGAAGCTACGGTCCTCAAACTTCTTTTCAGGGGTCATGTTGATACCAAGATGTGTGGAGCCCACCAGCTTCATGGGCACAAGCTAGCAGGCAGGTGCCTGGGGCCCCACCAGGTGCCTCCTGGTCAGCCCAAGTCCCCTCACCCCAAGGTGCAGGAGAGGTGCTGGCAGCTCAGGTGGGCCACTGGGTGTTGGCCAGGGAGAGGCATGTGTACAATGGATCCATACGTGGCCACCCAAGAGAGGTGTATGTTCAAGGCCATAGCTTCCAGTGGGGGCACCTGCTATGCTCCAGCATTTTTCTCTGTCACCCTTGGTTCTCGTTCTGTCCTCCTGCCTCCTGTTTCCCATTTTTTCTGCTGAGAGCCAGGAAGGGGAGGAAGCTGAGATTCACTGAGGTCTGTGACATCAGTTGCTATCACAGACCCCCTGGTATATCACTGAGCCCCTAAGTGCTGGGTAAAGATAAGGCAGGAAGCAGCAGGGACCTGAGAGCCAGGGTTCTGGGTGAGCAGCAGTGGTGGAGTGGGTTGGCAGGGCCAGGTGATTTAGTCTGCTGGGTACCAGAAAAAGCTGCAGCCAAACAACTGGCCTAACCAGTTGCCCTAGCAACAACACTGCCCTAGGTCATACTCAGACAAGATTTTAGTCTGTTGCCCTGATAACTGGAGTTGCTCCCTAGGGACAGGGAGAGGTAGAACCTTGGCTCTGCTGGTGAGAACACCTCCCACAGTATAAGGGTCCACAGGTGCATCCTCCTGCCAGGCACCAGGCCTTGGGATAGGATCTCCATGTTTTAAGTCCCTGTGGGAGAATCTTGTTACAAGGGAGAAGAGCCCACAGGGGTACTAAGGCTGGGCTGTTGCTGGGTGCCCCTCGCTCTGATCCCACTCTCATTCCTCTGTGGAGGATGCAGGAACAGCACCATCCCCTTCCTTCAGCCCTTCCCCCACAACGGGCTCTCAATGTGGAGAGAACAGAGTGCTTCACAGGGGTCTGGGGACTGGCTCCTGCTCCTCACCCACAGGGGAGTCACAGGTGACCTGCTGAAGGCTGGGGCCAACACAGAGGACTGCTGTCTGCAGAGCATGGTCACAGCATTGGCCAGGGAGACATGAGGACTTAGTCTTGTGGGAGCCTGGGAGCAGCCCCATGGTGTGCACAGAGGGTTCAGATTGGTAACCATCAGGCAGGGCTGTGCAGGGCTGCCCTAGGGTGTGGGGCAGGAGGCACACAGCCTCTTTAGACATTTCCTACCAGGCCAGGAATTTTTCCATTCTTTGCTGCTCTCCTGGAGAGAGGAGACCTGATGGGGGCCGCACTGGTTGTTCCATGCCGAGAGGAAGCTGTAGCCCTTGTATTGGCCTGGGCCTGGGGAACTCCTGGGGGTTTCTGCCCTGGGGCTGGAGGCTGACCCAGTGTAACTTCTCTGATTGGTCATCCTGTCCTGGCTGGTGTCCATGTCAGACAGTGACTGGAGTCAAGAGGGGGACTGCAGAGAGGTCCTGGGCTCCAGCACCACGCAGTAAGGTGGTCACGGGATACAGCAGGGGCAACTGAAACTGACAGTCAGAGGCACGCAGGTCCAGGCCTGGAACTCTCCCCTCTGGACCTCAGTGTTTCTGGCTAGGAAATGGCTGGGGATGGGGGGGCTGCACTGGGGAAAATAAGAAATGGCTCCTGCTTCTGGAACACCACAGTGGATCTCAGCTTCCTCCCCTTCCTGGCTCTCAGCAGAAAGAATGGAAAACAGGAGGCAGGAGAACAGAACTAGAACCAAGGGTGACAGAGAAAAATGCTGGGAGAAGGGACAGAGCATAAAAAACCCAGGGAAGAAGGGATGGTGGTCCACACTGGGAAGCCCAGGAGAAGGCGGGCGGGTAGGGGCTAGGGGCAAGGGGCCACAGATACTAGACGGGCTGGTTACCGGCCTTGGAAAGGTGGGGAGGCCACTCCTGGATGGGCATTTCCAGGAAAATCCTCAAAGTGATGTCCCCACCTCTTGCTGTTAAAGGTCACTGGGTGGAGAGACCCACAGAAAACCCAGGAACAAAGAGCTGATGGGCCAAAGTTTCTGGGCAAAGGTGAGAAACCTCCACCTGACTCTTGGGCCTCTCCCCTCCCACATCCGGTGTTTAACCCAAGCGGCAGTTTTTGTCAGCACACAAACGGCCCAGACTCCGGGCTGTTGACACAACACCCTCAGGTGGCAACAGCTTGAGGGGCTGAGAATGCACGGCCTGGGCGTGGTCTACTCTGGCTAGGCCCCGCCCATCTCCCCCACACCACCTCCTTCACCCCGCCCCCCAGTGGGAACACCCCTCAACGCAGCCACCCCACTCCCACTGGGCGCCCTCCCATTGCTAACTAACACCAACTCTAGTTCTGAATCCGGGGAGTCCCATCCTTGGCTAGGGCAGCATTGCCACTGGCCCAGACATCATGTTGACTGATGCGAGGTCCCTCAAGCTGGTCTAAAGCAAGGCCATGAGAGCCATTTCCTTTCTCTTTCAAAGGCAGTTCTTTTCCAGCATTGCCTGCAGCAGCTTGGGTGCAGAGATTTGAGGGAAGGGGAAGGAGGCACATGGAAAAAGAAAAAAAACCAGCCAATAGTACAAAGCCTTTTCCTGGAAATGCCCAGGCTCTGGGACATGGGACTGCCCTCTCCCCACTACCCTCTGGAGTTCCAGCTCTGCTGGTAGAGGCACAGATGGGGATTCATTCCATTCCTCCTGTAGTAAGTTGTCTGGGAAGGGCAATGGCTGCAAGTGCATATCTGTATGTGTGTGTGCATATATATATATAACAGGCTATATTAGAAAATTCTATGTATAAATATAAAACAATGGTATCCAAACATGACACCATGGCTAACTAAAGTGCTTGCCAGGAGTTGGGCAGGTCTAAGTAGGTAGGTAAAACTACTCATCCTGAGCACCCTGGATGAAGGAGGGGGCAAGGGAAGCAAAAACAAGAGGGCCTCCTTTTCCTGTGGGGGTGGGGAGAAAAGGGCGTGCTGGCTGAGTCAGGGGCACCGAGGGCACTCTGGCCCCTGGCCTGTCAACAACGAACCTCATGTCCACTTTTACCCTTCTTTCTCCACTGTGTTCTGTCCACGAAGGGACAACGCTGGACAGTTGGGCAGGGGGAGTTGTTCCCAGGGGACGGCAGTCAGTCTGTGCCCACAGCTTCCTCCGCCCCACTGGCTGGGAGGGGAGGGAGTGCAGTGTAAGCAGGGGGCCTGAGAGCAGCAAGACTGTCATCCTAATTAATAATATGGGAAATAAAACACCAGTGCTCCTCCAGGCTGGCCTTCTCCCACCTGGGTGGGACTGCAGGGAAGGAGGGAGAAGCCTTGCGGGCAAGTGATCCAGAAGCTGCCCTGTTATCTGCAAGCCCCAAGCAAAGCATTAGGATGCCCACCCATCCCCAGGCCCCCTACCCTGTACAACAGGGCTCTTTTGGTCTCAGACCCACAGAAATGCCACAGGCAAGTGGTCACCAGAGCCCCAGGGAGTAGAGCAAGGGAGCAGGGACGCGGCCCCCAGGACACGGTGCTACAAGAATGGGTTGGTGGTTGGAGGTTTGGAGGCAAAAGGGCTTGAGGAGGATCCAGTCTGGAAAGAAACAACCACAAATTGTTAGATTAGGGTAGAAGAGCTGGAGGCCACTGATGAGTGCAGTTCAAGATTCTTTTCTCCCTCAACATTACTGCTCTGAGGGATGTGAAAAGTGGCATAAGAGGCAGGGGGCGGGACTGGGTGCTATGACTGGGCCATTCACTAACTTGCTTGCCCCTGGCAGAACTTCACAAGGAAGGGGCAGGAGTTCCACCCTACGTCACCCTCTTCTCCTGAAAAGATTCTGTCCCCAACTCCCAGAATGAAAGGCCACGCCCCCCACCACGCAGCACTGGGCCCTCACCATGAAGGGGTTGGTGGATGTGCCAGCTGGCTGGCTCAGTGGCCTCTGCCCCAGCTTGGCTGATCCTAAGTCGCTGAAGGAAGAGCCTGGGAAGCAAGAGCAAAAACTCAGCTGCCATGTGCCCTGCCCCTTGTGCTGGGGTGACCAGCTCCGCCCCCTCCCCCTGCATAGGCCCACCTATACCCTAAAGGCTGGTAGCAAGAGGGGCCCTCTAAAGTTAGGGAGCACAGGCATGGAGCAGGGTCAGAGGACACAGGCAAGACTATTGATTCCCTGGCTCCCCCTACTGGTCCAAAAGGGAACTTGCTCAGATGTGTGGTTCTCCTACACTGAGATCTTCATTCCTCTGTGTACACACACAGACACACACATACACAGCCCCTGGGGCTGGAGTGGGGCAGGAAAGAGGGACACAGAACAAATCTCTTACCATTCTGCTGCTGGGCCACCGAGGTCTGTGGAGGGAACAGCGGTGGGGGGAAGGTGCTGGCAAAGGCCCTGCCAGTTGGCACTGACTGGGGAAAGCCAGTTCCAGCACTGCTCATCCCAAAGCCAGGCCCTGTGGAGTAAGGCACCTGAGGCTCAGGCAAGGTCTGGAAGACAGGCTGGAGGACAGTTGTTCCTAAATCCCTCCAGGACGGGGAATGGGATAGTTTTTCCTTAACCAGAAGTAGGGCAGAAGTACCCTGAATGAGCCATGGTGCTCGTTGGCTTCCCTCCCTGCCACACCAGTGCCCACAGTGCACAGAAGACACAGCAGTGACGAGTGGTGATGAGCAGGGACCTGGCACAGAACTGCGGTCAGCTCCCTGCTGCCTAGTGAACTGCCTGATCTGAAGCTACTCATCAGCCCTCTCTGTGCCTCCTTTCACTCATCTCTGAAACGGTGCATGTACCCGTCTCTGCACTGCTGTGAAAACTACGTGGCCAATGGAAGCCCTCAGTACTGGGCTGGCTGTTAGTATTCTCTCTTCCTGGCCTCAAGTTTGGAGAGAGAAAAGAGGCTGGGGAGGGGCAGGGTGAGAGGAGCTGAGGCAGGGGCAGGGCTGTGGCTTCAGGTGGGACACACACAGGGACAGGCAGGGCTGAAGGTTGACGGCTGGACAAAGGAGACTTACTGCCACATGAGTCAACATTAAACCTTCAGAACTGACTCAGATGAGTAGCAGTCTTTTTTTTTTTTTTAATCAAAGTATCATAGTCTGTTTTTTCTAATTCCGAAATTCTGCTTTTGTGACTTTAGTGCTTCTACTTTTTGCCCACTAGGTGTCCTGGAAATGAAGCCAGGTCAGGCCTGGGCTGCTATGGAGTGAGCAGGGGCACTAGCTTTTGAAGGGTCACAGTGGCCAGCCAAGGCTTCCTGTCGCTCTTCCTGATGGGGTGTGTGTGCACGCACATGTGCTGTGTGCATGATGGGAGAGAGGTACGGGGGGAACTGGCACCCTGAACAGAGTCAGGGCCAGGGTCTGGGAGGCTTACCTGTGGCCAAGCCATTGGGCTGGAACGGGTTGGTGGAAGGCAGCTGGGAGTGAACAGCAGGGGTGGTGAAGGGGTTGGTGAAGCCTGCTCAGGGTGGAGTTGGGTAGAGGTGAGAAAAGGAGATGGTTATTTTTGTCCTCATCTGATCGACACTGTGGTCACTGAGCATTCCTCCAGATCTTGGTGTGCACCTCTCCCCACTCCCTTCCCTGTCCAGAGTCCCCAGTTTCCTCCTGGCCTTGGATTCCTCCCCAACCCTCCGAGGTCTCACAGGAAGACTCACCTCCAAAGGCAAGCCCTGCACCACCACCTCCACCAGTCGTGGTCGACTGCACTGTGGGGACCTGGCCAGCCATCCCAAAGACGCTGCAGTATGGGGAGAGAAGTCGGCATGCATGTCATCCAGGACCAAGGAGATAGGCTGGGCGAGACAGGAGATGGCAAACCCCTTCCTGCCAGACAGGAGGAGCTGGGCAGGCTGGGAAAAGCAAGGCCAGGGCTTCCTGGCTGCCTCTCCTGACCTAAGGCAAACTCCCCAACGTCTGGACCTACCTGCCAGGAATACTTCCAGCTGGCGCCCTGGGCCCCAGGAAGCTGCCCATATCTGCAAGACTGTTGGGCTGACTGGCAGGTGTGAAAGAAGCACCAAATGGTGTCATCTGGCTGCTCCCTGGGTAATCAGGAAAGAAAACAGAGAGTGCTGGGGTGAGAGAGGGTGGAAGGCAGGAGAGATGGCGGTGGTGGTATGTGGAGTAGAGTGATGGCATGAGAGGCACCAGCCAGTTCCCCGAGCTGCCCCTTTCCCAGGGATCACCCAGTTCACAGGCCTTGTCTCCCATTGAGAATTTGAGGCCTTTCTGCCTCTTGAGAGCTTGAGGCTTCACTGCTGAGAGAAGAGCAGCTCTTCTGCTCTCATCTGACTTACACTTTCCATCTCTCCCTTCAGAGATGGAAGAGTCTGTCCTTTCCTCAAGTCAGCATTTCCATTTGTGGATAAATCTTCTGAAGGGGCAGGTAGAGAGACTGGGGTCAGAAGCCATGGAGTGTGCAGACAGCACTGGAGGTGATGCAAAGAAAAAGCACAGAGCGCAAGCCTCACATGGGAGGCTTACCAAACAGCCCTCGGACCAAGTCCTAGAAATCCCAAACCATCTGGCCTCATGGGAGGGGGCCCGAGGCCCTGTCAGAAAGAGAAAGCCTCTTCATCTGTCTGAATGTTATCTGTCCGGTGGGATCCTGTCAGCCACCCTGGGCTCTTGTGAGGGTAACATGAGGCTATGGACAGTAAAGGCTTTAATTTTATGCACACTGGAAGACTCATTACTACTGACGGGAAATACACTTTGCATAGTGCCTGCCACTCCACGGTGCTCAAGAACCATGTGCTGAATGAATATGTGAACAGGTAGAGGGGGAAGACTCGGATTCCAGTTGTGGCTCTACCACTTGGTACTGCAGTGATGCTAGCAAATCACCTCCCTTTAAATTAGGGCTATAAAGACCCCCTGAGGTAAGTGAAAGTGTTGTGGAATCTGTAAAGCATAAGTGTAACACAAATGTGAGGTAATATATAACCTATAATCTAGGAAACTACTTCCAGGGTGAGAAGCAAGACAGGGTCTCAAAGGAAACACCAGATGATGGCTCAGACAGTAAACACAGGCGAACAAGACTCCCCTGACCCTCCACCCCAGCCTCTTCACATGCTTTCTTTGCCTCTGCTTTGAACCAGAAGTCCCACCCATGGCCTTGGCTGGTGACCCTTCCCTGACCCACACTGTGCATTCGATCCTGGTTTTCCTCTCATGAAACCATCTTGTTTTCCTGTCTAGTACTGGACATATTTGTAGTGACATCATTTTGTTTATTTCTGTAACAGCCGTGTCCTTACTGGACCAATTCCACTGCCAGGAATTTTCTTACAGATAACACTTGCAAATGTGCAAAATGTGACACACACAGGGCTATTAAATGCAGCACAGTTTCACAGCAACAGACCAGGACATCCCACTACTCATCAGTAGGGGACTGGTTAAATTAAGGAATATGCTTAAGTTGGACTATCATGTAGCTATAAAACAGGAGGAGGAAGCTCTTCATGTACTAGCAGGACTGTTTATGTTAAAAAAAAATTAAGGTGCAGAACAGTATGCATATTATGCTATAAAATGTGTAAAAAAATGTAAAAGAGCTGAAGGACAATAAAGGCTGAGGCAAGTGAAGGCTGCAGGCTCCTCTCTGGGTGGGCGGGGTGGGCCACGTGCAGCGTGTCTTTGGGGAAGGGAATGCACCAGCAGAGTTGGGGAAAGTGGAGGTGAGGTGAGGTAGGAAAGCCGATGGGACAAAGCTCTGCGTAAAGGGGGAAGGATGGTGGGGGGTAACCTTCACAAAGGAAGATGCTTTTCTTTCTCAGAGATAAGAGGAGGAAGGAGGGAAAGGAAAAAAGTCACAAGGCAAGGAAGGAATAGCAGAGCCAGGCTGGCTCTCAGATCTTGCTCCCTGCCGCTCAAACCTCAGCCAGGTTTCTGGTTAGTAAAGTGTTGGGCTTTTGTCTGAAGGCCTCAGAACTGTAATTTCCCAGGGATCATTGGGCTGGAACAGTCTCCATGCTTCTTTTCTAAAGGGTTGGGCTGTGTTTATTCAAACTCTTTTTCAAGGGGCTCTTGCTGTGCAAGACACTGACCATAACCCATGGTGACCCAGCTCCCACTTGGAGAAGCTGGGAATCCAGATGCCCAGTGCCTTCCACTGCTTGGTTCCTAAGCTGGGCTGCTGCCTGAGTGCCAGCACTTCAAGCCAGTGCTCTCCTTGGCCACGCTCTCTCCTTTCTTTCTAGAGGAGCAGGTGCAGGACTCTAATGCCCCTGAGCACACTGCATCTTCAATCCTCTCCCATCCACAGGCCCTAAGGAAGGCTGGAAAGCCAGCAGGGTGGTGTTGAGCCTTTGATTCTCATGTCTCTCCCTTGCCTTTCTGACTTGGGCACATGGAATTTCCGAGTATATGCAGCCCTACATCCTCACTTGGGTCAGACTCTTCAGTCCCGTTCTGGCCTTTCATGTCAGGAAGCTGCCCTCAGGGGGGACCAGGCCTGCAGTCCTCCCAGGCTCGGAAGAGGAGCTATCTCTCCTCCCTCTGCAGGCAAGGCTGAGTGCCTCCCTGTGGACACTAGGGGGCAGAGCCGGCCTGCGCTCAGGTGGGTCAGTGGGGCACAGCTGATGCATTCTCAGACAGGAGGCCACGCGAGAAATGCCTGAGCTCTTGTTTGCTTCCTATACACTTCCAGAGCCTCACTTCACTAGTTAGATTTGGATGTATATGTGCCTTACAGCAGTTTCTAGAAACCTCCCTCTCTACATTCCCCCTCAGAAATATAAAAATACAAGTGGGCTTGTCAGAAGAGATACCCACCTCTCACCAAAATCGTCCTACTTCATACCCAATGGTTCTTTACCGCATTCCCAGCAACAGCCATGATCGTGGTGTGCTGGACAAAGTGAATGAGATATACTGCTCATCAGCCATTCAATTCGGCCAAGTTGAGCCAGTTTCCTCCACTGCAAAATGTAGATCTTTCCTTCCTCATGGAGATAATACCAGGACACTCTTAGCAGTGGCAAGAGCCTCATAAGTGCTGGTTGGCTGCGGACTGCCTGCCTTTTGAAATGACCAGACATCCCAGGTTCAGCCTGGGATGCCCCAGAGGCCAACACCTGCCTTCTCTTCTTTAACACCTGGCTTTTTTGTGTGAAGGACCAATTTAGCACCACCTTATATAAGCTGTTACCTTCTGTGTTTTCATTCCCAGGAACATGTACCTCTTGCTGAATTGAATATTTCTGTACCAATTTACATTCTCACCAACAGCATACCAAAGGGCCCATTTTTCACACAATGCTGACCTTTATCAATCTTTACAATTTTTGTGAATATACAAAATTATTATCTCACCCTAATTTGCACTTGCCCTGATCAGTTAGGTTGAAGACGTTTCTAAATTTTTTTTCTGGGTATTATCTGCTTGTATCCCTTGTCCATTATTGTATTCTTTCTTTTTTATTTATAAAAGTTAAAAAAAAACACATTATGACCAATAGCTTTTAGTCTGTTTTCCATGTTTTAGTTATCTTCTCCGTTTCACACTTTTAAGGACATGAAACACTGTTTCTTTCAGGACATCTTTCTTTAGGACATCTTTTATCACATAGAAAGTAATCTATGAAATTTCTATTTGTTAGAATTTATGGAGATTTTGTTTTCTAGTATATGGTCAAATTATAAAAGGGTTCTATGTTTGAAAATTATATACAGTCTGTCTTGTGGTTAAAAAGTTCTACTTACGTTTATTAGGTCAAATTTGTTAATGGTCTAGTAGTAGACCACTCAAATCATCTACTACTTCCTTGCTTAGTCTCTCCTTATCTATTCCTTGTGGAGGAATCTATTATAGTCTCTCTCTTTGTCCGTCTGTTAGATGTTAGATTTTCATTGTGTTTTGTTTTTGCTTACCAAATTTCAAGGCTAGCCTTGACAGTTACTTCATGTTCATGATGTGAGAACTTCTTTGTGGATTTTAACTTTTATCAATATAAACTGTCTCTTCTCGTCCCATTCAAAAAAATTAAAACAGAAACACAAACAGGCAGACAGTTCACACAGTGGGAAGGCCGTGGGCAGAACACGGGTCAGGAAATCGGACTCTGGGCTGAGCTCTGCCAGTCTGCGGGCTGCAACCTGGGAAACTGCTGACCAGCCTCATTGGTAAAATGCTGAATGTGAAGGGTTCCTTGCAGACCTCACAACTCCAGGATCAGAGGACCTTACGAGGCTTCTACCTTGGGTAGGCTGGGGTTGGGAGAACTTACCAAAGTGGTAACTTCCAGTTAGCATCCAACTGGCTGGCAGTGAGGGTGGTGAAGGGAGAGGGTGGGGAGGTGGGGAGGGGAGAGAGAGAAAGGTAGGTCACTGGCTTGCCCCCGGCATGCACCTTTACAGCACTCCAGCTGCCCTCCCCTGGGTCCAAAGAGGGGCATTCCAAAGGCTATGAAGACTGATGTCTGGGAGCTTAGGGAGCAGCTGAATGCTTGAAGGCGGCCTTTAGGGTCTCCTTCAATTGCTAAACACCATCACAAAGAATTTCTGGGGTTCTGCTCTAAGAGGGATGGGCGAGGACTTTTGGAGATGACCTTGGACTTTGACCCAGCCCTTGCCCTTTGGGCAGTACACAATACAAACCATCAGAGCACTTAGAGAAAAGGTCAAGTCCATTTTCAACTGTTCTAGGACTCAGGCCTCCTGTTTTTCCTAGTCAGAAATCTGCCAGCACACAACCTGCACAAGTCCTGCAGCCTGTTCAGCGTTTTTCCTACACGGAACGCAAGAACAGAGCCCCTCTTCCAGACAAGAATCTAATCAGTCTACTCTCATCCTTTCCTGAATTGCTTCGCGTCATCCCGTCTCTTTTGCACAGGTCTCTGGGTTGGTACAGATGTGAATGAAAGTGATGGATGGATGTGGATAGCTGGGTTCAGTGGCACGAGAGAAGAAGCTGGTGGGGCAGTGTTTACCTGTGGGTGGAGGCTGGGCCTGGAACAGGGCTTGGCCAGCTGGAGGAATGCTTCCAAAGGCTGAGGAGCTGGGACTACTGCCAAAGGCGTCGAAGTTGGCAAAGCCCCCATGGGAAGGTGTCTGGCCTACAGGTGGAGGGGATATAAAGGTTATGCATAAAATGTCCATGTAATCTCTACAATACACATTAATCCTAAAAGCCAAAGGCCACTTGATGGGATACTTGGATCCTCTTCAGGAGATGGCAGGGGTCTGGGCAGAAAGCCAGACACATGCAGGAGGAAGGGGTTCTCAGAGGCCTCCAAGCCATGCCCCACCACATTTCCCTACTCCATGAGGCATCCACACTTCGGTTGGGTTCTAGTTTGGACGGAATCATGTGAAAACATCTTTTTGTGCATGGGGGAGGGAGCTTGAAAAGGAAAAGAAGAAACTGGATGTCACTTTCTTCAACTCTCTATTGGCTATTGCTGTCTTTGGGAAATGGAGGACATGGCAATACTACTGCCCCCATTTTAACTGAGACAGCTAGTAATACAAAGCAGTGCTAGGAGCCCCCATTTGTAAGGCTTTCAGGTCAAACTCACATAATCCCGGCTATACTCATTGGGTCCCAGTCCTCCCAGCCTTGGTGCCGCAGAATTACCATCACATTCATTCGTGTGAAGAGAGATAGAGCCAATTGAAACTTGGTCACCCTAAGGGGTAAATGCCTTGTGTTGTGGGTACATATGTTGTAGGAAGGTTCTTGCTTACCCCCACATGCTGGGAATGCAGCAAAAGCTGGTGCCCCCTGGGGAGCAGCAAAGGGGTCTCCACCGATGTCAGCCAGCAGGTCAGTACTGGCTTTCTTGATAGAGGAGTGGGGAGGTGGCTGAGAGCTCCGGGGCTGGGATGTCCGAGGCTGAGACTGACTGACAGACTTGGAGAAGAAGGCATTACATATGGCACTTGGAAGCCCAGACATGACCCACGCCCCTGCATGGCTCCCCAGGCAGCCCTGGCACAGGCAAGGAGGAGAGAGGAGAGAGGGAGCAACGGCCCTCAACTGAGAGTTGCTTTAGCCCTTCTCATACCTAATTCCTAATTCTCATACTTAATTCCTCTGTCTTCGCAGTACATGAGCTCCCGGAACCACACATTTTAGAGCGCATCAGTCAAAGTAACCCTGAGATTTATAGGATGTTACCCAAGCGCCCCCCTGAAGCTGTTATCTCCTCATTTTTCCTGGGTGCTTTAAGCAGGATCCCTGCCCCTTGTGTTTCCTTGGAGGAATGATCAGGTTTGAAGTTTATATTCTAACTTCCCTAATGCCACTTCCTGTTGGGTTCTTTCTCCCAAAAGATACGAGTCCAAGGTGACAGAAGCAAGTCACAGGTAACTGCAGGGCTGAGGACCAACTCACACTTCCTGTATTATTGTTTGCTAAATCCAGGGCATCTGATTTAGGAAACTGATATTCCTGTCTCCAAAATCCCCAAATAATCTTGAAGGGCAGAGCTGAGAGTTACCTGGCTGGCAGTGGAGGCAGCAGCTGCAAGAGATGGCACAGAATCACCCAGAAGTGTCCGCAGGGGCTTCCCTTCTGGGATGGAGCCCTGCATGGGGGTGGAGGCACTGCCTTTGGTATAAGCCAGTCCCTTGACTTGGTCTGGGGGCACATACCTTTGAGAAAGAATAGTCAGGCTGAAAGGAGTGGGGTAAAACCTTGGCCCACGCTCAGCTTAGGTGCTTGGGGAAACACAGGTTATAGCAGTCAGAGTTCTTTCTTATTTTCCCCGACTCTCTTTCTTGAACTAAAGGAAATTTAGCAACTTAGCAAAGTTCTGCCTATCTTGAGCTTCCCCTTTATTGTCAGATGCTCATTGTTCTCTGCAGGGATGTTGTTTGCTCTGGCTCGTGCCTACTTTCCCTCCTCTTTCTGACATGCCAAACCATCTGGGTTTCAAGTAATAACGCCTGAAGTAATGCTGATGGGCAGGCCCTCCTATTTTTCAACTTCCTACTCAAGGTCCCCCTTTTTATTCCTATGTTTTTTTTTTCAGATTTACTTTTCAGTCCCATAGAAAGTTGCTGCCACCTCATTTCCTAAGGGTTCATAATCTATCCTGTCAGCTCCTGCTCCTTCTGATAAAATCCCCTCCCACTATAGCGGATGAGGGCTCTGCTCTGGAAATGTCTTTCTTGTCCTGAGGACACCTGCAGGAGGGACACGGGAATGCCATTTTTATCTACATCGACCTGCCTGCTCTCTGCATTCTCTTCTCCACCCTACAGTCACCCCCAACATGCATGCACCCCAGAGATCAAACAACAGGAAGTGATACCTGGGGAGAGAAAAGGCAAGGGAGAAGAGAGATGCTATTTGGCTACGTATCAATCACAAATGAAAGGATAGGGTACAAGCATAAAGCTGGAGGACACGTGCATCCAGCTGCCCTTCTCCAGATGTGAGCTCACTGAGTTATAAAAACTAGTCCTCTCCTGTGGGCCTAGCTCCCCACCCCAGTCAGTCTACTGTCTCCCAAAAGGGACATCAAATCTGCAAGGTAAGTAACTGGGAACGAGTTATCCTTTCATGCAGCTTTATTATTTTGAAGTCAGAATTCAGCTCTAATTATATCTGAGTGGAACAGACTCAACCCAAGTCTAGCCTTTGAGAGAAGCCTCAATTCAACTCTGGAAACTGGAGGTCAGATGAAGTACGTCTTGGACACAAGCCTCCATAGTAATCTCTTTCCTTCTCCTTACCATCTCTTCTTCTCATATTTTTCCTGCAGAAACTCCTTCACCTTCTGAGGATCCCTGGAATCTGGTATCAAAGATGTTCGAGCATCAAAAAGACCCAGCCAAATTTTTCTGCAAACCTAAAGGAATGGAGTCAGGTGACTGAGGAGTTGGGGCAGAAAGTACGAAATGGGAAGGGTATCACTTCCAGTGTACTCACTGATGAACATTTATTGAGCATGGACACAGTGGGGGATCTGGATACACCTACAGAACAGACATAATCCCTGTTCTTACAGGACTGATCACCTTACAGGAAGTCATACTTTACATAAATAAAAATAGGTTTATAATTACATATTGTGACACATCTGTAGAAGAAAAGAGGGCCATGAGTTATGGGGTACTAAATTTGGATGGGGGTGGGATAATTTTCAGAGTCGTGGCTTCAAGAACCACCCTCTGGAGGCCCTCATGTGCACCTATAAGCTGGGAGTAACACCAAGGATAGCATCTGCACACCAGGAGACAGCTGGGGAAGGGGTTTAACTCACTTTCAAGTAAAAGATATGGACTGAAAAACGAACTGCTGAGACTCGAGTCAGCAGAATGGGCTCAGGAGATCTTAGTCAGAGGGGCCGGCCCAGTCACCTATGAATGCCTGTCCATGTGCAGCTCTGGCTATTTCCCCCTTAAGTGCCCAGGGGCCACCACGACAGAGATCCTACTCCTTGCCCTGATTCCTCCAAGAGGCCTAGACATACCACAGTTTGTATCATTAAGATTCTGTAAATATACAAATATACATAAGACATCTTACATACTAAAAAATAACAGAAACTTGACCAAAAAAGTAAATGGTAGGGTCTTTCTACAATCTTGAGGCAAAGCTCCATGGGCGAGTACAGGCCTATAAAACTAACCATTCTGTCAGTGGCAGCTCACCTCATTTCCTCGGGATTGTAGGAATACTACTTCAGGCTCAGTGAAGGTTGTCATGGAGATGGACTTGACTCGATGAGGGGGGTTCAGGCCTCTCCTGCGGGAGACAATAGAAAGAAGGAGATGTAAGAGGCAGTTAGCCTGGTAGGGCTGCTTACTGGAGGAGGGGGAGGAGCAGGAGGGGGAGGAAATCAGTAGCACTCCCTGATGGAAGCTGCCTCCTAATTCAAGAAAAGAAGGGAGGCAAGGATGTTTTGGAGGCGTGAAATGAGACATGGGGACCATAGAGTCAGCAACATACTGTGATCGCAGTCACTCTGGAGAGGAGGGCAGAGCCCACCCATCCAGAAGCCTCATCTCCCTTGGCTCAGACCCCAGCAGTTTAGCACTCAGCCAGCAGGCTGAGGGGTTACTTCTGGGAACTTAAACATGTGACCATTTCCCATTTCCCAGTTTATCATTGTTTTGTATCTACACACATCTTCAAGGTCCCAGAACCCACACAGACACAAATCCCTCAAGCATGAGAGAAGGCAAAAATGAAGGCCCACGACTATTCCTGATAATACTAACACAGATAAGATCTGGAGACAAATAACAGAGCCCCTAAGCGGCTGCCTCTCCTCTCGGTGGTGATAAGGATGGAGAGGGTCCCTCTATTTCAGGACGAGATCTCTGGGAAAAGAAGTTTGCAGACTTGTGCATTTCTAGACCTTTTAATGAAGCAAGAGGAAGTCATGTTCAACCGTGAGATATGAGATTGTCATGCATCAGGAACACATATCGACGACGCCATTGTGCTAGTTCTGTGTGTTCCATTAACTCCCTGGGAGTCTCGTTCTGCCCACAGAAGCCCTGTGGGGATTACAGCAGAGAAAGAGGCTTTCTTGCCCACACTCAACTGCCCTCCCAAGTGTTCTGAGGGTAAACTCGGGCTAAACCAGGGTCCCCTGTCCTTACACCTTCAGTTTTACTATGGTCGAGACCAACTGTCCTCATCAGATTAAGACAAAACTGGCTGAACCAAAATAAACAAACTAGACTCTGGGACCAGGAGGGAAAGACCATAGGCACATGGCAGGTAGAAGAGCCACAACTGATGAAGCCTCTTCAGACTTTTGCTTCCCTGGAAAAAAAGGGCAAATCAAGATGTGAAAATAAAAGTAACTCTAGCCTAGGGTCCTGGTAGATACCTCCAGGACAGCAAAGGGAGAAGGAAGAGAGAGATAAATTTGCCAAGGGGAAATCCTAGAGAAAGGTAAGGAAAACACACATGCACACCTACAGATGCACACACAGGATAAAAGTGCTCCTGCCAAGTCTGGAAGAAGGGCATACGTGTTCAAGGAGGCAAAGGCAGCAGGGCTGGGCAGGGGGCACAGGTGACACAGAACAGAGGGAACAGAGGTGGGCGGCAGCCTTTTCAAATAAAAAAAGATTACAGGATTCTAACAACACAACACTGAAGGCTACAACTGAGGGCGTTTTCAGCAGTTCTGCTCCTAGACTTTTAAGTAAAGGGTCTCAAAATCCCCTTTTAAAAGACAAGCAATATTAAAGAGGACTGATGCCCCAAAGAAAGGTAAGAGCAGAGAAAACCAAGAGTAAGGCTTTGTTACTAGCTGTCGAACAACAGCTCTAACACTTGATCTGCCCTGAAGATTCTCTTCTGATCACATTTCAGAGACACTCCAGTTTTCTCTCCTAAAGCCTCTCTTACTACTGGCATGGTTTTGTTTCCTTTTTAAGTCCAGACAGCCTGCTTTTCTACTTCCCTTACCCTTTCTCACCTTCACCACTAGGCCCTTTCCCCTCAGAATACCAGAGCAGACCTCTCTGTCCCTATGATTCCTCCCTCTCTCCCACTAACAAATATTTACTTGGCCAAAATTCACTGTGGTAGGCATTTTGAGGGATACAGAAATTATAGGACGTAGTCCTCAATCGCCAGGTGCTTGCTTCTAAGAAGGACCCAGGCAGCCTGGACAAGGGTACTTCTCAACACAGTAGGACGCCATTTAGGTACACACAGAAGGATCAGGGGGAATGTGGCACCAGGATGCAGCAGGAGGGGAAGGAATAGAAATGGTCACGGGAAAAGTGAAACGTATTATATTAACATTAGAAAAACAAATTCTAAGCCTATCACAAAAAGGTCATTGACATTTCCTGAAAGGACAATCAGGAACTGTTTACAAAGTATAAACAGGGAGGTGCACTTCCTTGAAGAGCGCGGGGGAGGGACTTGACTACAAATCAGTCTGAGCGAGGCTTAAAACAACAAAACTTCCTGTGACTGAACTTGGACTGGAGGGGTTTGTTTTTAGGAGGGGGACAGGTTGGAGGGAAGGCAGAGAAAATAAGTAATTTTGGTGTTTTGGGCCAAATAAATCTGATGGAACAGGATGTTTCCACAGCAGAGTACAAAAAGCATTGCTCTGACCTGGATGACTGTAGGCTGGATTATGTATAACCAGAGCCACAGTTTGGGGGCAGGGAGAATTCTCTAGTAGACAACACTCCGCAGCCAAGAAAGAGGGCCTGGTTACAGGGCCTGTGAGTCAGAACATTTGTTCCTAAATCACAGCGAGGCCATTGCTGGCTGAATTCAGAAACAAGAACCCCTCTCCTCCCAGTAGCTGAAATCAAAGGGTCTATCTAGCAGAGCTGTATTCCACTGGGTACAGACCAGGTTCATGCCATGGGCCAGACATGAGTGGCACCTGGGATGAAACAGGGCCAACTCTCTAACTTGTATCCAGTCTCCCCAGCTTCACTCTCAAGTTCTCCCCAAAAGAAGAAGTGAGAGCTAGAAGGAGGCACTGCTGTTCAGTTTTGACAGCAAATCTATTCTGTTATTTCTAATGAGGTGGTGCTGGAGAAATAGAGGTAAATGGATTTGCCCAGAATACAGGCAGTTTTCCAATTGCAAGCGAGTACATTACACTGAGAACTCATGCCTTCAGTCCGGTCATTATGTCTTTTTCTACTTGTTTCTTTTTCACAGGGCAACTAAAGGGCGTTTGAAGTGCTCTAAATCACTCTCTGAAGTACTCTGAACTACTTGGCAAGTGAAGTGACTTGCAGAGATCCTAAAGTCGGCCCAATTCTCTTTGCCTCTCTCCCCTCCCTTTGATTCCATGAAGCACACTGCTATTTGTACAAATACCATACCTTTTCTTCTGTGGTCCTCACCTTCAAACTGGCCCATATTTTGCTCCTATCTTGCTTTGTAAAAGCCTCAAACCTGCTTAGCTGCTCAGATAAGAAGCTTCTGCCAGGTCAACAATGGAAAAAAACAGTTTCACCCAGCACCCAAGTCCTTTTTCGTGTGTGCCAGATTTGGACTTGGGAATTCCTTACCTCTGAATATTTGTGCTCATTCATATACCCCAGATTGTGTTTCTCTGCTCCTGGGATTCCACTTCTCTGTCTCTAAGCAGGGTTCAGCTAAACCAATTTAGCTTAACCAAGGACCCAAATATCACCAAAGAGTCCCTATTAGAGATTCTTACTAGTCCCTAATAGGAAGGTTCTCCTATCACCCTACTCCAGGATCATTTTCACTAATTTGGGGAAACTTCTTCCTAATCTAAATTTCCCTGCTCAACCTATTTCCTATAGTTCTTCTCAGTGATAATGATAAACAGCTGTCCTCTCATGTGGAGCCATGCAGAACTAGGGTATTACCAGCTGCCCTCCTCTTTAGGCCCAATCTTTTATATTTTTTCCTCTTCTTCTCAACCCTTTGGTAATTTATTACTTCCTTTTCAAGCTGTCCATGGGCCCTTACAATAAAGTGCTTAAATCTGTGATTTAGTGAGACTCTGTCAACCTCTGCCCAGCAGAGGTAAATAGGAAAGTGAGGTGGGAGGGGGTGGTGGGATGGGACTAAAACAGGGTCAAGGTACATGTCTACCTCTCGCAGAAAGATGGAAAAGTACTGAATTATTAAGCAACACACTACACCCGTCCTTCCATGGAGGTAAATGCTTCAACTAGGAACCACTAGTAGGCACAAGGAGGGTAAGAACTTGTCACTAACCCTCCTTATGCTGTCATAAATAAAGAACTGTCAAGCACATCTATTTAACACCCAGCCCAGAGCTCTACCTTAATCCTGATGTATTCCCATTATTGGAGAGACAAGTATCCACTACTAAGACCTGAAAGATGACGGACCCAAACAGCTGGGTCCCTGAAGCACATCATGTAATTTGCTGGGAAAAAAAACTGGGTGTCAAAGGTCGTGCCCATCCCTGATGTCAATGAGATCTCAGGCCTCAAGATCTATTTTCTTTTTGAAGCAAAGTGGCTTCTCCATTGAGGTGCCCAGGCAATCAGAACAAGAAAGAACACTGAAAGTATTGCTTTGGAAATAAATCCACTTTAGCAGCAATCTTTACCCCATCTTAGCTTTAAATGGCAGATTCATCCTCTATTTGAAGAGTCAGAAATCAAAACTAAACAAGCATATGTACATGTTGAGGAAAGTAAAAGGATCTATATCCAGGTTAAGGAAATTAGGTGTTGGAAGAAAACCAAATGAATAAAACTAGGTCAAGTTTGGAGCCTACAACGGTGGCTGCATGTATGTAAATTTAGAAATGGCAGAAACTCAAAGCCTCTCTCTCAGGCCCTCACACCAACACTGTGGGTTTTGCTACAGCTGAGAAAATATTTCTCATTTTTAAAGAAAGTGAGAATGAACTCACACATGCAGAGATGAAGGAATAGTCATACCCACCCACCAGTATTAAAATCTGAATTTTTCTTCAAATCTTGGGAAATTCGACTTTGGCTGTAACAGTCAACTTTAGCCAATCTGGCCAGCTGGGAACTTTAGTATTTCTGCTCACTGCTCCCAGAACACTCCATATCCCTAAGAGGTAGCCATACTTGTAACACACTCTGCAGAGAACTAGCTCACCAAATAAAGCCAATCCCTTTTCTCTGGCTACAACATGAAATGTGGTACTTTCATTTCCTTTCTCGAAATCCTCTTCATTTTAACAAAGAGTATTTCTTCTGTTATCATCATACCTCAATACATGCTCCCAACACTCTCCAGACTATGTTGACCTTTATTTTACTTCATAGCACTTATCACTACTTGCAATTATATATGTAATGATTTACTTAGAGTTCTAGTACCTCCACTAGGATGTAAGCTACATGAAGATGGGTACCTTTGTCAATTTGTGCACTACCATTATCTCCAGTGCTTAAAACAGTGTCTGGGGCTTGACAGGCACTAAATAAATATTTGTTGTCTGACTGAATCAATGTGCAGGCTCTTGACTTGCCACAATTTTCACTTCCCAGTACCACAAAATCCTAATCTACGGGCAATTAACTATGTGGATTTCAGATTTTAAGTGGCCTATGTGTTACCATGAAGCCATGCCCCTCCATGGCCTGTGGGATTGTGTGTGCTCCCCCCTCACTCTGCAGCCCACAATAAACTGCACACATTCTGTTTATTACGGCCCACTGGCCAGCTCCTAGCCCTCCCTGCAGTGTATCAGAGCACACAGGTAAAACTTTCTGACCCCCTTAAAAGGTTCCTACACATTGCCTGAGTTCATACTAACTAGAACTCCAGTAGCAAGTAAGAAGTGCCACAAAAATCCAGGTAGACAGCCACAGCCAGGGACACTACAGCTTTCTTGTAGAGTTTCTTCTGCTATTTCTCTCCTTATAATCTCAACATGCCTTCAGTTCAGCTTCATTTATTGGCTTGGCCTTTGGATCCTTCACTCTGTTCTCACTTCCTGCAAACAGAGAACCTTCTCATTTCCCACCACCAAAATGTGTTCCCTAAAGTCTACCACCTCAAGAATCATTCCCTGATTCTCATTAGGCTCTACCAAACTACTAAGCAAAAATGTCCTCTCTAGACTCTTGAAACCAAACAAAAGGCTGATTAGAGTACTCTTATTTGGTCCCATGGGAACTTAAGTTTCTAAGGAGCTAAGCCCCAAGTTTGAGCTACCTAAACCCCAAACAAAGCTAGGCCTCTTGGGGTACTTCTCTATTAAGCTAATCAATACATAGGCCATGGTCACTTCCACCCAGTGTCCATCCAGATCACAGGTATTTGACTTCTCATTAATGAGATGAACAATAATGACCAAAGGGGAAGAAAAGCAGTAAAGTTCTGCAAATTATGCACTGACATTTAAGGAGTTAACTTTTCCAGCAAAAGAAACCAGATTTTTAACATGTCCCAGATCCCTTGGCCCTCCTTCTGTCCTGATTGGGGGATATTCATTATACAGGGGAAATGTTATATATGGGATACTTTCAATCAAGATCTATAAAATAATAATGATGCCAGCACTTCCCATTTATTCAGCATTTTACCTTCCATGCTGACACAGCTAACCATGAGAATGAATTAACATTGCTTCCTAACATTTTGTTCTAGGATCTAGACTCTCATCTACCATTAATTTTATCCCCCTGCCTCCCCTTACTACTTTTCAGACTCTACAATCAGATTATCTTTTTCATAACAGGATCTTGAGGGAACTGCTCTTTCTCTTTCACATTGTAATAAACTTTGTGCTTTTTCTCCTTAGAGTACTTGTTCCAGTTTCAAGTCTCTATCCTTCTGCTGCATTTGAGTCTCTATCTCAACTTTTGACACATTCCTGTTTAGGTTCTAAATCATTGTCCCAAGAGCCACAGTGGCTTTTACTTAAAAGTCCATCCTCACAACACAAAAGTGGGGCTGATCAGAACATAGAAGTTTGGCAAAGGGGGTAAAAACCAAATAGAGAAATAGTCCTAAGCTGTATCTTAGGAAACCTGGATCCTCATTTCTGGTCTGTCATGATCATAACTAATAAACAACAACAAATACTGAAAACAGCAACCCCCACATGGCACTGGGTAAATTACTAAACCTCTCTTTGCTTCTGTTCTTCCATCTGTCATGCAAGAACAATACTGCTCCCTCCTCAGCTCCTAAAGGTGTAAGAAGAAGAAACAAAGAAAGCATGCCTTGTTAAAAATGAAACCAACCAACCAACCAAACCAGTGTATTAAAACAACACTAAAAAAAAATTAAAATGAATCCCTTGATAAACTTGTAAAAAACAGAGATAGAGGCTTGGTATCTAATGTTAATCATGCATTTTAATCAAATAATTCCCTAAGGGGAAAAAGAACCTTACTATATAACCAGAAATCTGGGCCAGAACTGCAGCTCTAAATTAGCTCAGGCATGACAAAATACACTGCCAGGGCCAAGTGCAGCATTGCAGGTTACACAACAAAAACCCCCCAAATTTAGAAAGATTTGAGGGATGCTACTACGACGATCAAGCCATGGCAACTGAGCTTAAAGATTACACCTAAGGATAGCTCATCCAGATCCCCAAACCTCTGGAAAAGTTAAGCTCTCTAATAGGGCTACCTGTCAGCGCATCGCTTAGATTTATAAAAAACCTACCTCTGGGTAGCATCCCAAAGGCCTGCAAAATTGGGACTTGCACCTGAACACTGGAATGTGGCTCCTTACCGCCACTATTTCTATGCTGTCAACCTGGGATAACTTACCTATTTTAAATTGGTTTCTCTATCTCATACTCCATAACGGGCACAAGCCAGAAGGAAGAAAGGTACTTCTTTATCTTGAGCCCAGCTTGCCCTACCTCTTCCCTTTTTGCCCTCCACTTACATGAGGTTCCCTTTCAAAGTGTATGTAATTCTCTGGCCCTTTAACTCTCTAACCCCCCTGCCTCCGGTTTCTTTCAATTCTTCCCATTTTCTCCCCACTTTCGGTTAGCTTCGCCTTCCTGAGGGAGTTTCTCCTTTCCTCTCCGGTGTCCGTCTTTCCCCTGCAACGCTATTCCAATCGTGTCTTGTCTCCCCTGCCTCTTTCCCTTCTGCAAGACACTTCTGCAGCACACGACCCTCTGAGCGCAACCGGCGCATCCCCAGGCCTCTCCGCCGCCCCCCCACTTCGGCTCTGTTCCTTCGCCTCCGGTCCCCGTTGTCCTATCGCGGACTCCCCGCCGCTCCTTCCCGGTCCTCCCCACGCCGGTCCACTCACAGGAGGCCGGAGCAGGTGGTGCAGACGAAGCTGCCCACAGTGATATCCACGTAGGTGACCCCGCGCTGGGCGCACTCGAAGCAGTGGCGGTTCCCGGCCTGGCTGCAGCCGCCCAGCTCCCGCACCCGGCGACACCACACTTCCGAGGCCGCCTCCGCCTCCGCCTTTCCCCCGCCGACCCCGCCACCCGGGCCTGGGCCCTTCTTCGCCGCCATCACCATGGTTGCCCACTCCTTTGGATCTCCTCCCCGCAGGTCAGCAATCGCCTGTACACCCAACTGCTGCCCTCTCGCCTCCTCAGCCGCCTCCACACGCCCGACTCCCCTGACAGAAGCTCGGGAGCCGGGAGCGTCCGCGCAGGACTCCTCAACCCCCTGCTTCGCCTATCGTGCACGCTGATTGGCTAGCATCCTCCCGCCTCCTCACACTGATTAGCCCGACAGGGGACGGCCGGGTTGCGGGATCCGCCAAGGCCACTTCCCGCTGCCTTCAGGCCGCAGACCTCTCCCATTGGCTCGCAGAGACCCCGGCCTTGAGAACTGTTGAGTGCGCTCCCCTTGTCCCCGCCCCCTCTCGCCACTGCCTCCACGGCGGCCCGCCTCCCAGACTCGATTGGTGAGTCTTCGCAATTCGGTCTCCGACACTAAATCCGATTTGCTGTCGAGGCTGCAAAGTTAGTGCGCCAGAAACTCTAGGTGTCTCGCGCGTGCGCACCTCTGATCCTCCCTACTGATGACGTAAGTTCCCGCCAAATTTCAAAGGCATTAGTTTCAGCTAGACTGCAGGGAGGCACGCAGTGCAGAAGAGAAGTGGCCATGTGGGGGGCCATGGGGATGGGCTGAAAGAAGAACGGAGCCCTTAGATGAAGGGAGGAGAGGGAGCACTTTAGAAATGCTATTTCATTTACCCAATGCCATAGGAAATCTCAAAGTCTTAGGTTGTACAATTTGCAGTATGTCACACAACTGGTATGTGGCCCAGCCAGGATTCTGATGTCGGTCATCTTAGAATCCCCACTTTTAACCACTACGTTATTCGTGGAGTAGTAATTGACAACGCATTTGACTAGGTTTCATGTACTGTTTTAGACATTTCGAGTACAGCAGTGAACTTACCAATCAAAATTCCTATCCTCAAGCAGCTTATACTCTAATAGGGGGAGGTAGACAATAAACAAATTAGAGAATCATCAGTTAGTATAAGCTATATGCAGAGAATTAAAACAGGGTGTCATAAAGAGAGTGACTTGTGTATTTTAGATAGGTCAGGGGAGCCATCCCTAAAGCAGCAGTATTTAAGCTGAGACCTGAATAACACGAAGGAGACAGCCATGAAGAGATCTGAGGAGCAACCCAGGAATAGGGAAAAGTGCAAAGGCCCTAAAGCATAAAAAGCGTGGTGTGTTGAAGTAGCAAAAAAGAAAGCCAGAATGACTGGAGGGTGGTGAGTGAGGGGAATGTGGAAGCGACTGTACTGGAGTGGGACCTGATCATGTGGAATGTTCTAGACTTTGGTAAGGAGTCTGGATTTTCTTCAAAGTGTGATGGGAAACTTCATGAGTGAGATTTAGGTCCCAGCATTACAAAAATCCTCAATAATTGGGGCTTAAACCAGATGAAGTTTATTTCTCTCTCATGTAGAAGTACAGGGAGGTATTCCAGGGCTGGTGGGTTTTTCCACTCTGTCAGGGACCCAGATTCCTTCTGTCTTGTTGCTCCACAGTGCATTACCTCCACTCCCAAGTTCACCTCACAATCTATTCCAGCTTCAGCCATCATGCCTGTTACAGCAGCAGGAAGAATCTACTCTTCTTAAGGACATGCCAGGAGACCACACAACCTCATTGGCTTTCACTGATCAGAACTGTCACATGACCACGCCAGGAGGGACTTTGGAAAATATGTACTTTATCTTGGGCTCCTATGTACCCACCTGCACTTCAGAGGTTCTTTTACTGAGGAGAGAAAAAATAAAAGGATAAAACCATAGTCTCTGCCACAGAAGCCACTGGAAAGATTGCAGCAGGGGCAAGACATGACCTTATTTTCAGTTTTGAAAGAATCATTCTGTCTACTATAGGAGAAATGATTATAGATGGGGAAGATTGAAACAACGGCAATAAAGAAGTGAGTTTAGCAGTCCAGGTGTAAGGTGATAGTGGTATTGACTAGGATGGTAGGAATAGGTGGGAGGGAAATAGGAGTGCTTCAGGGAATGTTTTGGAGGTAAAATCCATAGGATTTTTTAATGGATTACATGTAAGAGGTGAGGGAAAAAGGAATCAATGGCAACCTTTCCAGAGAAGCCCTGATAGAACTGTGATGATGGAAATGCTCTGTATCTTATTATCCAATATGGTAGCTACTAGCTACATGTGACTATTGAGCTCTTGAAATGTGGCTAGCAAAACTATTTTATTTAATTAAAATTTAAATAGCCACATGTGGTTAGTGACTACCATATTGGACAGGGCAGCTCTAGAGTTGTTTTTTTTTTTTGAGTAATAGGAGCAGTTTAGGGATGGCTGACAGCCAGACTCCAGCCGTTTTGCTTTGGACATGTTGATTTTTTTTTTTCCAGTAAGGGTTGCCCTTTTTTTTTTGCTGTTTTTTTTTTTTGTTTGGTATCGTTAATGTACAGTTACTTGAAAAACATTTTGGTTACTAGATTCCCCCTATTATCAAGTCCCCCCACATACCCCATTACAGTCACTGTCCATCAGTGCAGTAAGATGCTATAGAATCATTACTTGTCTTCTCTGTATATACTGCCTTTCCTGTGTCCCCCCACCGCTACATTATGTGTGCTAATTGTAATGCCCTTTTTTCCCCCTTATCCCTCCCTTCCCACCCATCCTCCTCAGTCCCTTTCCCTTTGGCAACCGTTAGTCCATTCTTGGGTTCTGTGAGTCTGCTGCTGTTTTGTTCCTTCAGTTTTTTCTTTGTTCTTATACTCCACAGATGAATGAAATCATTTGACACTTGTCTTTCTCCGCGTGACTTATTTCACTGAGCATAATACCCTCTAGCTCCATCCATGTTGTTGCAAATGGTAGGATTCGTTTTCTTTTGGCTATTGTAAATAGTGCTGCTATAAACATAGGGGTGCATATGTCTTTTTGAAACTGGGCTGCTGCATTCTTAGGGTAAATTCCTAGGAGTGGAATTCCTGGGTCAAGTGGTATTTCTATTTTGAGTTTTTTGAGGAACCTCCATACTGCTTTCCACAATGGTTGAAGGACATGTTGATTTGAGATCCTTGTGAAGCCCCCAAGGACTTGATCAAGTAGGCAGGTGGATATATAGTCTGGACTTTCAGGTGAGGCCAGAGCTGGAAATATAAGTTTAGGAGTCACTGGTAGTAGGAGTTATTTAAAGCCATAGGACTGGATGAAGTTGCATAGGTACAGTATGTAGACAAAAGAGGGCACACAACCAGCCCCAGGCACCCCAGTGTGTATTTTATTCCACCTCTCCAGTTATTATGGCCACAAATGCACTTCAACATCCCTCCGAGGAGCCAACTACAAAGTCTCATCGAGATATACGAATGTGACATTGCAGACCACCATCAACGTTTCTTCTAAATTTCAGAGTTCAGAGTTTCCAAGTGTTGCCCATTCCTCCTCTATTTCTTGCTAACCAAGGGTTGGTTATTTCTTACCATCCCAAAACCTTGAACAAACTGGTACACAACTATTACCAGACTCTGATATATACAACAGCAAGGAGGAAAATTAGAACGTTAATATGTATTGTGATCATTTTCTGTTAATTTGTGCCACTGGGTATGGTTGCATGATGCAATCACCTCTGCCCCTTGAGGGCCCTATTGGGGAGTGATAACCCTATTTCCCCTTCATAATCAGGGTGAGCACAGCTAGCACACGAACATCCTCTTCTGTCATTGCCTAGTGGGAGGAGGAGTCCCAAATTGTGAGCTGGATTTCATTGAGTTCCCTGTGAAAACACCTCACTTTTGGACAGTTAAGTCCACAGAGCGTGAGTGACTTGGAGGATGAAAAGCAAATATTTTTAGAGAAAAAATTAACTGTGAGAACTGCCACCCTCCACCACTCACCCCCCTTGGTTTCTGGATGCTGTTGGCTAAGGGAGAATTGACATCGTATTTCAGTCACTGTTTGAGATGACATATCACTTTCTACAAGAAAGTGTCTCAGCCTCACAGGTGTGGTCTCCTGGACACTGCTAGATCTGTTTTCAGAACACCATTTCATTGTTCTGTAAGGCCAGCTGCTTCTGGTGGATGGGAAATACGATAATGGCTCATGGCTTGCCAACTCTCTTATTTCTTTCACTGGGAAGTTTCTTGGTTGTAGACAATTTTGTTTGGACCACCTGGTGTTATGCAAAGCCAGTAATTCCAGGGATGATAAACAAGTCAGGGACATGACCTGCTGGGAAAGAAAATGCAAATGCAGAATAAGTATTTCTTCCAGAGTGTGTAAACCAGCACACCCTTTATGACAGAAGGGACCTGATGGAGTTGATCTGCCCCTAGATCCCTAATAGGTTCCCAAGTAGCCTGGTGCTTGCTCTATTAGGGCCTCAGGACTGGATCTAGGTCCTACTGAATTCACATACTGGTTATAATACTTTTTGTTTTGTCAGTTGATTGTCTTCATTCTTCCAGGTTGAGATTCTGTTACCTTCAAACAATGATAAATTTTAACTTATTTGATTCTTTTTGATCTCTAATTACTTTCTCTTGTCCAAGTAAGGTATTTGGACATCTAGACTTAGTTCAGTAACAGTGAATTACCTTGTCTCTTTCTGTAAGGAGAGCAAGAGCAGAAGAAACTCTACATGAAAGCTGTAGTTTACCTGGTTATGACTGTCTGCCTAGATTCTGGTGGTACTTCTCATTTGCTGACTGGAGTTTTCATTAGCATGGACTAGGCAAGGCATATAAAGCTTTTAAAGGGGCCTTAATAAAGCATTACCTGTGTCCTGTGATGTACCAGAAAGGGCTGGACGCTGGCAGATGGGCCACAGGCAGAATGTGTAACTGCTGGCTGCACAGAGAGGAGGGAACACACATGGTCCGGCAGGCCATCGACAGGCATGGCTCTGTGGTGACACATACACCACTAAACATCTTAGATAAAAAATCTTAAAATTCCTTACTTTAATGGAAGTGTATATTTATTTCCTCATATGTCCAATGTAAATATATTTTATGATATTAAAGAAGCAGCCATCTCTTCCCATTTTATTACCAGTTTTACTGGTTTTTTATTTTCTAACTTAATTTATGATTGTATCTATTAATTTACTTCTGCCTCTCAGGTTTGCTATTCCTTATCTAATTTCTTGATCTGTATGCTTAGTTATTTTAATCTGTATTAATTAAGGGCAAAAACATAGGAGTCTTGTTTGGGCTGTATCACATAGAGTCTAATATGTTGTGGTTTTTATTATTATTTTCTAAATATTTTCCATTTTAATTTGTATTTCTTTATTGACTTAAGAGTTTCTTTTCTTTTCTTTTTTTTTTTTGAGAGAGCATCTCTCATATTTATTGATCAAATGGTTGTTAACAACAATAAAATTCTGTATAAGGGACTCAATGCACAATCATTAATCAACCCCAAGCCTAATTCTCAACAGTCTCCAATCTTCTGAAGCATAACAAACAAGTTCTTACATGGTGAACAAGTTTAAGAGCTTCTTTTTAAAGAGAGCAATAAAAAATATTCAGCTAATGGGGACTTTTCCTCCTTAGTTTTAATATTAGTGTTTAGTTATATTACACAGTGATCAGAGAATGATGTATATATTAGTTCTGTTTTTTCAAACTTAATGAGACTTTCTTTGTAGCCTAATGTATAGCCAGCTTTTGTGAGTTTTCTCTGGGTACCTAAAACTAAGGTGTGTGCAGTAATATCAGATCTGCCATATTAATTATGCTATTGCAGTCATTCAACTCCTTACATACTTGTAGAGTTTCTCATACTGTAAAGTCCCTTTTTTACCTTGCTACCCCCAAGAGAGACTTCCACATGCAATGTCTTGCCTATCTGTCATTCACCCCACCTTCTCAAAGCTTCTGCTTCTCAAAGCTAAACGAGGTTCAGGAAGCTTCTGCCCACCTCTTTCCCTACTCAGTTCCCCCATCTTAAACCCCTGAGACAGACTCAGAAGCAACAAGAAACAGAAAAAAATACTTTTTACATATGTCAGGTACCCACCTAGTTAAGCTTGAGGGAACCCTCCATTATTTTTCAAGTCCTGTCCATCTTTGGGACCAATCGGCCTGGAGATTTGAATGATGCAGCAACTGTCTGAGGTTCCCATCTTCCTCTTCAAGGACCTCTGGGGTCTATAGGACTCAGGGATGGTATCAGCTAGAAGGTATATAACTATGTGGTGTGCTGGCCAGAGTTACATCTTTGTTAAACTAAAAAATTATTTTGCTGTACAAATCAAGCAGAGCCCAGGCCTGCCCATCTGTTCTTACCAACACTTCAAGCAGAAGCCAAAACCTCAACTTAGTGTGTTGGGCCACTTCTCTGAATTTACCACACCTACTTGGCTTTTGCTTTTTTGTGGCCGCAGCTAGGAGTGATATTCAAAATATTTAGCAGCTGGTTACCACATGCCACCAGCCAATTAGAACAGACACTGACTTTTGCACTAAGTCAGATTCCAGGAGGCCAACAGCTGTGCTGGGTGTTAACCCTTTAGTTGCAGGATAAATAGGAGGTCTGGTGGTCTGGAAGCAGTTAGATGGGTGTGGGGACCAGGAGACTCTCTGCAGCAATTTACCAATCCATAGGGAAGTATTTCAGTATTTCAACAACTAGTATGGCCACAGGCAGAATGTCAACCTGGACTCAGCAAACAACAGAGATTGGAATGTTCGACCCACTTTGTTTTCAACAACTGACTCCCCTTGGGTCTAAAGCCATCTAGTTTCCTCCTTTCCCAATATCCTCAGTAATTTCATTTTGGTTAACTGCTCTCCTTCCATGTTCCTGGCTAGGACGACTCTTCCCACACCCTCGAGTTCAAACCCCGACAAAGACGCTTCGCTAAATAGTCTTTCATCAGTGGTGGATTTTTCTGAAGAAGAGTAGTGGATGTTGGAGGCAGCCTTAGCAGGTTGTAGGTGACATACTGTCATTCCCTTCTCCTTCAGTCTTGGTGTTTATTCATCTGCCATGTGCCAAGAGCTATTAGGCTCTTCAGTGTCATCTCGACAAAGTATAATCAGCCAAACTAGGCTGGAAGAGAAGGAAAATGGGGGCTGGTATGGGGGAAGGAACACAGACACAGAAAGAAAGAAAGGGAGGGAGGAGGAAGGAAGGAAATAAAGTAATAGTTTACCCTCCTTCATTCATTCCACCTTCTTTGATTATGAATCTGTGGGATTCAAGTCCAATTAGTCACTCCTGCAACAATTCCTCAGAAAATTCCTGCAGTTCATTTTGCCTGTGATTTCTCTTTTCCTTGCTCAGATTTTGCACACCATCCTTGGTTTCATGGTATTTCCAAACTCTTATGACCAGATGTTCCTCATTATGAGGTGATTCATCACATTTGCTTGGCAATCGTGAATGCAGTAAAAATTATTTGGAGGGGCCCAGGAGACTGGAGAGCTCCATCCCCTCAAGATATTGCCATTCCAACTAACAGGATTTCAGGCTTTGATAATCAAGACTTTAATTTTAACCATAGAAGCCCAGCATACTTGGGAACTTTGCAAATGCTATAATTTGGCAGTTTACAGTCTCACTTTTTATTATAAAATATTTGGCAGAAACTTTTTGCAATAACATATTTGAAAATATACAAAGCATAGGCATTCTGCATATTATATATCATGCACAAAAATAAATGAACACTAGGAACTCCGCCACTCAAGTTAAGAACTATGTTCAATATTCACTTTAGAGATCTCATTTTCAGTAGTTTCCATCCACTGACTAATAGTAAAAAGCATTTCTTGTTGCAGGGCCACAGAGAGGCCTTGAATATTGTTATGGGATTCTACCCAGGTGCTCTGGGACTAAAATTTGTTCCTTCTTGATGCAAATCATCTAATGTTATGAAAAATATCCATTTAACCCTACAGCCTTTATACTCCTTATTCCCTTAGGATGTCTTTCAAGCTGTGGTTCTCAGACTTGGATGTACTTTAGGATCAACTGGGGAAGTCTGAAAAATGCTGATGCCCTGGCCCCTGCCCAGGCCAATTAAATCAGACTCTCTGGGGATGCAAACTGAGCACCCATGCTTTTTAAAGTACTTCACATGATCTAACGTGCTCTAAAGGAATGGCAATAAAGTCCACCAAAGCTTTACTTCTTTTCAATGGACATAGTATCTGAATACCAAGACTTCATTAACTGTGTTACCAATCCATGGATGTCTAACTTTCTATTCAGTGATGTAGATATTATTGTTGACTCTTTTTCTACTGTATTATTACACAAGGTTCCATACCTCTTTTGAGATTCTGTTGCTTGCAACTCTGCTCCTAGGATAAACTTCTGTGTTTATTAGGCTAGTTTGGTATTTTGTTTGAAAGAAATGTGGCTAACTGAAAACTTGAGGCATAAAAGGGTGTGAGTATACTGTAAGGATATAGATTAGCTAGCACTGGAAATCTGAGAACCTGAGGATGGACAGAGGACTGGTTCTGTCTCTGCTGTCTCTTGTGGCTCAAGTGGCCTCTCTCACATCACCCTCAGCTCACTGTCACCTCCCTAAGCCGTGGGGACCTCATTAGGTTGGCTAATCATTTTTAGACTCAGATTCTCTACCAGACTATACCTACTCTCATCATCTGTGGCCAGTTAAGATCAAAGCCCGAGCCTGAAAGTAAAAGGATGGAAAAGGTTACCATGAAAGTAGAAAAAAAAAAGATGGAGAAACCGTACTAACAGCAGACAAAATAGACTTTAAAACAAAAAATGCTATTAGAGATAAAGAAGAACATTTTGTAATGATAGATTTAATCTATCAGGAAGATATAGCAGTTATAAATATATATGCAACTAACAGTAGAGCCCCAAAATACATGAAGTAAAAACTGACAGAACCAAAGGGAGAAACAAACAATTCAATAAAATGGTAGGAGACCCCTCATTCAATAATAGGGAGAATATCTTAATAGAAGATCAACAAAGAAATAGAAGATTTGAACAACAGAATAAGTTAACTAGATCTAACAGATATCTGTAAAATTATCCACCCACTAAATGCAGAATATATATTTTTCTCAAATGTACTTGCCACATTCTCCAGGAAGACAGTATGTTAAGCTATAAATAAAATCTCAGTATATTAAAAAGATTGAAATCATACAAAGCATGTTCTTCATCTGTAACAAAATGAAATTAGGAATCAATAATAGAAAGAAATCTGGGAAATTCACAAATATGTAGAAATTAAACAACACAGTCCTGAATAACCCTGGGTCAAAGAAGAAATAAAAATCACAGGCACAATTAGAAAATACTTTGAGATGAATGAAAATGAACAACATATGACAGTTTATGAGATGCACCAAAAGCAGTACTTAGAGCGGGAAATTTACAGTTGTAAATGCCTGCATTAAAAAAAGAGAAAGATCTTCAATCAATAACCGACTGTCCACCTTACGGCACTGGTCAAAGAAGAGCAAACTAAACCTAAAGCAAGAAGAAGGAAGGAAAAGATAAAGATTAGAGTGAAGATAAATGCAACTGGGTATAGAAAAACAATAGAGAAAATAAATAAAACCAAAATCTGAAATTAAAATTCAGTTATTTGAAAAGATCAACAAAACTGACAACCTTTAGCTAGACTAAGAAAAAAGAGAGAAGACTCAAATTACTAAAATCAGGATTGAAAGTGGGGCATTACTACTGACTGTATAGAAATAAAAAGGATTATTAGGGAATACTATTAACAGTTACATGCCAATAAATTAGATGTCTTATATGAAATAGGTATATTCCTAGAAATGCACAAACTGTGGAGGAGGGGTGACAGCCAAAGGTATGGGGTTTCTTTTTGGGATTATAAAAATGTTCTAAGACTGACTGTGGTGATGGTTGCACAACTCTGTGAATACACTAACAAACAAACAAACAAAAACATCAAAATGTTTCCTTTAAGTGGGTGAATTGCATACTATGTGAACTGTATCTCAATAAAGCTTTTACCAAAAAAAAAAAGTCCAAGACTGCTCTTCTTCAGCGGTTGGTAACTGGGAGCCATCAGGAAGATTTACAGCTTGCCCTACACAGGAGGCCAAGATGGGCAAGGCTGAGCTAAGGTAGTGGCACCAGAGGTGCTAAAATTAATGGCATTGGTGTGTGATGTTCTTAAGTCCTTTTGGGTTCCCAGACCAGATTCCAATGTGTGTGGGGGAAGAGGGTGGGGCCTTCCCACACACAAAACACCAAGCAATTCTGAAACACCAGCAGGCTGCCTGAGAACTCAACTCTATTCGGATGCTATCTGCCCAGAGAAAGGACCAGGTTCCATTTAAGGGCTCCCTCCTACAGGACTGCCCTTCACTCAGACTCCAGACGCCTGTTGCAAGCCCCAGGCAGTTCCCTGTGCTTCTGACCTAGCTACAGACTGGAGGCTCCCACGACTTCCCCCTTAGGTTTGATTAATTTGCTAGAGTGCCTCACAGAAGTTAGGAAAATACCTATGTTTACCAATTTAAGAAAGGATACAGTAAAGTATACAAGTTAACAGCCAGATGAAGAGGTACATAGGGCAAGGTCCCAAATAAGGAGCTTCTATCCCTGTGGAGCTCGGGGCCTGGCTCGGTGGCACGTGGATGAGTTCTGGTTCCCCAAGCGTGGAAACTCTCTCTGACAGAGAAGTGGGATCCAAGAGAGTGAAAAGCTTTTCTCCGGGGACACTGGATAGTCATAACTGACTAAATTGTTGACCATGGGCTGATTCAGCCTCCAGCCCCCGCCCTCGGGTGGGGGTCCAAAATCTCTCATTAACATGACAAGACATCCATTTCACCTTTAAGACCCTGCTGTGTTTTCAGGAACTGTGGAAACAGACCAAATATACCTGGGAAACATATATTTGGCCATCTGAATGACCAAATATGTATGTCTTATAACTCATTATATCGCATTTGGTGATTTGATGTACACAGGGATTGAGAAAAGAGGCAGGTCCAGTACCAATCTCCCTCACTGTCCATGTTCAGTTAGTTACCAAGTCCTGCTGACTTCTAACAGAACTCTCTGCTGCCTCTCTGTCCTCCTGCCACAGACTGAATTTTGTTCTCCACAAATTCATAAGCTGAAATCCTAACCCCAGTGTGATGGTATTTGAAGGTTGGGACTTTGGAAGATGGGACCTTTGTCCAGAGCCCTCATGAATGTGACAATGTCCTCCCTTATAAAAGAGACCCCAGACACAGAGAAGACAAGTAGTGTTTCTATATCATCTTACTACGCTGATGGACAGTGACTGTAATGGG